AATCTGCACCGGATGGCCCAAAGGAGCTGGGCCTAGAGGCGGAAATTGGAGAGGAACTTGTCTTTGAATGCCTAGCTGGACTTGCCGGAGAGATGGCACTGTATTGTGAGCTATCATGGCGACTTGAGCTAAAGAGCCGCGCTGAGCCAGACTTCACGCTGATTTCTGATACGAGGCCAGGCTTGAACGTCTCAATCGAGCTGGCAGTGACGTTGGAGCTTGGAAGAGTCGCAAACCTCGTCGGGGCAGCCGATGCGATAGATTTTGACTTGGAAGAGTCTATTGAGGCAGTATGATTACGAGTGCTGGTGGATTTGATCTGACGGGACGTCGAGTTCATGGCCGGGGAAGATACCGTGCTCGAGAAAGGGTCTGGCATACTGCTAGTCGGCACGCCCAAACTAGCAGGCGTAGACGTTGCAGAGACCATAAAGCTGGAAGTAGTTGAAATAGCGATTTCAGAGCCAATTCGATCTTTCGAGCTCGTAACCCAACCCGAGGCGACATTGGATGGGTCAGTTCGGATGCCTCCACTCGAGACGTTCTCGGATACAGGGTTAGAGGACCTGGTCTCCGTGACAAACTTCGAGATCGTAGTTGAATTCCCAGTCGCTTCTGGTCTGTGGGACCGTACCACGTCAGGGCTTGTCAACCGGATGTGAGACCCTGAGCTGGTGCTAGCCTGAGAGCTGGAGGCCGGAGCCGAAGGCCTCTCAGAGGACTCAGCCGTCTTGGTAGGTCCAAATATTATGGACGTCTTCGAGCTGGACTGAGTCTCCGAGATGGAATTTGCGGGACGTTTAGCTGATTTGACCCCAGGAGATCCAGAGCTAGAAGTTGTACGAAAACGAGAGACACCAGAGCCGGCAGAAAGACCTGTGGCAATACCCGGAAGTTTTGGGGACTGGCCGAGACTCTGTGATCTTGTCGACGGAGAGCCGGTGATTGAACTTGAACTCGTTGATTTAAGAACTTTCGACTTCATCGCTGGTGGGGGTGCGCTCTTCAAGTTGGCAGCCAGATTTGTTGAAGTCATAAAAGGTGCCGAAGTCATTGAGCTACTAGAACCTGTCAGGCTTGTGGAAGCCATGAAGCTGGTAGAAGTCTGCCAGGTTTTCGAGGTCCCTAGGTGAGAAGAATTTGAGCGAAAAGAAGCTTCCGAGCTAGTTGTATCCAAATTGAGAGAAGACTTCAAGCTGAAGAAATCTCCCGAGCTATTGGCAGGCTTTAAGCGAAGGGATGGCTGCGAGTCAAAGGAATCCGCCGAGACAGCCGGAGCTCTCGAGCTGGTCAGAGCCTCTGAAGCCCTCGTGGATGAAGAGCTCGAGCTAAAAGGGATTTTTGAGCTGGTTAGAGTGTTAGAGATAGTTCGGGGGTCTGATCTGGTTGGAGACTCTGGGGTTCTTTGCGCCTGCAAGCTAAGAGAAGGCTCCGAGCTGGTTCGGACCCTCGTACCAAAGGAAGGCGTTGAGAGATTCGAACCGTTCGAGCGAATTCCATCACTCGAGCCGGAAAGCGATGTTGGGCTTTTTCGAGCATGTGAGCTACTAAGAGCTTCAGAGGGGAAAGTCGAAGGGGCTAGAGTCTTTGAGTTATTTGATGTCTCCGAAAATGTCGGGGCTTTCGAGTTGGCAGAAGGAGCTTTCGAGGTTCTATGATCCTCCATGGTACCAGAAGTTCTCGAACTTATAGAAACCAGCGATCTTGAAGAGGAACCAGGACGGGTCGGGCTCGGCGAGCTGGTAGATGGCTTGGGATTTAAAGGAGTACCTGAGCTGGCAAGCTTTTTTGACGGAGTAGCGGTCGTCAAGCTAGCGAAAGCACTTGAACTGAAGGAGACCTCCGATATTGTTGAAGCGATTGGTTCAGCCGGAGCTCTCGACTTAGTAGAAGGCTTGAAAATGCGAGAAGACTCGTCACCAGCAGGGGCGTTAAGCACAGTGTTCCCAATGCTGATGGAAGTATGCGAGAAACCGGATCTGGAATCTGTAGCAATATCTGAGGCTGTAGACGCTCCCGCAAAGGAGGAGCCGAGCCTTGTCAAAGATCTTTGGGTGGCAGAGATATCCTCGAAAACACCCGTGGTGTGGGGCGTAGAGTCAGCATGAGCCTCCCACGTGGATGATAGAGAATTTGAAGGTGGTATTGACGATAATGGCCTGGAAATGGCAGAAGACTCCCCAGTAGGAGATCCACGGCTGGAAGAGACGCTCTCCAAAGTCGTTCGATTCGAAGCAGCATCGGGTGCCGAGATGGAAGAACCTAGCGAGTGGGAGCGAGAGGCAGCAGAGGAAACCATAGGTGTCGCCAATATGCTAGACGCAGAGATTTCAAGAGACTTCGAGGCCGGGAAGCTCATAGTTGGGTATACCCTCGACACTGGAGGCCCAGTGACAGCATGCAATCTGGTGGAAGACGACGTATAAGTTGAATGAGCTCTTGAAGTGGTGTCCCTGGTTCTTGCAGAAGTAACAGAGTCGGAAAAGCCAAAGCTACTAGGATCCAGCGAGGGGGTAAGATCGCTTAAGCTGGCAGGGTGGCTGTTTCTGCTGAGAGTCGTCCAATTACTAGAAGTCTCGGAGCTCCGGAGGGTCTTCGGGCGAGTTGGGGTACCGGAGCTAAGAGGATTGATCGAGCTCGATGGTGGAAACAAGGTAGATTCAGCGGGCCCCACCGATGTGGTAGGAACGCCTGAACTCGAAAGACTACTTTTCATTGTGGCAGACATATTTGTTGAGCTCAAAAGTGTCACCGAGTCGGAAAGCTCGGCTGAATGGGCCGGAGTACTCTCTGCAGCAGAGATTCTCGAGCTGTGAGGCGCAACCAAACTTGAAGAATTCGCGGCTCTGTGACTAGATTTTGAGGCAGGCACCGTGTTACCGGTCGATATCGAGACTTTGCCCCAACCAGAAGAATTATTTGAGCTAGGGAAAGCACTCGAGGCAGAAGTCTCGATCGAGCTAGTCGGTCTAGATCTTGTCGCGGTATCCGAATCCAAGCTAGGGTGTCCAGTTAATAGAGTGGTGGCGACCGGAGTGGACAGTTCTTTCGAGTCCTTCAAGTCGTGGTCAATACGTAAACTCGCTTTAGAAGACTCGGTCGAGGATATGGTCTCGAGGTCAACGGTGAAGGATGAGCGCTCGGGAAGACCTCTCCATGAAGTAGTCCTCGACAGATCATCTTTTGACGAAACGACGCTTGATACAGAGGAATCAAGGCGCGAAAATGCAAAGCTCGAGGAACGGTCCGAGAATGTGGGAGTTAGTGGTGCATTGGATGAAGTGGTGTCCAGGTTAGCAGAGCTCGATGGAGAGGCGTTCGACGAGGTCTTGACTGAAAATTCAGTCTCGAAAGAATAACTGGACGAATCTTTTTCCACAAACGTCGGTCTTGAGGCAGCGCTCCGGGGAGTAGCGCTGGACGGGAATACTCCCGCTGCTGCGGTGCTCAACGCTGTGTGCCTGTCCGAGGACGGAGTGGTTTTCGACGTTGCGTTTGGCAGATATGTGCTCGATGAGCCGCCGCCCCCAAGGCTGCTTGATGAATCACTTAAAGAAGAGACTCTCGCGAGCGAAGCGGTTTGCGAAGTCATTGTTCGTGAAATTGAAAGTTTAGCACTTCCCAAAGACGCACTTAGCGAAGCAATGCTTGGAGTGACACTCCCAGAAGCAGCTTTCGAGGAGAGACTAGGAGTAAATATCAAGGAAGCAGTACTAGAGGAAGAGATTACAAGCGGAGCACTGCTCAAAGATGGGATAGTTAAATGAGAAATCATCGAAGAGAGTGCAGTTGGGAAGGCGGACGGGGTGCTTGGAGAAAGTACACTCGGATGAGCATCTGAGGAAGAGGGGACAGGGGAGGAGACGACGGATGAGGCCCTGTTGGGGTGAGGAGAGATTGAAGAAGGATGTGACGAGGTTGGCCGTAGCTGAGCAGCTGTTAGGGACTCGGAGACACGAGGCGAGGGTATAGGCGAGGATGCAAGCCTGGATGCCACTGGCGAGGAGGTGGATGAAGTGCTGCTCGTATGCAGAGAGGGGGCAGTTGCAGGGGTATCTATAGAAGAAGGGATAACTGGCGAGGCGATGACTGGGGAACTGGAAGGCCCAGAGGCCAATGAATATGTGCTCTGAGGGAGGACAGTTGGACGGGTATCTATAGAAGGGGGGCTGGCTGGAAGGGGAGTAGGGAAGGAGGCGAGTGACTTGATACTCGGAGAAAAAGCAGTTGGAGAAGAACCTATAGAAGGGACAGCCAGGGGGGTTTTGACTGAAGAGGAGATAGGGGAGGAGGCAAGTGACGGTGCTACTGGCAAGGAGGCGGATGAAGTGCTGCCCAGAGAAGAGACAGCTAGAGGGGAACCTTTCAAAACCGTTGTTCGGGAGGCGACAGGAGAAAAGGCCACAAGAGAGGAGGTGGTAGAGTAGGTGGTAGAGTAGGCGGATGAAGGTTTGCTTGGGGAAAGAGCAGTCAAAGAAGGACTCATAGAAGAGGCGACAGCTGGAGAGGCCCGGCTTGAAGAGTCGACGACCGAAAGTGTGGAAGCCGAAGAACCGGCAGCGAAGGAAGGGGTAGCCTCCGTGGGAACCCAAGCTGTAGGAGTCGAAAGCACGGCAGAGTCCCTAGTAGTGGAGGGAAGAGGAGTAGAGGAAGGAAGACTCCGAGATTTTGCTGCCGCGGACTTGCCCGCTGAAGGAGCAATCGAAGGAATAGCTAATGGTGTGTTTTTCCCAGTGGTTATGCGAGAAGTCGTAGTCGCAGAGCCAGTCGAAGAGGCAGAACCTAGAGGTTTGGCCCTCAAAGGCGTAGCCGATAAGCCTATAGACGAGGAGACACCTCGTAGAGTACCGGAGGATATACGTTTCGATGTTTTAGCTGCTAAGGTACTAGGCGATAGAAGACTCGACGAAGTAAACTTCCGACCTAAGCTCGGAGTCGCAGCCAGAGGGCGCATCGAAGAAGCAGCGCTCGAAGGGTCCTTCGAAGGAACAACCACCGAATCAATCTTCGTAGAGGGGGAGAATATAGCAGAGTTGGGGGAAGGGGGCATGATCAAAATAGCGGGAGCCGGATGTTCCGGAGGCATGCGAGAAGTCGTAGTCGCAGAGCCAGTCGAAGAGGTAGAACCTAGAGGTTTGGCCCTCAAGGGCGTAGCCGATGAGCCTACAGACGAGGAGATACCTCGTAGAGTACCGGAGGATGTACGTTTCGATGTTTTAGCTGCCAAGGTACCAGGCGATAGAAGACTCGACGAAGTAAACTCCCGACCCAAGCTCGGAGTCGCAGCCAGAGGGCGCATCGAAGAAGCAGCGCCTAAAGGGTCCTTCGAAGGAACAACCACCGAATCAATCTTCGTGGCGGAGGAGAATATAGGAGAGTTGGGGGAAGGGTGTATGTTCAAAGCAGCGGGAGCCGGATGTTTTGGAGGAGGCTCCGACACGGGGGTAGTTGTCGGCAAGACGGTCTTCGTAGGAGTCGCAATCGAGAGGGTGCTCGACGAGGTGGGAGTTGTGGTGCGGGGCTTTGGTTTATCCTGAAAGTAGCGAATATCCTTGATCTTAAAGTACGACTCACGAAAGACGCCCGGGTTCTTGGCGACGTAGTCGACACAGTTGGTCTCGCGGGTGGCCCTCCGACAATCACCGTTCCAGATGTCGGGCATGCCGGCCGGGTTGCCGCAAAAGTCGAGGTCCAGGACGATCCTCTGGTTGGCAAAGTGACGATCGATGTTGCAGTCTTTGTTCTTGAGATACACTAGGGGGCGCCCCCAGGCCGAGGTATCGGGAGAGTCGTCGTCTACGTTGCGCGGTGCTAGATCATATCGCCACCTGTAGATCTTTATGAATTCGCTGGTCCATTCCATGGCGTCTGGGACAGGGATTCGAAGAGTTTCCTCGTGGTCAGCGCCCTAACAGGACCAAGACGTTGGGAGAAAAGACAGGTTCAGGCAGACTCACAGACACTGCCGGCGTTGGGCTCAGTCAAGCCAGCTGCTTCGACCGCCGAGCAGCCGTTGCCTCGCGACGCGACTTCGTCGCATGAGCCGGAGTGCACATAGGCGGCCTGGTCAGCTCCATCCATCTTACACCTGCCGCTTCTTGCCGTCTCGGCTACGCGAAAGGTGGGCTGGTTCCAGCTATTTAGATTGTAGCCTTCGAGAAGGTCTATCTCGCCGTCTCTGGGCCAGTTGTTGCCGTATGTCCAGCTAGTGTGGTGTCAGAATAAAGCAGAGCCGATACTTTCCAGCACGAGAGAAAAGTTGAGAAAGAAAGACATGGGGGTGTATGCGAGTTGAAGACAAGGCGAGCCCTCGAGCTCGAGGAAGAGAGGAGAGACGGGATGCGACTTACAAGGCAGGCCAGAGACCGCATTTCATCTGAGGCGTGTGGGTGAATCTGGCGATGACGAGGCCATGGTTGTAGCGCGCTTTGGACTCAATCCTCACGCTATCACGTCCGGGGCTGCTGTCAGGCTCGCAGGCGCCTTTGAGGACGGTCCTGTGGTCGGGACCAATGTAGACCTGGTCGTCCTGGTAGGCAACCAGCCCCTTTCTAAAGGCCTCTGATTCATTCTGGAACACGGAGTATCCTGCGTCTCCCGACTTGTCCTATCGTTTGTTTTCCTCTCTGGTCAGTTTCGGCGGTTCCGGGCGTCATGCACACATCTCGTTGAGTCTGGTTCTCGCTCCGCCCGTACCGTGAAGAAGTCGAACTTTGTGAAGAAGTTGGAGGCATCGTATGTGTCGGCCAGATGCCACCTGGGGGGAGCGGCGATGCTACTGCTTTTGCTGCCGCCCGCCCACGTCACGATGACGACGGCGAGCGTAAGGAGGCGGGAGGCGGGAGCCATGGTTGGCGAACTGCGGGTTGGTACTTAACGACTGACTGAATGCGAAGACAAGGAAGCGGCATGACGGAAATTGCGTCCGACTGCGAACCCGGAAGCTGTCGATGCCGGGCGAAGGGGAGGAAAGGGAAGAGTTAGCGGCGTCTATACAAAGGCCAGAACAGACGATGGCATTCACAAACAGGCCAGCCGCGCCAGCGACGGCGGTGGGCATGGCTGCGGCCCAGGGTTCTTTTGTATCTTGCAAAGCAGACAAACAAAGACAAGCTACAGCTCTGAGCTGCCAAGACACGCACCTGTCCTAAAGCAGGCTCTTAGGCCCCGTGTCGGAGACGATCTCAACCTGTGCCCCGGATAGGTGGATGGCAGACTCTATTGGACCCCGGGCAAGGTCGTGAACCATGCAATACGGATGGTGGGGAGAAGAAGTGCCTGCTCACACGTGGTGGACCCGACACAAGGCTCTGGCCCCCAGTGCGCCGTCCAGTTGGCACATACCTCCGGGTCCTAATCGTCCATATACATGGCATGCACTGATGCAGACCTAGGGTAACAAGGAGCATGCATTCAGCAGCAAGGCCGTACTGTATGGCCTGGCCTTGCACATGTGGTCAAGGTCCATGTGAAGGCATCATCAGCTCAGGGGAGACGGGAGATGGCCCATCGGACGAGGCTTCTGCGTGCGCCGGAGCACAGCGGCTGCTCGACAATGTCTGTCGCGGCATAGATGAGGTCCCACGTGCCAGGTACACGACGAGCAGAGACGGACCCCCCTGTCGTCACGGATTAAGCCGCTGTCAAACTGCCGGCTGGGCTTGGCGACCCGTCGTCCGACCTAGATGTCGTCACGTCTCACGCGGCCGGCGGATCCATCGGGAGGGGGCTGAGGCGCCGGGGATGTTGAGGGGTGTGGGGATAAACGTCTGGCATATATTATTCCACATACAGTATACATTGGTGGTCAAGAGACATGAGGCTGATGTGCATGTAGCAGCCGAAGAGGGTCGCCGACGGCAAATGTCATGATGATGATGCGGGGCCCGTCTGTGTAAGGCAGCACAGAGACGCGGTTTACGGCCTCGCGGCCACCACGGGAACCGGCGACGAGCCCGGCAGAAGGGGATGTGTCCGTATGCAGAGCCGGAGGCCGACGCGCGGGCGCAACGTTGGGGAGGCAGAGGCAGAGGCGAAAAAGGGGGGACGTAGGACGTTGAGCAGCAGCAGCAAGCCCGAACCAACCGTTGATAACACTGTAGCAGCATCTACTATTGCATATGCAGGGACCGCTCCTCTCGCCTATCATTCTACCCCTGCCGGCCCCGCAGCCGCACGTTGACAGCTGATGGGGGCGCGGGTATCAAGCGCACGCCTCCTCGACCGCGCAATACCTACTATTCCATCCTCTCAGAGCGCCGTATCGGGAAAGAAGCATTTGTCTTGTCATTGCCTTGGCATCTGTCTATTCGTTGGAGAATACGGCGCGGCGTCGCTGCCCCTTACACACCGTGGGCATCCCCGATTATCCCATTCCTGGCCATTGCACCATCAATGTTCGTCTCCGCACTCTTCTCCTTGATCCAAACCTCGTTTATATACCCCAAGCACAGCATCCACTCCCAGATGTGCTAGATTCGCGTCTTCCAATGGCTGGATCATGTCCTTGCTTGTTCTGTGTATGGTCGGACAACCGACGGGTTGATAGAACGCCGTCACAACTGCAGCTGAAAGCGCGAGGGGCTTCTCTCGTCTCAGATGTCGTCAACCAATCAGAGAAAGCCTGGGTGCTGGGCTAAAAGCGTAATGAGGGATGCCCTGAAATAAGTAAACTATGATAGGCGCAAAGTTAGTCTGATTTGCTGATCCAGGTTCGCCAGATATATGTAGATCCTAGCTCTGTCTCTCCCGTCCAGCCTTGGTGACCACCATCATTGACTTGGACGGGCCATCATGTCACCAATGCACCCATTTAGCTGTGATAATGTGCGAAGGCTCTGTTGAGGCTGCTTGGAGCTGCTTTGAACCTATTGGCACATGTTTGTATCAGCGCTCCTGCACATGCCTTACCTTTCCTTTCCCATCTGGTCTGTCTCTCTTGTCCCTTCCCTTTGGTTTGTTCCACGTTCCCGAAGCGGCCATCTGGAAAACGCCGTCGTTTCCCTCATTTTCGGATCCCGCCGCCCCTGTCGATCACTGTTCCTTTGCCCACTCGTAGGATGCTCGTCTTGGTATACATGCAGTGCATCGGCTTGTCCTCGGCCTGCTCCAAACATGTGCCGCGGTCAACATCGTCGATATCACCGTTCGGCCAAAGGCCTCACGAGAGAGTGCTGTACGAATGTACATACATATGCACATGCAAACGTTGCCTCGCCCTGGTCTGGTCCCGGCGGGGGGTTGCACGAGGCTTTAGGGGGGCCTCATTGAGGGTCCATGGCTCACGAGCTCCCAGGCTTGGCCGCGTGCTCTCTTCGCACTCGGAAAGGTATATCTAAGATTTGCTTGGGCTATGATCCGAGTAAGGCAGGGCCAGGCGCCTCCTAATGACTCAGACGCGTCGGCATCGCCGGCCAGTGCCAAGTGCGTTCTTTCATGACCTTGGAGCCCCTGTTTTGGCTTAATGTCTACCTGCTTGCCAATTCTGAGCAGTCGGCCCAGTCCAATTTACCCGGCCTCGAAGGTGTCTACTGGTAGGACTCGAGCAATGGAAAAACTGAAGACTTTTCTGCTGTCAAACCGCACGACTGGGGATGAGAAAGCGGTGAAACGGACAAGCATGTGATGCCGTACAGTATTCAGGCATCCTGGAGCTTGCCTATGGGACAGAGCGCATGCCATGGCGCCACGCTTGCAGATGAATGAGGCCGTAAGTCGGAGAATCGTTGCATCAGGAAAGCAAAAGTGAGTTTGATGCTGTACGCATGTTGCCATGTATGTAGGCTTTCTGACTTTGGCGAGGCTCCAACGGCCCGGCGCTCCGTACTTGCTCGTACGGTACAACATATCCGTCGCCGGTGGCTGTCACCGTCAACGGATGATTTGTTCTTCTCGTTCCCCAGTTGTTCTCTTAGGGCCCGTTTTCAAGGAAGTTGGCGGAGTAATAGAAACAAGGAACATCTGCCCACGAGGCAAACGGACCATACCACCCCGAGCCCCGGTGGGCAGCAAGTCAGGTAACTGGCACCGGCTGCGGCTGCGTATATGGGCGGGCGGAGAAAGTCTCGTCTACCCAAGCCCTATACGGCCCTCTGTCTCCCACTCTGCGGGGCTTTACTATTTTTCTCACTCTTTTTCCCATGACCTGGAATTTGCTGGTGGGTTCCTCCCCCTTGGTGTGAGCGGAGCGTACAGGTGTCAAAGTATATATGAGCAAGTGTGTGTGGCCGAGGGTGGGATATACAGTACGATGGAGGGGGTGGACAGATATCCGTCGTTATAACCGATACGATGAGTATCCACGACGAGGTTTAAGTGGCCAGCTGCAGACAGTACGCGTCCAGCGTCGTGACGAGGGCTTGTGCGCTCGTTGTACGAGGTGGTTCTTCGTCGGGGTGATTGATCCGGTCAAGTGTAACTCGTAGAATGACTTTGAGTTGATTCCGAGACTTAAGCATATACAAAGTGCCTTGTATGCCAGAGAGAGGCGCCGGGTTACATGCGGCCTGTATATCCCTGCGTATGTCTATCATGTGCCCACTCGCACTTATACATACACGTGCTCGAACTGCCGTCGGACACATCTTGGACGGGTCGGACATGGCCGGGAGCAAGCATGCGGAGAGTCGCGTTCGCCTCGGTGTCAACGCGCCGAAAAAAAAACGTGGCAAATCAGTTATATCCATGTTTGTCGTATTATTGATCTCGGCGAGGGTCCCCTGCGAACTACTCCGCGTCGAATACCACCGACGACGAACCACGAAACAGGCCCCTTGTACTGTACATAGCTTGCATGTAGGCTCAGGCCTGTCGGGCACGAAGAGCGACGGACGGGCGGGGAGAACGAACGAGTGGCTGGGGCAAGCCGAGATCAGCGCGCAGGGAAAGGTGGTATGCATGCCTCCATGCATGTTCAGGGGCCCCCCAGCAATCATCCATGTATGGGCTGGGTTGCCGCCCGACCAACCAGGAGCCGTCCTCGAGGCCTGGGGAGAATAACGTTCGCCAAGGAGTTGTCCCAGCTACCGAGGCTCTGGCTCGTTTCCTTTTTACGATAGTTTCGCTTCTTTTTTTTTACCGCATCATGTCGTGATACCTCGGCCTCTCCGATGTAAACCGGGCGGCAACGCCCCGGCTTCTTCCGTCGAGGTTTCGTATCGGTGGACTGTGGACGCAGTACGTCTACGCATCACGTCTACGCGAGGAAAAGAGAGAATAGACGGAGTATGAGGCACGCAAAGGTACAAATGAACAGTAACGACGAGATAAATCTTCGGTCATAGTGTATATTTTCCCCCTTTATACTTCGCTCTTCTCTTCAACTGCAAATAGGGGACTATCACGGCGCACAGCCCAAGGCTCACAAAGGAGAACAGCAGGCTGGTGCTAATTGACATGTATGTATAAGCCAACTTTGGAGGTCAGTCGAGCTACGCACACACACAGCATAGCCCGATTTTGTACTAAGACTCGGCCTCGCCGCTACTCGTTACGTTTCCAATGACGACTTTTAACCTCTCTGATCCCAACTCGTTCAGCCGTCTTCCCCTTTTGCTCCTGGCCATCCTTGCCCGGCCGCGTCCACCCACACTCCCCGTCCGCCTTGCCCTGTCGAGCATTACACTTTTCTATTCTGGGTTCCGCTCAGTACCACACGGCTGGTTGACCTATCGGACTCGTCCGCGATACATGCACTCAGCGGATGTACATGTCATTGCCTGCAGCCGCGGTTCTATTATCGATGTTTATACGCCCCGGTACTTTTCAAGGCAGATTTTTAATCCACCTTGTAAGCTGTCCATGTGGACATGGCACGGTCTGACTCTCTACTACGGATACATGTCCACACAAGTCTATCCATCGTCTTGGCCTCAGCCCCCGAGCTCATCGGCACACCAGTAGATGCGTCCATGTCGAAGCCACCGGGCAAGCTTTGTGGAAACACGGCATGACACAGATGCATAACGAAGAAAACAAGGGAGGGGGGGTCAACCACCGCAATCTTTTCGCACCTCACCCTCGGTGCAAAATACAAGCGAGAGGAAAAAGGTTCAGCGTTTAAGCGGCAGGCCCACCTCTTCCGTAGCCGCGGCATAAATCGGCAGTTCTCTTTCCAGCACCCTCCTCTCTACCTGTTTCTAGACTATATTCAGTGTCTCATTCGATACCTCTGACTCCTTCTCAATTCTTCGCGTGCTTCTTATCGCCCGCATGTATGTTCCTACTATATCACATCAAATCCACATCTCGCCAAAGTCAACCACACCGACGCTCCGATATTTAGTTCTATGCGGTCCTACAAAGACTGCTGCAGCTTTCCTTTCCCCCGCCTCATCCATTAGCTTTTCCCTGTTCTACAACACAAAACGCGCATGCACACTCTCACACGGAGCAGAAACTCCGCGACGACACACTCCCCTCCTACATCTTCGCAAACACTCGTCGGCCTTTTTCCCTTGTCTAAATATTTCTTCTCCTTATCAAGCAGGCATCGTACTTTCTTGATCTTCCCGACCAGGTGTTACATTGCGCTTTGGTTGATGTTATCTTGGCTCCCCTAATTCTCGCCCGAATCCATCGGTGTGCGAGCTATTGTTACATGTGCTCACGTCGCGTGCAAAGCTGGCCCCGAACAGAATGTGCGCAAGTCTGGTATGAGCGTCTATCGTTTTACATTTCTCGAGGTCCTGAGGCCTTGTTATGCCGGGGTAAAGATAGACCATCTCCGTCTGGTGCTTCGTACAGGCATGGTATTACACAAGGCTTCACTCTCTCCCTCCCTCAAAGCTCCTCACGTCTTGCTCCGAAAGAAAGGCCTCAAGGCCCTCGCCGCAGCCTGCTCCTCCTTGCCCTCCACCTTGACCCTCCTCACCCGCACCCACGTCCCCTCCTCCTTATCCACGCACACCTCGCAAGCCCCAGTCTCGTCATCCATCACCACCGTCTTCACGAACTGCTTCTCCCTGCCATCGCCGTGCCGCGGCTCAGGCTGCTGCACAAACGTAATGGTGCCTTCGACGCCTCTTCTCCCGCGCGACACAACCTCGCCCGTCTGCGCAACGGGCGCAATGTCCTGCCAGATGATGCGCCTCCGCGCGCCCGCTTCGTCGACGGCCTGCGTCCAGACCGAAGCGAAGACGCGCAGCCGGCGCTCGAAGAAGTCGGCGCTCGTCCACCACACCCAGTCGATCTGCGCGTCGGCCTTGGTCACCTTGGGCGCGTGTGACAGTGGTCCGCTTCCCTGCTGCCACGGCGGCAGCCATCCGACGTCTCGGTGCGGCAGCATGTACAGGCGGTCGCGCAGGCCCTGGACCAGCATCTCCGCCGCGGCTGCCGCCACGTCGCGGGTCACCTCGTGGATGGAGCTGCCAGGCCGGACGGGGACTCCCGGCGGCGGCGTTTGGGCCAGGACTGTGCCGTGGTCGAATTCCTTGTCGTCAAGCGTTTGTAGAGAGATGCCGATGTGCTCTTGTCCCCGTAGCATGGCATGGTGGATTGGTGCCGGGCCGCGTAAGCTAGGTACGAGCAACAAGGCACCTTCTCTTAGCCATAGACATGTCCGCAGGCTCGAGGCCAACTTACTCCGGCAGAAGCGACGGGTGGACGTTCAACCCTCCGTACTTGGCCGAGCGCAGGATCCGCGGCGGCACGAACAGGCCAAACGACACGACGACGACGAGGTTTGTGCCCGCGGGAAGCTGCAAGAAGCGATGGGAGAGGAATTAGATGAAATTGGCTTCTCGGTGAGCTGCCACAAGCTCCGTTCTTCCTGGAGAGCTGCTCAGGGGCGAGCATCGATGAAGCTCACCTCCCAATCCCGGAACGTCTCTCGCTGGTGAACTCTCAGCCCCAGCTCCTCGGCCACGGCCTTGCACGGCACTACAGAGACGAGCCATTAGTTAACGAGTTCTTCGAGCCCAGCAATTCTCTGCACATCATCGCCTACCTTGCCGGAGCTGCTTCAACCCCCTCCCCGTCCTCTTGGGTGGCAACACCATGACATCCAGCGCCTCGACAAGGCCCCCCCCGCCACGCACATGCTCGCCGTGCAGCGCGCGCAGCGACTCGCAGCTAAAGGCATCGGACCCGCAGAACAGGATCCTCAGCGGATCCGTCGCGCCGTGTGCCGTTGACAAGGCCCGGCGGTGCTGGAGCGGGAGCCTGCCGACGACGACAAGGAGCCGGTGCGGGAGATTGCGGAACAGCATTCTCGGGGCATGGCGCATTTTTGCTTGTCTTGTTTCTGAGGTGTGTGGTTTGCCAACTATTCGGAAGGGGATATATGATGTGGTGTCGGAGTCAAGGTGTTCTGTACGCGTTTGTCGCAAGCACGCTTACATGCATAGCCAAAGCACTCGTGCTCTATATCATCGCCGTCAACACCAGCTTCCGTGAAGTTCCCAAGAATGAGTCGCAAGGTCAAATAAATCCAATCAAACCACTCTCCAATCACACGCAACCGTCCAGACACAACCCTCCATCTCCGTATCCCAAACCGGCGGTCCAACCATCACCACGCCCCCCTGTTCCACCGCCGCCCTGCTCGCCGTCCCCCCAAGCCCCGTCAACCGCCCCTGCCCAGCCAAGATGAAGCCCCTCGCGGCGGCGTCGGAGCCCGCGCGGCCCCTGACGAGGTTCATTTGCCGGCCCGGCCGGACCTCGTCCACCACGATCCGCAGCGTCGTAGCGTCGTCAAGCGCCTTGTCCGCGCCGTCCCAGCCCTTGGCCTCGGACAGCCACCCCTGCAACTCGGCCGCGAGCCCGCCGGCGAGGTACTTTTCTCCGCGGCGCTGTGGCGAGAAGGCGGCGGGGAGGATGCCTGCGGCGGCGGCGGTGCCTGCGTCGTCGTCGGTGGGCTTGAAGCGCGGGGCGGGTCTGAAGACGGGTTGCAGCGCCTGTCTGGCTTCTGCTGCTGCTGCTGCTGCTGCTGCTGCATCGTCTGCCGGCACCAGATCGCCTTCGTCAGACACGAGTTCCGTGTCTTCGTAGTGTCTCGGCAGTGGACTCGACTCTCCAATTGGAGAAATGGAAATCCTGCGCCTCTTGGCCTGCCTTTGCTCCGGCGACGACTGCACGTGAAGAGGCGCGTCCTCGGTGTCGAGCAGTCCAGCAGCCTCGGCCTCGGTTCCCGCCTCCAACACCTCCTCCTCGAGGTCGGACCCCCGATCCGGGGAGCGGCCGTCGTCACCCGGCGACGTGCCCGCCCCCTCCGACTCTAAATCGATGGAGTCGTGCGTATGATCCAGCCGCCGCCTCTCGCCAGCCGCTGCCGCCGACGAATCCGTAAACCCGTCATCGTCCTCGTCCTCGTCGTCATCGTCGACGTCCTCAACCAAGCTCTCCCTCGTTTGCGTCGGCCGCGGCACCGAAGAGGATCCAAATCGTGGCGTAGACTGGAATTGCGGATGTGGCGCGGGCGTCGTCGTCGCCGTCCTCTTCTTGGCCGGCAGGAACCGACGGGGTGTGGGCGTCTTGTCGGGGATTGCTGGTTAGCGCGCCTCGTCGCACGACCTTTGGACGGAACGGGATGGATGGATAGAGAGGGCAGGGCGGCTCACTGAAGGCGGAGGGTTCCTCTTCATGGTGCTGCGCGCCCCATCATGTTGGCTGCCCTGGCGCTTGATTTCGCGTTACGGAAGGGCGGAATGAACTTGGACCGGGAAAGCGTCACTGGGCCTGCAGTCGAGCCCATCCGGCCGCGCGTGGAAGAATCGCCTTTGCTGAAGGGACCCTAGGCGACAAGAGTTGACGCAAATACGAACGTACGGTGACGCGCTTCCAAGTAGTCGAAGCTCGATGAGGTAATGCGCAGGTAGAGAAGCCCGTCTGTTGGCCGGCAGTGGGTCCGGCCACTCCCCTCTATATCTTGTACCATTCTGCCTACCTTCCTACCATGTACGAAGACGTAAAAGCCAGATTCTTCAAAGTCATCCACCCCGGCCATTGACGGCAATTAAGGTCATCATCTACTATTGTATCTGCCTCTGCCATGCTCTCGTTTGGTCCAGCCATCTGCTATACATCGAGAAAGGCGGCCTCAAGAGCGAGCTTCTCGGCTCCTCATCGTCTTAGGACTTGCCCGCGGTCGGGCGTAGCTGGTACATGGAGAAAAGAAAAAGATAGGAAAAAAAAACGCCGGTATGTGCATCTGCCCCTTACTTTACCCTCCATGCATAAATGGCACGCGACTCGACCAACTGGTCTCAACAAGCATAGCAGCATAACGCCCCAGGGAGCAGGCGCCGGCCCCTTGGACACGACCCCGCAGGCTCCACGATTCTCAAGACATCAAATCGAGGCATCGTGCTCGAAACTGGGTATCCTTGAACGGACAAGACAAGTTGGCAAAGGACAGAAAGAATTGGAGGGAGGGAGTGACGAATCGCTCGACGGGACTCCAGCCGGAGGAAGGCGACGGGGCTCTCTGTGAGCGGGCCGGAAGCAGTTCAGCCAAAGGCAAGCACAAACTCTGTGCGGTGATTGGCATCGGTCGGCTCCGTGTCCTTAACCTGATGCAGCATGATTGAGGGTAAACACGGGCGTCCGTGTTGCTCCTCCCAGCTCGGCCCTCCCACGCCCGTGTCGGCCCAGCCCATCCAGTTGTTGTACAGGCGGTTTGGCGGTTCCGCGCGATAGTACCACGTCGTGCCCTGGTAGCGTCGCTCGCGGCCCCAACCCATCGGGCTTCCGCGCCCGCCACTCTCGCCCTTGGGGCCCGGGTTGAACCAGCTGTTGATGAACTCGCCCTTCCAATCCCGATCCATGAAGACAGGGTGCGGAGCGAAGACGGCCTTGAAGCCGTGGAGCAGGGCAATCGTCTGCGGCGTCATCTCCGACGCGACGTGGTTGCCGCGCATATTCTCGACGTGCATAATGTCCAACAGCCGCTTCGAGATGCGCGAGTGCGTCACAATCGTCGTGCGTCGGGGCAGGTCCTCGGAGCGGTGGTGTCTGTCCTTGAACCCCCAGACGTGCTGACCGATGATCCACTGGCTGTCGACAGGGTCGAAGATGGGCCCGACCGAGATGAAGTCGGCGTCCTCGCCCACCCCCCACTCGTAGTCATCGTCCTCGTGCGACTCGACGGGCGGCTTGGGCCCGACGGGATTGACAAATGGCAAGTCCACGGGACCCCAGACGGTGTCGTTGCCGTGTCGCGCCGCCACTTGCTGTCTAAATTCGGTGTCGTAGTCGCCGTGGTACTCGGGAATGTACCAGCGCTCGTTTCTCTCCCACAGGTACTTGCGCGGCTGCTTCTTGGCAAACTTGCTCAGATTATCCAGCAGGTCAAAGTGGTGGCCGGTGAAGCGAAAGTCCATCTCCCAGTTCCAGATGAAGTCAAACTGTGGGTGGTCGTGGCTGAATTTTTGAACCGAGAGCCACTGGGCGGTGTGGACGCTCCTCTCCTCCTCGTCCTTGAGCTCCGTGTAGATCTTCCAGACCTGCTCGTCGTTCCACAGCACCGTCATGCCGCGAAACTCTGCCGGCACGCTTTCTTTGAGGACCGAGAGGTATGTCTCTTGGTCGTCAAATATACGGCGGTTTCGGTCCTTGGAGTGCACGAGAAGAAATACCTCGTACTCGCCACCCGTCTTGAGGCTCAGCTCGCTGACCATGGCCCGGATGACTTGCTTGTCGTTTTCCGAGTACATCTTGCCCGTGTACGAACGTAGCAAGATGGCCGTCCTCTTCTCCTTGACGCTTTCGTTGCCGGTGGCCTTGGCCGGCGTCGCTTCGTCGTCGACAGACGAATGGCCCTTGACCGTGGAACCAGCCTCTCTAGCATGCTGTTTTGCCTTGTTGGAGGAGGGCGGGGTCGTCTCGGCGTATGCGTTGAGATAGTCGTTCTTCTTGCTTCTGTTCATGTTGAAGCGGCCGGCATTGAGCTTGAGGCAGCGCTGCTTAAGATCGCCCCAATTGACATTGTCCCAATCCACCGTCTCATACTCGCCGCCCACCTTTTTCATCTGCTGCGTCAAGCCAAAGGGGCCCAGGCGCGTGTCACGCTCCCAGCAAAGGTTGGGGTCCATGTTGAGTGCCTCGTAGCTCCCAAACTTGGGGGCGGGCCACATTTCGGGGCGGCCCTTGTACACAAGCAGGTCCTCGACCAGTTCGCCGGTAGGGCCCTTGCAGGGGACGTAGGCCGCGTGGTTCTGCTGTCTCCACTCTGCGCTGTTGTAGTCGGGATACGGGTTGAAGCGGACAGGTTTGTCTTGGACAACGCTGGCCTCGACGCGAGGATCCTCTCGCAACATCTTGCCCTGCTCATCGGTGCGGTTTTCCTGAAGAGTCAGGGACTGTAGCGTGTTGCCGTAGATGAGGTTTGAAGACTTGAGGCTGTGGGTGAAGCTCGATTAGTAGGCGGTAATTGAAGCGGTAGTCAACCGAGGCTTACTTGGCCGTTGTCTTGTAGACGTAGCGCCACATCTTGCGTAGATCCTTCTCATGCTGCAGTCGGCCGACATCGCCGGGTTCTCTGCTTTTGCCATCCGTCTCATAGCCAGGCAAAGCATCGTTGGGGTCCTCATGGTCGTCAGGGTCAGACCAGTAACGGAGGTCCTCGATGTCAATATGCCACTCAGTCTTTGTCTCGGCAAGCTCGTCATGGGGGTTTGATGTAAGAGGTTTCCTGTCGCCGGCAAATGGCTTTTCACGGAGGTATGGGACGATGTGAGCTCGAGGCGCGCTGCTGCTGAAGAGGAGCAGATAGGACGTGACCGAGGCCAAGATCAAGATGAGAACGACCCTAGGGCGTGGTAGGGACAGTAGCTTGCGCCGGCCCTGGGGGTTGAGTAGTTTGCCCATGTCTCGGGCTGATGGCTAGATTCAGCGGCGAGTTGGCAGGTGGCCCGTTTCGAGGACAGGCTGCAGGAAGCGGACGGCGGACGGAAATGTCGTCGGGGGCCGCGGTGGAGAGACTCGAGCGAGCGATCAAAAGCGCATGATGCGCGTCGAAAAGGATAGCGAAGGACGAAAAGGGCAGCGTTGGGTGATGAGTGTTTGCTTTGGCGTCGAGCGAGGTGAGACAGGTGATTGTTTGGCCGCTCGGGGCTGTCTGAGGTGGCCGACCAGGGGCTATTTTCGGACGGAGGGCGGCGCGCGGGAGAGAAAAGCGAGAGAAACGGGGGGACGGGGTGCTCGCCAAGCAGCGGTAGTGGTGGCGGCAAAAGTGATCGAAGAGACCAGAAACGACTGTTTCCTTTGGCGGTTTCGAAAGGTTGGCAGACGGTGAGAGAGGAAGGGATGTCGGAGAGAAGGGGGAGGGAGGAGGCGGAGGGAGGAGGCGGAGCAGGTTCGACAGAGCAGAGAGAAAAGAAGAAAGGAAGAGGGCAGGGGAAAGGAAATCAAGGGTAAATTTGATGAAGAGTGAGGGGGGGAGGGCGAAAAGGAGAAGTGCAATGGGCAGGATATGAAAAAGGTCAGATCGCGGGTATATACCTGGACTGCCGGCTAATCCGCAGGGGAGGGATACCCGGAACGGCCAGTGAGTTTGTCCGCCCGGGGGTGCACGCACGCACGCTCCCCAGGCAGAGAAGCCGGCTGGCAGCTTCACCATTTACAGTGGCAGGAACAGTAACAGCGCCGGCGGCGTTGGGATCATCCAAAGACGGCTCGAGAAAAACATCGAGAACGCAGCCGACTGAGCGTTGGCGTGGTTTGCCAGCCAATGGCGCAGCGCCCGGGCTATGCTGAACCCGTTCAATCTCCACTCGCCTGGCGCCGCACGATCCCCCCCACAAGGACCCCCTCCCAGCGCTGTGATCGCTGGCCGAGGCGGGCCCCGGGGTTGATTGCAGTGGAGTCGGGCGGCCCGTTTTTCGCGGCACAGTAACTGTAAGTAAGGCGCGCAAACAGCCCCTGAGAATCCAGCAGGTATTATCACCCAACTTATTAGCCCTGGACCTATTCCGTCCGTCTGCGCAGCGTCCAAGTACCGGTAGGTAGCCTGCAGGCGTCCTTTTTTTCTACTGGACCGATTGTATTAATAGTGTGTATCTGTGCTTGCGCAGATAACGTCGGGCATGCCGCCGTGGCGTGCAAGACGTTGGCGCTGCTGCACGCCTGGAGTTAAAGTACCCACTGAAAAAGGTACCTAGGTACTACCCTCCCTTGTCGTCCTTTCCATGTTACGTACTCTTTTTCTCGGGGCCAAAACTCAGCCCAGAGTTGTCAGTATTAGATAAATACATGCATGCGGGTGCGGCTACGAGGAGGTATCCGTTCCCGGCCCGCAGGTCGACGGATCTTGGGAGGCACTATCTCTTGACAGGCCTTCAATGTGTATCTTTGTCCACGAACGCCCTGGTTTAGGTTATGTTTTTAAATAAGTTATACTCCGTACAGTACTGTCCTGACTTGAGCCGCGGCGAGTGATGTACCTTGATATAGTGACATGGGATGGAGAAACTTCTCTACCATTCTGCAGCCTTGAGACTTCGCAAGGGAGTCGTAACATACTTGGACTACCTATCTACTTAGTGATATCTACATAAGTACATACCTTGGCTTGGGTTATATGCACACTCAAAAGCTAGATTGCGTCCGCAGACGCTTTGATTGGGCCACTTACCGTCAATCATGCTGCTTATCCGACTCCTGCCCGTGTCACGTTTCGCCTTCCAGGTGGTTTATGTGCAAGGTACATACGTACGTGTACCAGTAGTGTGTACAGGGCAACGAGGATCCAGTAAGCCCTCATCAAGTTGCCTCTAGTAAGCAGTGTCTGGCATCATCCACCCATCCATCCATCCATCACGGGCTCGGGAAATTTACACGACTCGTCTCCCTCAACCGTTCGCGGGCACCCTCCCCACTGTCAGGGTAGCAGACAGCGGTTGTTATGCTTTGCTAGGCCAGTCTCACTTCAACTGCCCGCCGCTTCAAGTCTAGCATCTTGACACGTACGCTTGACAAGTCACGGATTCGGCCGTCGTCGACGAATCTCCGCCCCCGTACGCGTAATCGCTCGAGGGTAAACTGCGCCGCTGTCATTTTTAGAATTCTCTGGGCAGTCGGCAAACTCAGGACAGCCGGCAAACTCACGGCATGCTTGCGGTACTGCCTTGGCTCTAGGGTAAGCCGCAGGCAGATGGATGGCTGCTCATCAAAGGCCAGCCAACCCTGTCAACACTCACACAAATCGCTTGCTTGGCGTCGTCATTGGCCCCTCTTCGTCACACCCCAAGCCACCCTCGCGGGGTCTGCGTGGGCACGGGAGACGGGAGAGGGGAAAAAGGAGACGGGAAGGATCAAACCTATCTGGAGACGCGCCACCAACCACCTCCACCTTTCTTCTTCTTCTTCTTTTTCTTCATCTTCTTCTCCTTCTTTCGGGCATTGCCAACACCAACCGGCCATGAACAAGAAAATCGACGGGTTGGGTTGTCAAACTTGTCCAAAACAAACCTTGGTCACCGGCCGCCTGCAGCCGTAGCCGCAGCCGCAGCCATCTTACGACAGCTTTTTTTCCCGAGCCTGCCACGAAAAAGGCAAAGCCTCCGTCTCTCCTCGCCGACAACGTCCCCGGTGAGAATGTAGACATGTACCACCAGCCAAGCCCTGCAACCAAGAGTGCGTGGGCATGATGAACCCGCAGCTCTTCACTCAGCTTTCCCTCCCGGCTCCCTGCTCTGTAAAATCCCTCGTCTGGATGCTCACTCGACGCTCGAGGGCCCCTGCAAAAGGTGCTTGTAGCTTAACCTCTTGACCATTCATATCCTCATCTCCTTGCTCCATGATCCCATGCTAGCAACACCCAGAGCGAAAACAAGGCAAAGGTCCAATCCTGTTTACTATCTTCACGAGGTCCAAGCACACATTTCGACAGCGTCACATACATTACCTACATGGCCCCCCCCTTGCTTCCCGTCCCCTCCTCCCGAAACCCTTTTCTTTTCCCCCTTCCCATCACACGCGTGTCCGCCCGGGCTGTCGGGTAGACCATGTAATTAGTTCTGCGCTTGACAAGGACTGCGCGGGATCCATTTACAGAGGAGCAACTTGTCGGCGAGCATAAGCCAATGCCAGACACCTGCAAAGGCAAGACTCCTCTCCCAGTTCTCGGGACGGAGGGGCCAGGGTGATGTACAAGCACGAGTAACGGCAGCCTCTCCCTTACTTGCATACAACAGAAGAAGCGCAAGGATAAACACTCAAGCAAAGAGATGGAGCATGTAATAAGCGGTCATTAATTGCTACTGCCCAACTACGCGATGCTAAAACCGCGGGGGGCGATTTGTAGCGTCTTCGGACCCCGAGAATTACAACAGACTACCTAACACAGCGAGACTCGACAGAGATATCCATCTGTCCACTCCTTTCCGTGTTCCCTCTAGACGCCTGCGGCCGTTCATTCAATATCCCTCACTTGCCCATCGTACCTCTTTTTCCCATTTTCTTCCAAAACGCCGAGCCACATCTTTACCGTCTCCCATCATCTTTAAGCCACCAAGCCCAAATCAAATAAGACAGCCCGGGGTATAATATACGACCACAGATACAGAAAAGGGTATATGAAAAAGGAACAACAAAAAACTGGCCATGGCTTATGTTGCATCAAGTTGTCAGAGGCGCCTCACCAACTGGATGGGCGCCGGCAAAAAGCGAGGTAGAGGGGCCGCCTCCAAAGCCGAAAGAAAAACAATAACAGAAAGGGACAGAAACGTCGTCTCATGCATTTCTTGTCCAAGGTGGCAACGACAAGAGGAAAGAGGGGACATCGGCCTGTCCATGGGTGCCTGGTCGAACCGGTGTGCGCGGCGGAGATTGAAAAAGGGGGTGTTTCGGAGTGGCATCCCGGCTTCACATGCGACCCAAACGCGTCATGCGCTTGTTCATCTTGGGCCGGGGACCTCCCGGCACGCTGGGAAGGGGACGGCTCCCGGACGGCACTACGCCGCGGGACGCGCCCGTCGACCCTCGTCCCGGCCGGCTAGGGTTTCGGCCGGGGAGGCCGCCCGCTCCTCCATAGCCCGGCCGTGGGCCGGATCCGCCCCTCTGAGACTCGTAGCTGTCTTGCTCCGCATAGCCGCCGCTGGGCACCGGGGGCGGCTGCTGCGTGCGTTTCCAGGCGTCGCGCTCGCAGTAGGCGTTGCCGTCAACCTCGAAGTAGCCGTCGGGCAGGGACCGGCCGCAGTCGAGGCACCGGAAGCACCCGACGTGGTACTTGATGCGCGCCTCGTCCTCGAGGTACTGGCCCTCGATGCCGCGCCCGCACGCGCCGCACAGGCTGCCGTTGAGCTTGTGGTAGTGTTGCTCACAGTAGGGCTTGTCGCCGAGCACGTAGAACTCGGCCGACGTAAAGGGCTCCGAGCACGTCATGCACACGAAGCACGCCTTGTGATACTTGCCCGTCAGCCGCCCGTCGGCCGACGAGATGCTCTTGCCCTTGATAGGAAGCCGGCAAGCCTTGCAGTCGCCCCGGGACGGCGACCGTATCGGCTCTCGCGAGCCGGTGCGAGCCAAGTCTGGGGCCCTTCGCCCGGCCGCAGACGGCCCGCTCCGCTCCTGGTACAGGTCGTTGCGTCGGTCGGGATATCGCGAGTCCGGCCCTCGTTGCGCCGACGCGTTGTAGGCAGTCGAAGGGAGTAACTGGTCGTAGCCTCGGGGCTGGTCGAGCCGGCCAGGCTGAACGGCCGGGTCATATCGCATTTCCTGGGGCGAGGTTCCGTACGGCGATTCCGTCATGGGCGAGGGACCGCGGCGCGGCGCCTGGATTGCGGGATCTCGCGTCCGCAAGTTCTCCATTGAGTCGCCGAGATCGTCCATGTCCTTGTCCCGATACGTCTGCGATCGAGCGGGACTCGTCTGCGCTGTCGAGTGGCTCGCTTCGCTAAAAGTTGAGTATCCTGACGAGGCTGAGTCGGACGGCGTGTGGTAGGGGTTGCCGACGCCAAACTCGGCGGCCAGGTCCACCGACGCGGAGTCTCTGGGCGTGTGCGGCCCCAGCAGGCTGGTCCGCGGCGGCGGCCTTCGTGACCTGTCCGGGCCGATGGACCTTTGCCGATCGTCGCCGAACTGGCCGTATAGGGGGGAGCGCTCTGCGCGGCTGCCCGGAGCCGACCCTTGCCTGCGCGGAGGCTCCATCGCCGCCGAGGGCTTCGGGTACGTCTCGGACCGGCCCGGGAATCCCGGACTTCTCGGTTCCGACGTGTTAGTGGATGTCGACGGCGGGCCGAAGCCGCCGTATCCATTCTTGCGCGGTGCTTTGGGCGGTGCAATGGTGATGGTGTAGCTGCCCCCGGACAGGTTCGAGTAGCCCGTTCCCGGCCGGTCGATGGTGCGTGCCAGGTCGTCGGCCGACGGGCCATCCCACATCTCGAGCGAATCTTTGCGGGTCGGAAACGCACTCCGCTCTGAAGGCGGTCTCGAGCTGGCGTTGAAAGGACCGGGCGCGACGGCGTTCATCCGACCGAAAAAGCCACCGCCCTGCTTCCCGGAGCCCGACTCCTCCGGCCCCCTCCTAGCGGCACGGTCCTCAAGTCCCCCATAGCCCCCTGGCCGTTGCGCCTGGGGAGACGAGCGTGAAAAGTAGGCGTTGGTGGGGCTTTGGCCGGGCCGACCAGCCACGGGCGAGGCAGTCCGGGATTCGCTGGGCTGGCTGACGGGGGTAAGCTGTCCCCTGTCCATGAAGTGCCGGTCTGCTAGATGTCGTTAGGTCACGGGCATGTTTGAATGGCGGGAAACAGAAGCGAGGCCCGGGTGCCAACTCACTCGCGATATTCGTGTTCACTCGAGGCGGCGTGCGGCCAGACATGCCGTACGACGGCTGGCTGAAGTCGTCGTCGAACTGCTCTTTGGAATCAGGCGGCGGCGACGCTGCAGGCAGACAAAAACATGTCAGTAAGAGAGGGTGACAAGAGGATCTATACGGTGCAAGACTGACGCTCAGCCGCAGGGCCTCCGCAGAGGTGGTCTCCCATCATGGAGATTTCGACTTGATTGCCGCATGCTGAGCATTTTATCGTCAAGGCAGACTCCCGCGACAGGGCCATGGCTGGTGAAGCTCGTGACCCGGGCGCGGTCTTCCTCGTGAGAGCTAGTGGTGGCCCAGGAGCGAAGGCTGGCTATTCACATTAGAATGGGACGACGAGGTGGAAGTCGAATGTGTTCCAGGAGTCGTCGGTCTCGGGACGGTGGTGTTTGTTGAGAGAAGAATACGACGGCGGAGGAGGGGATGGGGAGAAGAGATGGAAGAGAGCGGAAGGCGGAAACAGAAACAGCCGATCCAAGAGGAGCGAGAGGCAGGGGCGTGGACGAATGCCGGGGCGCCAAGCCGTGACGTTCTTGATGGCGGTGCTTGGCCAGTCAGTTGACAGAGCAGAGTCGGTCTCGAAACGGGGGTGAAGTGGGTGCAAGAGCTGTAAGTATGACTCGTGCGTGACAGTGGGGGAGGGCCGCTTGGCGGCACAGTGGAGTCTCATGAAACAGAGCCGACGAGGGCATGCAAAATGCATAGAAGGGAGGGCCTCAGTTGCCGGGGGCGTGGTGCAGCGCACAGTGTCTCGAACAAAAGAAGAGGTGTGGATGGAGGATGTCGTCGACTGGTTCCTCCGGGTACCTTGCAATGGCTCGCTCCACCTGCGGCCGGTCCCCTAAATACACACTTGCCGGGACGACGACGGATCGAGGGCGCTAAGAAGGCCTAGGTTTGTGCCCCTACGCCTATTCTGGCGCCTTGCATGTCAGTCCAGGCGGCTCACTCGCCGACCACTTGATGAGATGAGGTCGGGTGCCTTGCATCCACGAGGGAAAAGAAGAAGCAAGGGCCCCTGGCTGCTGCCCCAGGAGGAAGGAATCTGGAAACGAAATCGATGACGGAAAACGTACAATGACCTGAATCACCTAACGTAACTTCTCTCTCTCTCTCTGTCTCTCTCTCTCTCTCTCTTTGCTTCTTTGCTCGTGGGCTGGAAGGGAGGGTCCCCTTTTTCATCTCATTTCATTGTAATTTCGAGGACAGGATTTCGCAATGGACCTCTGAACGGCAAGTCATTCATTGTGCACGTGCGTAATTGTAAGTGGTCGAAGATGATGACGACGACGACGACGACAAAAGCAACAAGACGACAACCTCGTGGGCCTATATACCTACAAAGCTGAACAGCATCTTCAATGCAGGGCTGCACCCATTGAAATGCGATAAACGTTTACCGCATTGTCTGCAGGGCCTGCCTGATCAGGGCGAACAGGCGTCTTTGTTCGTTCCCTGCAGCCACTATTACGGCGTATCCATTCAGGGTGCAGAACCAAGCACCCACCCCCTTTCTCCTCTCTCCCTTGGCAAAGGAAAAAAAGGCCATCCAATGATCATCCCATCCCATCACCATTATAGTTATCGCTCGACGAGAATGAAGAAAGAGCACGGACGTCATGGGACTGGGGTCTGTCGAGTAACTTCGAATCTACAACTGCTTCCCCCATCCAGCCATCGTCCGGTCGCAGGTCCCGAGATACGGGTTTGTGCTTCTATTCCTTCCTCTTCATACTTTCCACTCCCTCGGTAGCCTCCAAACTGTATCGTACGTAAATACATGCCTAGGCCAGGAGAAGAAGCAAGAAGGCAGAGCCGCCGATTCACCCCTTTCCGACATCCATCCACCCTCTGGCCGACATTACCTATGTAAATTGCCAAGCGGGGAAAAAAAAAAAGGCAAACGACAGCGCCAACGGCTCCATCCGGTCGATCTCGTCCAGAACAAATTTGCGGGCACGACCGACCATGCGTTAATGAGGTGTCCACCGCTTTGATGAAATGGCCCATGCCATACGGGTTCTCCCTCATGCTGCACCGCATGTGCGGTGACGTATCAAGGACGGAGCTCCATCGAGGCCGTACACCATCGAAGAATCCCTTGCCCATAGCAGCATGCTTTGCATTCGCATTGGGCCAAGGCAGGCATGTACGAGGGAGGGAGCATTTGTCTGTATATTATTCGCATAGTACAGTACACCATGTACGAAGTAGTAGGCATGGGTTCATGTTCGGGTCCGTATGCTAATTACTTGGACGATTGAGATCAGAGGCGAGGACACATTCCCCTTTTCTTCACTTTGGCCATAATGCCGCCTGCCATCCTTTCTTTTCCCTCTCTCTCATCTCCGTCCGAATCATCGCCTGCCCTACCTCGTCCCTCGCTACCATGCGGCTGCCGAGGGAGACATTAGTCCAGCTACGTCTTCATCTCTTTCAGTTAGTGACCTTTTGTCCTCGGCCAAGAGCTGCCGGCGGCTAGAGACAGGCGCCCCGAGGGAGGCTTGGCCCCCAACCAGACACGAGGAAGGGTTTTCCTTTTTTCCCGGTTCACCTGTCTTTCTTATTCGAACCTTTGTTTCTCGCCAAAAAAAAAAAACCCCAGTGGCCAGTGGGTGACGTTTAATACGAGGTCATTCGAGTTCACCTGCCGTACGGATACGCCCCGCGCGTGCTCTTTGTCCTTCCCCCCAAGCCAGTCACCACCAAGGCGTTGCCCGGTTGTCCGCGAGCATGCCTGCGGTATAGCTTCTTTTTCCAAGCCCTGGACCCTGTGGCTGAAGTGCACTATCCGGTTTGACACCATCGGGTATTCGCCTCTATCCATCCACATCGTACAAAGTATCTTTTCCTCGTGCTGGACCTGCGAGACTTGTCTTTGTTTCTCCTTTCTGGTGGATGGATGATCATCATCTACCTTGAGGTGTAGGTATTCGTACCTCGCTGCACATTGCTGCGTTTATGTCAAAATTGCCCTCCTCCCTCCAAGTCCCCCCCAAGACAAGAAACGGCGCCATTTGTTCGACCAGGCTCACGACGGTCGGCAGGGCATGACGCACAAGAGCCACCAAAAAGCCACGAGGGCGGGATTACACGAGCGAACGGCGCCACTGCCCGGGAGGCGCGCCGGGGTGTAACGCGAGCAGACCCCTTCCCCCAATCAATTCGGCTCCGTACAGGCGACTCGGGCATGCAATACAACGCCATGCCGTTGTTGACCGGCCGCGAATGAGCATTCGCGAGTTTCAGGAGTCGCCCATGTGCGTCGGGTCTTATTCGTGCATAGGCGAGATGCCGCTCAGTCCTTTGGCGTACATTCAAAAAACGGGCATAATTGTCATGCTTGGCCCGTTGAGAGCTAGTTAATCCACAGGTATCGGCGTAGCCGCCTGCGGTATGCATGAATTCCTCATACCGGACGGGGCATATCTCGACGGCGGCGCCTAATAAGCATCGAGCACGTTGCACTGAGTCTGAGACCCGCTCACCGAGCCGCTCGATGGTTCCTGGGGATGGGGGCAGTGTCTAGCATATGGATAAGTTGCCTCGGGAACCGCCGACACTGGGAGCTGAAGCTTATCGCGAGACTGCTCTGCACCGAAGCCCGTGGGGAGGAGAGAGAAAGAACCCTTCGCGGCTAAAAGCCCCTGGCCGCCTGTCGACTCGAAACCCCTTCTTCTCTCCCGCTTTCTGGCGCATGCAATACGGACCCAATGCCGAGTCGTTCATGCTCGGCCCACAAAGATCCCCCATCCGCCAGCTGCTGTCCCTTCGAAATCCCGGTTCGCTGGCACGCATTCTCCATATTAACAACGCTTCCAGCCAGATTCCAGTGCCGGGCCATCACCCCGTGCCCTGACGTTATGCTGTTTCAGGCGGATATCTTTTAGGGCCCGTCCGCCCCCGGTGCGGTTCCCATGATTCGTCGGGCCCAAAGAATCGTCCAGCTCGGCTTTCTGGAACGCGGGCGTTTTGGAATGCTTGTCCCTTATTAACCCACCAGAAGAGGAAGCCAAGGGAAGCTTATTCTTTGACTTTGTTGCTCGTCCATGGCCCGGGAAGGCGGATGCACTGGATCATCGCGAGGGCGACGTTGTTGGCTTTCTTGGGAGCGATTCAAGAAAGGTCGCCTGGCCTCATGACGAAAGCTGTGGCGGCTGCTATGACGCCCTCGGCCCGGTAATGCCTCTACTCATGTTTCCAATCTCGCGAGGGCGGGTTTCGCTATTTACGTCCATGCAGCTTGGATGTTGTGTCTACGCAGCGATGCCCTGGTTCCTGCGGTCGACATGTACACCAACTTGACATGTTTCATCGGTGCCGTCCCAAATGCCGTGGTCCCGGATTCACGGGCGGCACGCGGCATATTGGGGGCTCTCCTCTTCTTATTCCCCGTGTTTCTTGTTTTAGTCATGCAGTTGAGCTGCCGATGCCCGGGCCCGGAGACAGATCTGCCGATGAGTCTGGTGTGGTCGCCACGAAACCTAGGGCATCTTTCTGCTTCGTGAAACCCTTTTCTTGATGGTTTCTTAAGGAAGAAATGCAGATGATGGCCCCTTTGGTCGGCACCAGAGAGGTGACGGCAATGCGGTGAGTGACAAGGCCTCGGAAAGGCTGGCGATTCCGGTGGCCACACTGACGCATCCATCCCTTGCTGTCATGAAGCAGCGTGCATGGAGTCCAGTGTGTGTTCAACATGTTTCGGGGTGTGTTTTCGATTGGTCTTTTTTTGTTTCTCAAGACATCCAAGGTGGGAAGGAGAGGAGACATGTCCCGCCCCCTTTACGGCAGATGGGATGATTGAGCCTGCAAGCCGAATACACACGGGAGTACCGGCACTGATCAGCAAGCGATGAATACTCTGTGTATGTATGAGACTGACTGATGTCGGCTGTATAGGGTAGCCACGCTCGTTTTGAGGCATTTCGGTGCCGGCTGGTCGGGCCGGAGCGGGGTTTCGGGGGTTGGCCGGCGAGATAAAGTCCGCCCCCTACGGCCATGGATGAAGAACTGTGTGCAGAATGTGCCCCGGAACTGTTGTCGCCGCATTATGTATATTATGTATGCGCTTTTTGATAAGTACTCATACCTGCATTGATCACGGAGCGAGCTTGTGTCTGTTGCCTGAGCCCTGGCGCTGCAGAAGCTGGACGGGCAACACGGTTGGCGATATTCCCTCATGACAGCTTCACGGCGGACTCGCCGGCCACTGAGCGAGCCTGTTGGCCAATGGATGGATGGATGGATGGACCCTAGAACTAAATACTACCGCGGGGCATGCAGATCTACAAGACTGCCTTGCCTGCCCAACCCAACCCGCAGGCGCAGGGGCCACGGGTCACCCATTGAGCCATTGGACATCCGCAGGGGACCCGGGTGGCATCGAGGCTTTTGTTGCATGCACAAAGAGCGAATGAACCATGATGGTGCCATGTATCGTATGGATTGCCGCCAAGCCTCAGTGCGAGATGCCGGCCCTTAACAATTCAATCAAGACTCCACCATGCTACTCACCGCCTAATGCACGCAGCCCCTCCTTGCTCGGAGAAGCCCCAACCACCACTCTCTTGTCCGTCAGCACCACCACCACTTATAGCACATCCAACTTGACCCATTCGAATCTCCTTGTCCTGGCTGTGAATCGCAGACGACAGCAGCGGCAGCAGCAGCAGCAACAGCAGCTTCCTTTCCTCTCCCTCACAAAACACACATAGCTCTACAGATCGAGGCCTTTTAGCCCTCGGTCACGCCCAAGTCGCCAAGACGTTCTCCAACCTCCTCAACAGCCTTCACCACCCGTTCGCAGGAGCCCGCTGCTCTGCCGATTCGGGAGGAGCATCGGACTCGACCGAAACGCAGTAAAAAGACAGCGCTTCGATACTGAGCAACACCCCTTCCCCGACCATGGCTCCCCACGCCCAAGTCGCCGCGGCCGAGTCCAGCGGCCCGGGCCTCACAAGCGGCACGGCCTCATTCGTCGTCAACTCTCCCAACGTCAGCTACACTGACGCCGAGATCAAGGCCCAGTACACCTACCGCACCACCAGCGTCGACGCCGATGCCCATGGAAACCTCGTCGCCACGCCCCGCGAGGTGCTCTACGACTTCAAGGTCGACCGCCGCGTCCCCCGGGTCGGCATGATGCTCGTCGGCTGGGGCGGCAACAACGGCACCACCGTCACCGCCGGCATCCTCGCCAACCGCCGCGGCCTCGCCTGGGAGACCAAGGAGGGCCCTCGCGCCGCAAACTACTACGGCTCCGTCGTCATGGGCTCCACCATGAAGCTCGGCACCCATGCCAAGTCCAACAAGGACGTCAACATTCCCTTCCGCAACGTCCTGCCCATGGTGCACCCCAACGACCTTGTCATTGGCGGCTGGGACATTAGCAAGATGGACCTGGCCCAGGCCATGGACCGCGCCCAGGTCCTCGAGCCCACCCTCAAGGCCCAGGTCAAGAAGGAGATGGCGGCCATGGTGCCGCTTCCCTCCATCTACTACCCGGACTTTATCGCCGCCAACCAGGAGGACCGCGCCGACAACGTCATCGAGGGCACCCGGGCCTCGATGGCGCACGTCGACCACCTGCGCAACGACATTCGCAACTTCAAGGCCACAAACGGCCTCGACAAGGTCATTGTCATGTGGACGGCCAACACGGAGCGGTATGCCGACGTCGTGCCCGGCGTCAACGACACGGCCGACAACCTGCTCCGGTCCATTGAGCAGGGCCACGACGAGGTGTCGCCGTCGACCGTCTTTGCCGTCGCCTGCATCCTCGAAAAGGCGCCTTTTATCAACGGCTCGCCCCAAAACACCTTTGTGCCCGGCGCCGTGCAGCTGGCCGAGAAGCACGGCGCCTTTATCGGCGGCGACGACTTCAAATCTGGCCAGACCAAGATGAAGTCGGCCCTCGTCGACTTTCTCATCAACGCCGGCATCAAGCTGACGTCGATTGCCAGCTACAACCACCTGGGCAACAACGACGGCAAGAACCTGAGCTCGCAGAGGCAGTTTCGCTCCAAGGAGATTTCAAAGTCCAACGTCGTCGACGACATGGTCGAGGCCAACTCGGTTCTGTACAAGGAGGGCGAGCACCCGGACCACTGCGTCGTCATCAAGTACATGCCCGCCGTGGCTGACAACAAGCGCGCCCTGGACGAGTACTATGCCGAGATCTTCCTCGGCGGACACCAGACCATCTCGTGAGTCGAGACCCATCTTTTGTTATCGCGGCCAACTGACTGACGGGACCCAAGCCTGTTCAACATTTGCGAAGACTCGCTGCTGGCGTCGCCCCTCATCATCGATCTCGTCATCCTTGCCGAGATGATGACTCGCATCCAGTGGCGGGCCTCGGGCGTCGACGGCTACAAGAACTTCCACAGCGTCCTGAGCGTCCTCAGCTACATGCTCAAGGCTCCATTGACACCCCCGGGCACCCCCGTCGTCAACTCGCTCGCCAAGCAGCGTGCCGCCTTGACCAACATCTTTCGTGCCTGCGTTGGTCTCGAGCCCGAGTCGGACATGACGCTCGAGCACAAACTCTTGTAGGCGCGTCGGCTCGGTGTCCAGCTTACCTTCTGCCGCAGATGGCTTTTTTTCTTGGATTGCTTTTTTGGGAGGACGTGTCAAGCACTCCAGACAGTCGTTACCGAGACCGTGAATGAATAAAACTGCACCGTAGCAGCAGACAAAATATGATAGCGGGCGAAGAAGGTGAATCAGTGGCCTGTGATATCGAGGTATCTTGTACTTAACGCGGATGCGTGGCGCGCCCAAAACCGCGTCACAACGCGTCAAAGCTGCCCCGCGGCCCACTTCAACACTCTTCCCTCCGCTTGCATCTCCATATCCTCGATTTCCATGTTTGCGAACGCTTGACCGACGCATCTGCTTAGACACCCAGCAGTCGCGTCTTCACTCTAGTATATTTTCTTTATCATTTACACTTCCGGCCAATGGCGTCCTCGCGCGCATCTTCACCCGCGGCAGACGCCCGCTCGCCCTCGCCAGAGCTGTTGACGCCAGAGCTGTTGACGCCGCGCTCGAAAATAAAGGCGCTGCTCGCCACGGTGGAAAGCAGCGACGACGAGCAAGATGCAGTGGTTTCGAACAAGAACCGCCGTAAACAGTCATTCGTCGCCGGCCCCCGAAACCGGCCAGACGAAGAATCTGACGAGTCCGACGTGACGATACGACCCAGAGGCAAGCTCGCTTCTCGAATGCAAGGCGCCGCTCGAGAACGCGCCGAAAACACGCTCGACGATGAAGAATCCGACGCGACGCAGCGACAAACGCGTAAAAACGCCGATGCAGATCGAGGCGAAGACAGTGACGACGACGACGACCTTCCGGTGGCCCCTCGACGCCTGAAAAGATGCTCCTCCGAGTTGAAAATACCTGCAGACCCGGAGCATCCTGCACGCGAGCCTAGTCCTGGCCTCTTTGTCTCCTCACCGTTGCGTCCGTCTCCTGCCAATAACAATGACAGAAACGACTCCGAGTCAGATCAAGAACTTCCCGCCCTCAAGTCGGATCGCTTCAAGGCTCTGGTGGAGCGAAAAAGGCAGGAACGACTGGCCCGCGAGGCATCTGAAGAGGCTCGCAAAGCCGAGCAACGGGCACGACAGGAGAAGCTTGCCTTTGAGCTCGACCGGCTAGGCTCAGACGACGGCGCCGATTCCGGAATCACAGATGATGAAGGCGGGCGGAGGCTCACCCAAAAGGCTCGTCCAACGCGCAAGGCGAGCAAAAAGGCCGTCGAGGAAATGAACCGCGAGACGCAGCGCATGGCACGAAACATGCAGCTCGCACACGAGGCCAAGACGAGGAAGAAAATCTCAAAGGCGAGCCTGTTTGAGAGGTTCAACTTTAGACCTGCCGGCGGTTCGCATCCAGAGCCCAAAACGCACAGCTCAAGCCGACCGACTACGCCCCAGTCCGACGTGGAATGGAAGGACGCCGACACGCCGCCGAGCTCGCCACCAGTAGTCGCGGAACAGGAACTGCCCAGGCTCCAGGTCAACCAGGATGCCGACGCGCAAAACGCCGGAGACGACGAGCTGCCGTCCTTGGATCAAGTCATGGACTTGGCCGTGCAGTCGCCGCCCAAGGATAAAGGCAAAGCCATCGCTATCGATGTACAAGACACGAGCAAGAAAACGCCCAAGCCCAAACGCCGCGTACGCGTTCGGCTGCCGGCAGCGACCTTGAAAGCCTCAACGCTCGACTCTGATGATGAACTCGAGGTCAAGTGCACGACAAAGGACAAGGTCGATGCCGTCTTCAACAGGATCCCTGCGCAGGGTGACAAAGAGTCGCGCTCTCTGAGAGCCCTACGAGCCCTGGCACTAGTCAGGTCTCCAGGGAAACAAGGCCGTCAGAAGCAAGCCAATTCCTCCATGACAGCCGCGGAGCTCCAAGCCCAGTTGTATCAGAGGGCCAGACAACAGGCCAGGCTCGAGCGAGACCGGCGCTTGGAGATGCTCAAAGCACAAGGAGTCGTGATCCAGACGGCTGACGAGCGTGAGCGCCAAGAGCAGGAGGTAGAGGATCTCGTCGCCAAAGCAAGGGAGGAGGCCCAGAAAATCATGCAACAGGAGCGGGCTGCTGCCAAGAAAGAAAAGGAGGAGGGCGGCAGCGTCGACCCTCTAGCTTGGGACGACAGCGAGGACGACGAGTATGCCGAAGCGGCAGATGAGGCTGATGGCGAAGCGTCTGCGATTGAGCTCTCTGACTCTGACACCAATTCTGAAGAAGAGGGGGAGGAGAGTGATGAGCCCGGCAATGGTGAAAACGCCGCCAAACCCCTTTTCGATGAGGATGCAGAAGTGGAAGGATCTGAGGTCTCGGAGCATTCTGATCAAGGCACGGTCTCAGAGCATGATGAGGACCCCGACCAGCTGCCTGTTGCAAAGCAGAGGCGAACTCGCAAGCACACCACCATCTTATCCGACGACGAAGCCGACATTGAAGCCACGCCCAAGCCCAAGCCAAAGGCGGCCCAAACAACCCCGGCAGAAGCTAGGACAGCATTTCCCGCTGTGCCGACCTCTGTCCTTCGCTCGGCCAAAAAGTCGTTCATCCCTGGGCTCCCCGTGCAGGGGCCCGCTGGTCTCGGCCTGACGCAAATCTTCGCAGGGACCATGGACGACAGCCAAATCGGCGGACCGACGCAATCGATGATGCCCGACTTTGACCAATTCCTTGACTCCAACTTTACAGCAACTGCGGAAGAGCCCGCGGAAGAAATGATCATGGACACCCAGAGGGAAGAGACTCCCACGGCGACACAAGGTACGCAAGGCATTCACTTGAACTTGACGCAGTCTCAGATGCGGGGGCTCGACAGCCTGCTTCCCAACAGCTTGCATACGCAAGTGTCCGAGTCCATGGAGCCCTCTCAAGACGCCGGACTGCAAGAGCAAACGCCTCTCAGGGAACGATTCGTCGAGCCTCCGTTCTCGACGGTGGAGACGATCCCGGCCGACCAGCAGGGCGATGAGTTTGTTCATGACTCCCCACTCGTTCGCAGAGGGAGACTGCGCCGGAAAATGGACATGGCTGCAGTCGGGGAAGAAGAAACCCAGGCCACTCAAGTCAATGCTTTTAGAGTCTTGGCCGAAGGCGCCAAGGAAAGGAAGCATCCCGAGGACGAATTTGACCGAAAGAAAACCAAGGCCAAGGATATGGTGGAGGACCAAGCCGAAGAGTCCGAGGACGAGTACGCCGGTCTGGGCGGTGCTGACGGCGAAGGGAGCGACAACGAGTCCACTGGGTCGCTGGAGGAAATCATTGACGATGCAAAGGGCAACGATGTTGACGAGGGCGAGCTGGCTGCCTTTTACGCGTAAGTGATTTCTTGCGATGCTTCAACAGGGCTCTGGCGCTGACTGACCGTCCCAAAGTGATCGCGAGCGAGCCAATGACGAGATGGAGGTGGAGAAGCTCTTCAAAGACATCACGACGGGCATGCTGCGGCGCAAGCGCGGTGCCGACTACGACCTCTCGGACTCGGACGACGGTGGCGAGGCTCGTCGGCGGATGAAACGTCGGCAATTTTCCAAGATGCAAAAGGCGCTATACACGGACGAGCGCGTCAAGAAGATGGCAGAGAACCCCGGAAACCAGGCGTTCCTCCGCACCATTGAAGATCGCGGCAGTGAGGACGAGATGGATCTGCTCGACATGGCCGACGCGCCAGAGGAGGCTGACACGCAGTCGCAACCCCAGGGAGAAGGCGGCGGCGGCGGCGACACAGAAGCGCGCCAGGGGCAGAAGACGATCCCCGACAGCCAGCCGGGGAAGCAGCCGCTGGGAGCCTCGGAGCAGGGCAGGGCGCCGGGGCACATGAGGCGGACGGCGGGCGGGAAGAAGCCGTCCAACATTGGCCAAATCCGCGACACGCTGTCTGACCTGCTGGAGGAGCGGCAGGGGTCCGTCATCCCGGCGACCGAGGCAGGCTCGGAGAGCGAGGACGAGGGTGACGATGAACATGACGACCGCGGAGCGTCTCGGCGCAGCAACAAGGAGAACCAGGCGCCGAGTGCCCCGCGGCGCGGCGTAGCCGTCGTCGACCGCATCAGCCTCAAGCGAAACAGCTCATGCATGTCGTCGACGTCAAGCACGCGCCTCGCCTTTGCCGCCCACGCCTCGGCATCGTCGTCGTCGTTCAAGGTCCCCGCCCTCCTGCGCCGCGCAACGACCAACTCGACGCGCATGTCGGGCTCGGCCTCGACCGCTGCCTCCTCGACCACCGCCACCACGGGCGCCGGCGGCTTCGGCGACGACGGCAAGATCAAAAAGGGCGCGGGCAAGCAGAGCGGCGTCGTCAGCGGCGGCCTTGGCGCGCCGCGCCATGGCGAGGGGCGCGAGCCCATGGCGCAGGCCGGCGCGCGGCGGCGCGAGGAGAGGAAGGCGAGGGGCGCGGTGAGCAGGGTTGGTGTCGTGGGCGGGCTTTTGGCGAGGGGGTCGTTTGAGTAGACTGTTTTGGGACCGGGAGAAGTGTTTTCCTCTGGCTTGGGTATTCCTATCTACTTATTTTGGGCATCATCGCTGATATGGCGTTTACGGAGGGCATGCATCGGGGCTCATGATGAACGAGGGGGGGTTGGTTCAGGATTGGCTGGAGACGATTTGCAGCTCATGCATATATAGGCTGAGCGTGATGACGATTTGGAATACAGAGATATCCAGGCGGATACCCGTCTCCAGTCTGGACAGCGGTTGCTTGCAGGAGCCTGAAGCAGATTTGCCCATTGGAAATGACCCTGCCGCGTCGGCTCAGGGGTAGGAAATAACCACTTCCATCCCACCTGACGCAGACACCCAGCAACGATCATGCTAAAGCTAATGCAGGAACTAGCATGAGACGAGACGCAAGCAGCTCGCTGGAGAAAAGCGCACTGGCTAAGTTCTTCACCATGCAGTTGGGCACAGCTTCTCGTCCTCGACCCTTTCCCGCGCCCCGCCCGTTCACGCAACTGACCGGACAGACGGGGTCCCGTCCCCAGGCAGCCAGCCACACTCGACAGGGCAAAGCCTCTCCAGAGCTGCCTCCCAAGCGATAGTCTGCATCATGCCGGGAGTGGAAAAAGAAAAAGTAAAGAAAACCCCCATTCCGGCAACCATCAAACAGCCGGGGCTCCCATGATTGCAAATGCCGGGTATCACTTCACGCTGCCAGGAGCCGACGGCATCCCCCATCATGGCCGTCGCCCCTCTTCCCTCTGGATCATCCTTAACCGAAAGTCCAAGCACGCCACGCATGTGCGGTCCCGGAACATGCTGAAGGCGCATGGCGCCATATGTAAAATGCGGGCAGGAGTTTGCTCATTTCGGAGAAAACAAGCCCGAAGCCTCGATCCGCTGCCCCCCAGACTCATCGTTGCAGGATGGCCTGTTCAACACAGCCGACAAACTGTGTACGCGGTCAACACCAGCCCCAAGGCAAACAGTCGTCTCAAATTTTGGGGATAATAGAAGAAACATTCAGGATGCTTACCTTCTCAGTTACGACACCCTGGTTGGCGAGATATCGAGACATGCTCCTCACAAGCTCGACCTGCTCCTCTGGGCTGAGACTGGTGATGGCTGTCTCGAGGACGGAGCCCAAGGTGACCTTGTGCACCTCGATAAAGGTGTGATAGTACATGTAGGCGAAGAAACCCATTATGAACTGGCAGTCCATGCGGTCCGTCATGCCGCCGTGGCCGGGGATGGAGTCGCCGAAATCCTTGATCTTGAAGGTGCGCTTGAGGCCCGAGGCGAAGAAGCCGCCAAAGGGAGCGATGAGCGAGGCAAACGTCGCAAGCACGAGCGCATGGATCTGCATGGGGGCGAAGGTGAGGGAAAAGTTGGTGTTGGGCGGCAAGAAGAAGAGCTCCGGCAGCTGGTACGTGCGAGGGAGGAAGACGGGGTTCGGTTCGCACTCGAGGCCGGTGAAGATGTTGGCGCCAAGGTCCTGCGGGCGTTGCCGAGCGGTCAGAAAGTGAAAAGAAGTCATGCCGGTCATGCAGGGGTCGACTCACATTTACGGGGCAGATGAAGTATTTCGAGCGAATCATGATGTTGACGAGCAGCATGGCGAAGAGAATGGTCATGATCCAGGCGCCGACAAAGCCCTCGACCGTCTTCTTGGGCGACAGCTTGATGAGCTGAGTGCGACCAAAGGCGATGCCGCAGATGTAGGCAAAGATGTCGTTTGTGATGACGAGGGCAGCCGGGAGGAAGAACCAGATCATGCCCTCAAAGATGTTGTTCATGACAAAGTGGGCCTGCACGACGACGAGGTAGAGGGCCATGTGCGTCCAGGCAAAGTTTGTGAATTGGAACTTTAAGTGGCCGGGCCTGAGGGTGGCGACGAAGCAGACGAAGCCTGGAGGAAGGTCAGTGGGAAAGGCACGGGCAAGGGGCAGGCGACTGACCAAAGACGTAGAGGATGAAGCTGATGAAGCGGTGGTGGGTGGCGAGGGGAAGCAGCATCTTGTCGACGAGGACGACGTGCTTGAAGTAGTAGATGACGCTCTCGCCGTAGAGAAAGTACATTGTGCTCGCGAGCCAGTACCAGTTGAGGCTCTTTGTGGCGCGGATGGAGCGCGCACGACTGGGGACAGTGGCGATGGCGATGATTTCCTTGAAGCAGACAATCTGGACGGCGGTGATGACGGCGATGATGTAGATGTGGCCGATGAAGAGGGCGGTGAAGAACAAGGCGAGCATGCTAAAGGTCCAGAAGGTGCGCGTCATGAAGTTTGCCTTTTTCTTCTGGTACTCTTCCTCGGCGGTTGGCTGTTTCTGTCGTCGACGTCGTCAGCCGGTCCTTGATGGTGCAGGCGAGCGAACATACCTCTTGCACGGGAGCCAGCTGGGCCTGGGCCTTTGTCCTGGTGCGCGTCGGGGAGCCCGAGCCGTCCTCGCTGCCGCTGAAGCTGGATCGGCGGCCTTCAGAGCCACTGGTGTGGCCGTTGACGGCGGCGCCGTGGGGGAAGCGGACGCCTCTCTTGGGCCTGGCCATGGTGACGAATCGAGTGCGCGAGACGTCGCGTCCAGGTAGGCCGAGGGAGGCTGCCGGGTCGAGATGGGAGGAGTCGATGGGGGTTCCCAGCGGCGAGAAGTGGAAAGGCGGGAGAGAGAGAGCGCAGTTGTCGTCGAGGGTCGGGGAGGATGACGACGATGACGATGGCGACTGCGGCGGCGGCGACGGCTGTCGTCGAGGCTTGATGAGTGGCGGCGGGCTGTTGGACGAGGCGCCGAGGTAAAAGTTGCCCAGAGTGTCGGTCGGTCGGGGGTGAGGGAGGAAGTGAGAAGAGGAGGGACGAGGTTGAAGGATGGAGGGTTTGCGCAGGATGACAAACGCCGGGTTCGTCTGGGAAGAGAAGGTGGTGGCTCGGGCGGCATTCGGTCCTGTAGGCGCTGTTTTTCCCGCAGAAGTTGCCCGCTATGGCGGTTGGGTCGCGGTATGGGATATGTACCTAGAAAGTATCCGCCGGCGAGACTGGAGCGGGTGGAGATACTAGCTGTCTACTTGCTCCGCTAGCGCGCGGATTAGCGGGGACACACACCTCTACAGTGGCCACGGTACAGTGGCTGCAGCGGCGCCGGCGTGGCGCAGCTTTACTACACCTAAGTCAGAGCTTCCCGTCCGCTCTCTGTCAATGATTTCTCATGGCGGATTTGTCAAGACTTTCCCCTGACGATGGAGAGTTCAGCAGTGGGGCAGACGGGGTGCCACATTTACCCAAGCCAGGTACGTACTCGTGCTCACAATCCCCAACAATCGCAACAATGCTCGTCGTTACGATGCTGCCCTTTACACTAGCCGCAGTCACATGCAAAGCTATTCATAACCAAGACTTTGTCTGCTACAGCCATGCCAAGTTGGGTTGATCATTCGACCTTGGCTCTACAGGGTTGCTGCCCAGCCCGCCAAACGATGAATGGCCTCAACCCCGGGTACATACCGCCATGGCTGCACGAGAAACTTCGATCCCGTGAGCACAGACGCCCGAAGGCACGGGCAGCCAACGAGCAACGGCAAAGCGGCCTCGCCGGCCGGCCCGGATCAACTAGATAGACCGACTTAACCTAAGAGACAGCTACAGCTAGACAAGAAGAGTCGTAGACAGCCTTGCCTCTTTTAACCTGTTTCAGTGCCTAGTAGCTTAACTAGTAGGGGAAGGGTGCCACATGTTAGGCATGGCTGCAATCACTAAAGTTAAGCGTATCCCCAAGCAGCTATAATTAGCTTGTTAGTAAGTTACCTAGACGTACACGATTTAAAGGAGGCGGCTAGTTGGCCAGGTCCTATTAGAACTCGAGCGCAATAGCGCAACACATAACTTATGAGCAAGAGCGAGAGCAAGCTGCCCGAGAGCCGAGCCAGCCAACCCTTTGCTGAGCTCGGCAGCGCTGCTAACACCTGCTTTCGCAGCTATCGAGACCTGAATCTCATCGCGGAAGTCTACCGTGGGGGGAGGTTTCTGCGAGCCAAGTAAACCGGTGGTGCTTCGAGGAAGCATTCAAACTCGATCCGACTTATCTTAGCCATGTCTAATAGTGCGTACAGCATGCTGGAAAAAATGAACTCTTGGTGCGACAAGCTTCGAAACTTTTATAATCGCTCCTACCCTTTTCCAGCCAAACGGAAGATTTCAGACAACGATAGGCCAAAGTCGCAGAGAAGAGTCACCGTTGGCGAGGGCGGAGTGGGTATCAGGGGGTCAACTAAAGTGAAGGCGAAACGAAAGTCACGGTACGGATACTGGTCCTCTCACCAAAACAGCAAATCGCAATTAACTAAAAATAAAATAAAGTTCCAGTTAGATAGCGTAAAGAACTAAGTACATTATAGGATTTTTCTAGTATTTTGTGTACCGGCCGTTATTATTAATGAAAGCTTGAAGCCTTCTGGGCATTAATAAGACTGGGTTTTCCAGCATATCAACTTCAGTCTCCGCCCAAACCTCTTCTGCAGCTCGCCAGGCCAATTCCTTTGTATAGGCATTACTTGACAGGCCTAAAAGTAATGGTGTGAGCTAATCACGTGAACATGCTATTTCAAGACACGGCATCCCGGAGAGACCATGCGCTCCCCCTCAACGCCCAGAGTCGCCGCCCGCCAAAATGGCCATATTTGACGAGCTTGCAGGCAGACAACGCCAAGACATGTCCAAGAAATGGATCCACCGTGCCTTTGCCGCTCAGAAGGAGATTCTGGAACTAGTCGCCCAAAGGCGGTCCGGAGGTGAACCTCGAGGTATCGTCGGTTGGATTGCCGGATCGTTCAACTTCTGCTTCAGAGTCGCCTTTACCGAGGGGCCGGATGCCGTCATTCGCTTCCCTAAGCCCGGTTGCACGGTATTTGCCGACGAAAAAGTCATCAATGAGGCTCGGGTGATTGAGTTTATCCGCGAAAACACCACGATCCCTGTTCCACGCCTCATCAGCTGGGGTCTTACCAAGGACATTCCGCAGCAACTGGGGCCTTTTTTAATTTCCGACTTTATCCATGGAGTTAGCCTGTCTAGAGCCCTTAGGGACCCTGCCGACAACGACTGGCTATTCCTCAAACCGGCCCTCGACAACAAGACGCTGAATGGCGTCTACGAACAGATTGCAGACATCTTGCTCCAGCTCTTCCAATTCAACTTCTCTAAAGTAGGAGCCATCTCAAAGAATCCTAGTTATAATGAGTGGTCTGTTACTGCGAGACCGTTAACGTAAACTATGAATGAGTTGGCGACTGCCGCATTCTTCCCTTCAAACGAGTTCCCTACAACTTCCTTAAATTCAACGAGAGATTACTTCCGGTCACTAGCGCATAGGAACATAACGCATCTTCAGACCCAGCGCAACATCGCTACCGACCAGACTACGGCTAAGGAGCTATATCTTGCTCGCCGTCGTTTCCTGCAGCTAGTTGATAAGTACTGCGCCGCGGACGACGATCAAGGTCCTTTCAAGCTCTTCTGTGACGATCTTCGGCCACACAACATACTTGTTGACCCGGAAACTCTTCGCATCACTGCTGTCATCGATCTTGAGTTTACAAACGCCATGCCGAGCCAGTTCTCTTCGGATCCGCCGTGGTGGCTGCTGCTGGCGGAGCCGGAATCCTATCTTAGTCTAGGCCGCCATCCGGAAGAGTTTGTGACAGCCTATGAAGCCTCCCTTGGCCGATTCTTGCAGGTTTTGCAGCGAGCCGAGAAAGCAAGAGGACTGCAGCTATCTAGTCGTATGCGTGATGCATGGGAGACGAAGCGTTTCTGGTTCAACTATGCCATACGAAACCCATTTGAAATTGAAATTCTCTATGAAAATTATCTAGGCGAGGCAAGTGGTGCTGGCGAATCGTTACTGTATAACAAGGTGCGTGCGGAGATGGAGCAGTTTGTCCAATGAAGATGGAGCAATTGGCGGCGTATGACAGCGACTGCAAAATAATGCTTGACTGAGAGTTGGGATCACAGTCTTCAAGCACTTATTTTGCTCGTAGGAGTCTTCGGGAGCATCTTGGCGAGACAGTTGTTGCGGACTGGTTTTGAGGCTGGGGGGCGGGCAGCTCAAGAGCGAGCTTGCTTCCAGAACTCTAGTGATTTCTCGAGAAAAAGAGGGAGCTGACCACGTCATCAAAAGTTGTTAAGAGCCAAACTGATAGTCTCCGAAGAAGCAGAAGCCTCATAGTACTTGCTTAGGCAGCCAGGGCGCCTAAACATGTTAGCTTACCTCGCTTGCGTAATTGGCTTCAGGACCAATGCTAGGGATGGATAGATTGAGAAGAGTGATCAACTTGCTTAAAAATGGGCATTCACCAGCGAATTTCGTCGAACGGAGAGATTTCCGGTTTGTCGTGAAGCCCTTCAGGCACATTGCACGCACGACTTCCTTGTTACAGTCTTTTAGTTTATGTATACGAGTTTTTGGCATGGCTTGACTTTTGTCTTGTTATACTTGAATACTTGGCTCGTAGACGTAGCATCGCAGATAAAGTAGTCTGAGTCTTCTTTCGGTGAGAGTCTCTATCATCCTCCCAATTTCAACTCTCGCACATCGGAGACTAGGATCAAGTGTCGTATGCATACTAGTTTTCATAAATTACTAGAACGTGGACGACTGGAACCTCGCGGAGCGTACCTTAGAAGACAGACTCAAGGTTCCCTCATGGTGCTTTTTCGCACCTTTCCGAGAAGGCAGAGGACCTGGGGGGAGAGGGTCCTTCGGCAATGGCGGCGGTTGGACCCTGTCTCGGGAAGACGGTTGACTGTTAGTCGCCGGAAGTGTAGCATATCCATTGCTTTGAAGGGCCGGACGAGCACCTCCTCTATGAGGTACCGCGTAGTTATTGGCATCGACTTGAACACCATTGGAATCAAGACGGATACGACCAGGCGGCGCCCGGCTTTCAAGCGCCCTATCAACCCCGGTATTCTCGGGCGTGCCCGGGGTCCAGGGATTAATATCGATGCCATCGTCATCAATAGAGGAATCCGTGTTGTGCGTGTTTACCTTGATGGGGGGACCGCCATAAATTTCCACTGGGATATCGGAGCCGGATCCGACACCTTTAACGTTCCCTTCGCCACCAGGTAGAGGGGCCGCGGCACAGGTGGCGGGCCATAGCAGCAGACAGAGGTTGAGGGCCACAACGGTAAATCGCCCCCGCATCGTGACTGGACGGAATCGTATGTCGTAGTATACTAAAATGAGAAATGTTTGAGTTTTTAGCTGGGCTTAAGCTGGCAGGCTACAAATAATCGAGGAGCCGCGGGGGAGGTTGAGATTTCGTACACCTCGAATTGTGTATTGTGTATGGAACATAGGACTAAGATATAGATAGATGTAATCTGTCCTGCTCTGTATAGCATCTCTGCCAAGGCTATTACGCAACAATTGACAAAGACATTCAACACCACATCGACATATATGGAGTATGAAAGTCAAAGGCATTAGCAGTTAATGCCTCGTGCGGAAATTCCGAGGCTTGTACTATATCTCCACCGGTCAATGAACCTTTCTGGCTTATTGTGGCTATGTGCCCGTTCGAGATTGCATAAACCAATCCATCTTCACGTCGCCGGCGATAATATTCGGAGGGTCATAGAGCCGCGCCACAGTACTCCTACGAGTGGGCGCAGCACCGTTCCGTACTGGTCAGATAGCAAGCATAAATACGGAAACTCTAGAACGCTTCGGTATACGCACGAAATCCTAATCTCAAATACGAGAATTAGGGAATTCCAATGTCGACGAGTTGCTTGCAGCGGCCCGCTGGAACGGGCGGCCGTGTAAATGGAAGGCTGCCATACAGTTTTGTAAAAAGATAGCCCGACTTGACTGCCTCCTTTATAAGAACGAGAGGCACGCCGTGGGGGATGCAAGAGGAAAGCGGAGAAGTCCGGACAACCTTGGTTTCCAGACACCGTGTCCTTGTCCTGTTTGATCTCACCCTTTTTGATGTTTGTTCTCTTTTCGTTTTCTAGTATAGCTGCCTTCACTAGAGCTGTTCTGCTACCAGGAGTGGCGACCGAAAAGAGGCAAGAGACATTACTTGGGGGGACCGACATCTATCGCCTGTCCTCATCTCAGCCGGAGTTCGACTTCACCACCCTCTTTGCCTCCAACAACGCTTCCCGCACAACGCGCGCATATCGTGCCTACATCCGTTCCCCCGGGCTATGCTTACGCACCATGACGCTCCTAACGATATCGTCGCACCGCCTCAAGAAGCTGTTTTAGCTGCTAATGGCTAGCTCTCTGATGAAAAGATCCGCCGCCTTCTCGCCAATAACAAAGGCCGTGTTGCCCGTGTTGGCACCCACGTTCTGCGGCGCGATGCTCATATCCGCAACCTTGAGGCCCTCTACGCCGTAGACGCCCAGCGAACCATCGACAACGACCCCCTCCTCCCGCAGCGCCATCTTACATGTGCCCAAGGAATGCCGCGCCGAGCCTACGTTCTTCCGTTTCCACTGCTCTAGTACGACGTTGTCGTCTTCTGTGTACACAGTGTCCCTGACGTCCTTAAGTGGCCCGTCGACCCCCTTGCACGCGGCGTCAGATCCGGCGGCAAAGGGCGGATAGCCTGGGCTATGCTCGCCCCGGTACACCTTCATCCGGCGCAGAATCTCACGCTGCTTCTGGTACGCCAATATGCTCGACTTGATATCAAGGTTCCGCTCGTCCGCCAGAAAGCCCATCTTGAACTCGATCTCATCGCTCATGGCCTGGCCCGTTATGTGCATATGGCCGCGTGAGTACGGGTACACGGTGAAGGTCGATACGGACATGAACTGAGCGGCGGCAAGCCTAGTTGGATCTCCCGGGAATCTAGCTGCGCAGTTTTTAGTCACCCATTGAGAGAAGTGATGATAGCCGCCGGCTTGTTCGTAACGTCCTTAAAGTCCCTCTCCTAGGCATCTAGAAAGGCGGGACCAAGTGCAGCAGCTTCTTGGTCCGTTGGCCGCACCTTGGCGGTAGCGGTAACGTCTGCCGCGTTCCAGCCGAGCATGCTGTCCTTGGCCGCAATGAAGCCTCCAATGTCAACCCGGCCGCCATACTGCGCGTCGATAGTCTCCCTGGGCGACAGAATTGATCTGTATGGAAAGGTCAGGAGGTGATGGTCCATGTAGTTGCGGCCAATTCCGGGCAGTTCAGCGACAACAGCAATCCCGGCCCTGTCAAGAACCGCAGCGTCGCCGATACCCGATCGCTCAAGCACAAGGGGCGACCCGAGGGCTCCGGCAGACACAACGACTAGCTTTCTGGCCCTGACGGCCTGGAGAGCGGTGGCATCGGCATGGAAGACCGAGTTGGGTCGATACTCGACCCCAACGGCTTTCTTCTTGTCAAGCAAGACGCGAGGGACCTGATGCTTCACGAGAACATGCAGCTTCTCATGCTTGCCGTCCTGAAGTCGGGGGTGAAGGTACGTGTGGGCTGCGTCCTGTCTGTGGCCCTCCGGATTGATGAAACGGAGGTTGCGTTGGGCAGCGTTGCCTGTGTTCAGGTCCTGAATATCGACTGTCTCGAGGATGCCGACTTTTGCCGAGGCCTGGATAAAGTCATTCTCGGACATGGAGGTATTGTAGGCGCTGCTGCTAATTTGAACTGAACCGCTCGTGCCGTGAGTTTCTGGCGGGCCGGGTCCGTAGTATGTCTCGAGCTGCGAAACGAGGTTAAGCTCGATACCTGCGGCAATGATGCCATTCGTCAAGAACAGAATACCTTCCTTATAAACGGGAGCAGCTCGTCGGCGTACCAACCGGGCATCTTCCACGAATCAAAGTCCCGCCGCTGGGCCCGGCTGTACGTCATGAGGTTGATGGACGACCCCCCGCCGAGGACGCCCCCAGAAGGCACCATCAGCTCTCTGTTGCCAAGCTTGGGCTCCCTGACGCCCATGTAGAAGAGCGTGTTTCTGCTAGTCGGCATCAAGTGGCTCGGGAAAAGCACCGGGAGGATGATGGAAGGGTCGTTGTAGTTGTCTTGGTCGCCTTCAATCACCAAGATGGCCAAGTCGGGGTCCGCGTCGCTAAGCCTTGAGGCAACAACGCACCCAGCAGTGCCGCCTGTGAAAGTTCATCAAGTCAGCGTATCCGCTGCGGCTTTGCGTTAATCTGGGAAGATCAGTCACACCTCTCCGCTTCAACCCACGTAAGCAGAGTGCTTCGGAGTCGCGATGCTCACCGCCCGCTATGATGACATCCACCTCATCGAGCCAGGGGGGCAGTTGGGCGATGATGCCAATAGTTGCATCGCCGAAGAGAGTACGCGCTGGTTGACGAAGAGGGCGAGCCTGGAGGATGGGAATATGCGAGCTGTCAGACTTCATGTCCGGGTCGGGGCCGGTTCATGTACCTCGCACTTGGACCATAAACCATGCGTAATCACAACTGGTGACCGGGAACGATTGGTTCAACTGCCTGTAAGCCGAGGGTTACCTCAGCCTGTCGGGAAGCATGGTGGCGTTGTGTTAACTAGAGCAGTAGGCGCGCGGGGAGGGGGGGAAGACTGACAATCCAACTTCTCGACTCCACGACTACCGCTGCTTCCCGAGGCCGGGATCATATACTTGATATCGCAGAGAAAAGAATTGCCAATGGTGAAATGCAGTTCACTCCAGTCAATGTCTTCTTTCGCTCCGTGAGCCGTATCTCTCGTCAAGGTCGGGTATTTTCCACGTTTCAACGTCGGTTGCACTTGAAGATCAATGCCGACAGGCTTCAAGAGACTATCCATGAGACATGTCAGTGGGGAGCAGCCCACCGATATGGAAGGTAAGTAGCTGACGTCGAGCAACGAGCAACTCCCCGGCGCATTACCTCTGAACGAGCTTACGAAGTCTCCTGGCAGCCGTGCAACGGAGACGGGCATGGCACGATTAGCCCTTTCAGACGATGATGCTAGAGTCAGACGCTGGTTCGCCGAGGAGATGCAGAGACTTAGCTGCCAGGTCACCGTCGATCAGCTGGGGAACATGTTTGCCCGTCGACTGGGCTCCCTGCGTTCATCTGCACCGATGACAGCAATGTCCAGTCACTTGGACAGCCAGCCCTTTGCTGGACGTTATGATGGAATCCTTGGAGTTGTGGCAGCCATAGAGGCCCTTCGGACGTTGAACGACAACAGTCATGACACTCGGTATGACGTTGGCGTTGTGAACTGGACAAAGTGAGTGAAGCCACCCTGCTCACGCACTGCAAGAATAGCCCGTGTTCCAACGGAAACTGACAAGAAAAAGTGAAGAAGGTGCTCGCTTCCCCAAGTCTATAGGGGCTTCTGGGGTGTGGGCTGGCTGCATCCCCATTGAGCAGGCGTGGGACCTTCGGGACATCTCTGACCCCTCAATCACCCTGAAAGGCGAGCTTGAGAGACATGGCTTCTTGGGTCAGACGCCCTGCTCCAGTGACTCCTCCATTGGGTTTCCTCTGGCAGCCAATTTCGAGTTACACATTGAGCAAGGCCCTATTCTGGAGGCAGGCCGAAAGAAGATTGGGGTCGTCTTGGGAGCTCAGGCATACCGCTGGCTGACTTTTACAGTCTTTGGACGAAACGCTCACACTGGAACGACGCCGTTGGCTGCGCGAAAAGACCCCCTGCTTGCTGCGGCCAAGATGATTGCCTCGTCCAACGGAATCGCAAAACAGCTCGGGGCTCTAGCTTCAACCGGCGTGGTCAAGACACCGTCCAGCTCGTCCATCAACACGCTGGCATCAGAAGTCAGCTTCACGCTAGATCTGCGACACCCCCAAGACTCGGTGGTTGCAGAACTGCAGGAGAGGTGCCTCGAATCGTTCCGGGAGATTGCGCGCCAAGACGGGAAGGGAGTCGAGTTTTCGTGGACGCTGGACACGGACTCGCCAGCGGTTAGGTTTGACCAGGGCTGCGTCGCGGCGGTGCGTGAGGGGGCTGTCTCGTTGGTTGGCTCGGCTGGATGGATTGAGATGACGAGCGGAGCCGGCCACGACAGTGTGTTTACCAGTCGGCGGTGCCCGACGGCCATGATTTTCGTCCCGTGCAAGGATGGCGTGAGCCATCATCCCGAGGAGTTTTGCAGCGCCGAAGACTGGTGAGATTCCTCGTCATACTACAGCGAGAGTGTATGCTTACCTTTCTTAGTGCCACTGGCGCCCAAATTTTGCTGGATTCTGTTCTCAACTACGATGCAACCCGGACTGGGGGTTCAAGGTGAAACTACCATTATGGAGGTTAAAATATCCGAGTCTGCGAGTGTCAGAGCAGTCTTGTTTCCATTGAAGTTACCCAGAATCCAGGGAGTCGGAGCTATGTTTACAACTTAATCGATGACTAGCACGAGAAGAGGATGGCATGGCCCATATCGATCAGCAATAGCAAGAGTGAGAATAGTTCATCGCGAATTAAATCACACATTGAACGTTACGAAAGCGTATGCCTTGTCTTAAAAGGACGCAAGTATCAAGGCTGGAGGGGGCACCGTCGGCAGCTACGAAGCATATGGAAGTGACTGATATTGATATGGCTAGACACCATCCCCAGCTACAGCATTGGTTAGGCGGAGAACTTGGCTGAGACTCATGAGAGTAACCCATTTCAGTTACAAAGGTGCGAGGCTCCAACGCCGCCCAAAGCAGCTGGGTCAAGGGCATCATTTTGTTCGATAGCCGCGGGCAACAAACATTGGTGCAAGAGACACATTGTGCTTTCGGCGTCCTTTTCCCCAGTTACAAAGGACACGCCACCTTTTCTGGCCCCCAAAAAGTTTCCATTGACACTGCGTTAGAGAAAATATCATTCGCTGGTTTACATTGATCAGGGTACGTAGAAGGCTTACTCTCCGATATTATGTCGACATTGACGTCGTTGCTTCCCGGCGCGGAGAAGATCTTGCCCGCCAGCTCGGAAGCCTGGGTTACCTGCTTGCCGACGACCCTCTTCTTCTGCTGCAGAGATGCCTAGCTCACCCAGCCACGCAATGGACACCAACAGGGCTCACCCGGCTCACCCGCAGTCGCGCGGTTGGCCGGAGCGGGGGAGCCAAGCACATCAGATACACATATCTGGAGGAGATCGTCTGTGTCTCGTCTCAACGCATCTCTCAGCCTCTCAGCAAACCATTTTATTATTTTATTCTCTTGAACTTCGGTAGTGCCCGAGAAGGGAACAGCAAACGATACGAAGGCCCGTCTTGGATGGCCGGAAATCCACTTTTCGCACAACGAGCTCCGCATCAACCCTCAGGGCTCCTAATGGTGTAACCGGTCCATCTGGACACCTCAAACCGGCTTGATGGTCCGTTTGGCTTGTCCAAACCCGACCAGCGGTTTGGAACCCTGTCCCAGACCGAAATATTAGTCCATTGGCCCCATAGCACTAAACCGGTCTGATGCCTGACTGGCGTCACGTCTCGTGGCTTTCCTCATACAGACATGCCCTCCAGCTTTACTATTCCCCATGGCCAGCCCCAGTCTAAACTATCCATCGAACCAGTTTGAACATACGTTACCAATTGTTTGCGGGGTCTTGGATATCTGAAATGCTACTCGTGGATATACATAGCAACATTTAAACTAAGACTAGTCGATGGCACGCGGCAAGCAATATAAGTCGGAATACTTACGTCCGAGGGTCCTGTAAGGGCGATTTTGTCCTAGGAACGTAGATATTCTACGAGATTTGGAGTTACGATGCTTATCTCGCCGGTTGGTAACCGTAGCTTTGACCTTAGAAAAGAGTCGCTGTGTCTTGATAGACATGAGCATAATGGAGAGCTTGACTAGATTGATTCGCCAGTCTGAGGCTGGCTGATGCCCTACGGAATTTAATAGATAGACAGTTAGACTGTCGTTTATGACCAAAGTCGCCGACTACAGGTACCTAATAAGAGAAATATAAAATTGCTCCCTTTCCGGTGTGATTCTCGAAGTGTCTTTCCGGAAGTCTTTTACAGCAAGCTAGATCTTGCAGCCTATTATACCTGGTACCAAGTGCCTTATGGAATGTAATAGGTAGACAGTTGAATCCTATCTTTTCAACTTAAAAGGGACTTAATGTCCGCTTTCTATCTGTTCTTAATCCCCCCCGTCAGACAACTAAGCAAGAACTAGGCTCTGCTTAACTTAGTCTTAACTTTATCGCTCTACTAATATTGGAAACATGAAGCTCTTTGCTATTTGCCTTTATTCTTTCAGGCTCGGCCTTCCAGCATTTGCCAAGGACACCGCTGCTGAAAAACACGAAGCTGGACCGGCGACCGATAAAAACTCTAAGATGGACAATATTAAATACGCAAATAACGACAACTTATTTTTTAGCCACAAGGACTACCCGCCTGACGGATACGGAGACACTCCCGACTACGCTTCTGGGGATCATCCTGAGCCAATTGGGCGGCACTGTTCTGGAGACCAGAAGGAGTGCAATGGAAAGTGCATCGCCAAGGGCAAATTATGCTGCTCTCAAGGCCAGAAAGTTTGCAATGGAAATTGAATCCCTGAGGGAACAGTATATTATTCGGCTGATCAAAAGGTATGCGCCAGCGGCTGTATACCACAGGACCATACATGTTGCGGCTCTAGCGGCTCCCACTGTGGTCCTGTAAACCCGGTCTGTACTGCCGACCAGAAGGGATGCCTAAAGTGTGGGCCAGGTCAAACGGATTGTGCGAGCGGCTGTATCCCACGGACCCATATGTGTTGCGGCGATACCGGCTCTTCTTGTGGCCCTCCACTTTGGAGCACCGCCGACCAAGTGGGATGCTACAACCCGGGTCCTAAGGCTGGATGGAAGTTAGGTTATAAGGGTTGGAAGTAATACGGTCTAACGCCTTAGTTAACTTACCTTAAACAGGGAACTTCCAATCCCCTATAGTAAGAGGCATGTTAAATAGGGCATATATGGCCCTATATATAGACTTATAAAGCTATAAGGAATGCACGTACTACTACTAATACTTCATGCTGGTGCAGCAATTGACATCTATAAAACGCCTCTTTTATTCTATGTCCTCAGGATAGTCCAGCTTCTCGTTCTGCCGTTGACGCCTCCTCTTTAGAAATGCGGTAACCCTCACAAATATCAATAGCCCGATCCAGAATCCTGTTGCGACGAGTAGCATAACCGACCCAACCCAAGTCAATGCAATAAACCTATCGCCCCGGGTGGCCGAGAGACCGACACTAACACCCAGCTTGTTTAAGGTGTTGACGAGAATGGTGCTGACAACAGTGATAACAAGGCTGGCAGTGGTGCTTAAGAGGGCGGCTCCGGATGAGATACCGAGATTGATTAGGATTATGGCTAGGTTGAGAGGGAAAATAAAACTGGCCAGGGTTGTGACCATAGAGAGAAGACTTAACAGCATACTAAAGAGGTAAAGGAGAAAAAGGCCTAGGAGTAAGCCATTGATCAGGTCGACGAGTTGATTGATAGTTTCAGGGAGATTGGTTTTGCTTAGGTCGATAGTAAGCGGGCCAATAACGAATGGTTCGGCGAGTGACTTGACAGAATCTAGTCGGTCTAGAGAGCATGGTCAATCAAAGGGTTGTCCAGGTTGAGGGGAGGCGGGGAAGGAACGCACTGGCGGGTTTAGTGTTGCAGAAAGTTGTATTGAGTCCCGGGCTGCTGGTGGTCCCGGAGGGTTCGAAGTTGCCCTGGCAGAGGTCTATGACATGCAGGGAATACCACTCGGAAACATTGAGCCTCTGGGTGATCTGGTCGGCCGCGCTGTCACCGACCCCGGCAAGATTATTCTTGATGGCCTCTTTGGCGCTGTCAAACACGGTTTGTACAGCCCCGTAGATCTGGGACTTGCCCTGATTGAGGGCGCCCCCAAGCCCGGCCGTGGCTCCGTTTATGAGACCTTGAACAGCGTTCGTTGCCCCCCCAGGAGCCATAGTACCGCTAGCCTTTGCCGCGCTAGATACCGGGTTTGGCGCGTTGATGAGACCAGCAAGGGGATTGATATCGTTGAGAGTGCTGGCAGGGCTTTGAGACTGCCCCTTTTGAGTCTGTCCCGGCTGTGGTGGACTGGGCAAGTTGGGAAGACCCGGAAGCCCGTTGACTGATGGCGCTTGCGCCGCGTTGCTTGGGGCCGCGTTGGCATTCGGGTCACCAAGTAAGCCATCGAGTAAGCCTCGAGGAAGTTTGGTATTCTCGGTTTGGGAAGTCTCGTCTTTCGAGCCGGCGGCCCGAGCTCCCAGCAGGTTTCCCAGCGAGGGCGCGTTATCGGTCGCATTGGCGCTCGACTGCCCTGTGCCAGCACCAAGGATTTCGTCGCCGAGTGCGGTAGCGTTGAGCGAGACGGCATCAAAGACTGTGTTGACGAGGTTGTGCCCCAGGTTCGCCGTGCTCACCTGTACCGGTTCGAATTAGCTTGGAGTGCGATGCTGCATGTCACGGAACGAAAGGCATACCCTGAAGATGTCCAAGTCCTCTAGGGATCCTTTGTTGATGCCAGCAAACAAAGATATAGTGACTAGGATGAAGCCAACAAAGGTTGCAGACAACGGTATTAAGATAATGACCCTGGATAACAGGAACTTGCTGATTGAGGCAAAATTTATTTTTCTCCTGGATCTCTTTAGCAAGGCGCGTCCTGCAGTCTGGAGTCTGTCCATCGGTGCGGTTGTATGACAGAAGCTAAGGGAACTAATGAAGGGGGACGACGTGCGAGAGTTAAGCAAGATGCCGAAAGCCTCAGGTCTTATGATTCCGGAGTGGTGGATGGAATATTTAAAACAAACCACCAAGGATAGATTCATCACCCGGATGCCTATGCCTTATTCGCCATCCAGTTTCAGTTTGGAGCTAACGTCTCATGGATCTACCCGTGCCCGCGTCAGTCGTGACGGACCCATCAAGACGAACCCTACAAGGCTTGAGAGAACGACGGCGGCGGAGGAACGGATCGACGGTGCGGCAAAATCGGTTGCGCGAAAGCCGCAGCGCGCCTGGTGGACAGGGGCCAGCAATAGAACGTCGATGGTAGCCGTCTCTGCTTGATCTGCGAAACAAGGCCTGTTGTTTCATGCTCGTTTTGAGCTTCGAAGGCAGAATCGGAAGCCCCTCATTCCGTAAGCGCAGGGTGTCGGCGACTAATACAACGGCGCCCGAGCGCGCCGCAGACTTTGCATCTAATAGATCGCTTCTTATTCGACTCGTGCGACACTCGCTCTGGTGATGGAGAGAAGCCAATATTCTCGTCCGGGACAGTTCTTCCCGAGCGTCACGGTTTCCCCCAGTTTAAAGTGATCATGTGTGGAGGACGGGCGGGAGGATCACTTTGCACCGCGGCGGAACCGGCTGCGCCGGAGCTCATGGAGTACCTTGGCGAACTAGCGATAAGAGGTCGACAGTGAAGTCTGAGGCACAGCACGGCAACGTACAGAAATAGCGAAAATAAAGGAACAACAGCATCCAAAACGCCAACCGAGCGACATTTTTTCAAAGTGAGGTCCATCTTTTGACATGGCCAAAGAACGGCTCTGACCCCAGCAGAAGTAGTTTACGGTGGTCGTTAGAACAACGCTCCTAATGGCTTTGAAACTGCTCTGCGAAACCTGTACCGACATCCCAAGGACGGGAAGCGGCGTTCATAAACCACTAGCAAACCTTGGTAACTAGCAGCAGACGGTGTTAGAAGTGAATCTATTGGTATAGACGGGTGACGGCTCCGATAGAGAATGAAAACTAATAAAGTCGCGTCACTGGTGTAAGGGGCTACGCCCCGATGTGTAGATCTGGCATGGCCAGACTAGTCACGTGCGAGCGCCACGGACACGACTCCTAAAGGGAGCGATGTAGACACGTCTCCCCTTTACACTCTTTGTAGCTCAATTTACATCAATTACGCCCAGCACCTGTGCCAACAGTGCTGACCCGTAACATATTGAGCTACCAGTTAACAAAAGACAGGACAGACAGAAGGACAGACAGCAGGACAGACAGCAGGACAGACAGCAGGACAGACAGCAGGACAGACAGCAGGACAGTCAGCAGGACAGACAGCAAGACAGGCGATAGGCTAAACGACGAGACGGACGATCGATCGGACGACGAGACGGACGAACAAGATGGAGGACAATAGTAGTTATGCAGGGCACCGCGACCGGCGGCGCAACGAGCCGATGGAGGAAGGAGCAAGAGCTCTTGCAGATCTTATCTGGGATCGCGGGAGACGAAGAACTGCGGAAGATGTTCACCGGGCTAGGCCTAGCAGCGCCACCGTTGACACCCAGCCCGGGGGTGCTCAGTACCCCGGCGATCTTACCCGTCGAACCGAGGCCGGAAGCAGCCCAGGAAATGGACCGTGGCAAGAAGCGCAAGCCGATGACTTGGCCGAAGTGGAACGGTCAACCCGAGTCCTTCCACTTCTACCTCGACCGTCTGGTATTTAAGTACAATACCGACGAAGAGGAGGGCCTAAACGGCAATAACAACGTCGTGTGGTACGAGATCCTGCAGACCTTGCCGGATCAGATGATGAGGAGAGTCGAGGGTTTTTGGAGGCAAGAGAGCGCGAAGGGCAACACAGACCCCCGGAAATTCTTCTCGCACCTAGCCCAGACGTTCGGCAGCGTGCAGCAGACAGAGAGGGCGCAGGACAGGCTGCGCACCTCATTCAACGAGACAGCCAAGAGTTTGGGAAGTTCCTCCTGAATTCGAGGAAACATTGACCAAAGCGGGCGGCGCGAGCTGGGATAATGCTTCCAAGCTCGCATGGCTGCGGAACTCGATCTCTCCTGCTCTCCGTGAGCAACTAGTCCCGGTTATCATGCCGAAGGACTACAACGAGTACATCCAACGTCTACACCCGATTGCTTGGGCGTTCGAGCACACCGCGAAGTTTAAGGCGTTGCAGAGGAAGCAGGGCTCCCGCGGGCAACGTGACCAAGGGCAGGCATCAGGCATCGGCAACATCCAGGTCGCCGGTAACGACAACACCCGGCACCGTCAGCAACGTTACCCGCCGAGCAGAACGCACGTGACGCACGCGACCATGACGGCGACGTAATAATGACGGTTACACGCACTCAGGGCAGGGTCAGAGAGGACGGGCGAACGGCCAGGGGTCAAGTGGAACGAGCAAGACGGTTCGCTTCCAGCCTAGGTCAGGACGGAAGCAACGGGCGAGGTGGGTATCCGAGGACGAACGGAATAAACGCCGTGACGAGGGTCGTTGTCTCCGCTGCGGCGACAACACCCATTTCATTGCCGCTTGCCCCTACTCGCCAGGACAGGACCCTAGCCGGTCGAGGGATGTAAAAGTCCGCACCGCTAGGATCATGCCCTTGCTGGAAGATGATGGTAACGACTCTAGTGAGGAAGAGTCAGGACTTAGCGAGACCCCATCCCTCTCGGAAATGCGTAGCCTCGAAACAAAGACGGGTCTCGAGGCCAAAGAACGGAGCAGTGGCAAAGAAGAGAGTTCTCAGGAAAAATGGAAGTTGGTCCTACAATAATTCGAAGCATTATCAATAGGACCAATCTCTTCTCCTCACTCGTAGACGAGGGATGCCAGTGCTACGCCGCGGTTGACGAAGAAGTCGTCGAAAAGTTGGAAGTTCCTATAGTGGAAATAGCACCGCGAGCTATTACAGGAGCATCAGGGGCAATGGAAGGAGCAACGATTAGGGGCCTCGTATGGCTATCAATGGAGGTCAACGGCCACATACAGACGATCTGTGCCTACGTGGTGCCCCGATTGGAATTCCCCCTAATCCTAGGAAAACCCTGGTTATGCCACACAAAGTCGTACTCAGTGCCCCACGAGAAACGACTATGGCATGAACCTACACAAGACTGGGTAGATCACCTCGGGAAGGAGAATATTCTGCGAAAGCCAAGGAGTTCGAAGAAGCAAAGCACGTACTAGCCAGTACCTTTGTGGGTTACTTTGAAAGGATCCGCAAGCAGGAAGGAAGAGAGGCAGCTGCCACGGCGATTTTCGCTATCAGCATGAAGGATATCGAAAGGGCGTTATCACCAAAGAAACCCATGTCAGAAGCAGAGCTACGCCGAACGATACCCCAGCGGTTCCACGATTTACTGCCTCTATTTATGAAGAAGGAAGCTGATAAGCTGAATCCTCATAAGCCAGGCATAGACCACGAAATCAGAATCAAGGAGGACCCGAATGGCCAGCAGTTACCACTACCGTATGGAGCACTATACGGTATGTCACGAGAGGAACTCCTGGTTCTTAAGAAGACTCTACGAGACCTAGTGGATAAAGGATTTATCCGTGCAAGCAGTTCAGAAGCAGCAGCTCCAGTCCTGTTTGTGAGGAAACCAGGTGGCGGGCTGCGATTCTGTTGTGACTACAGAGCGTTGAACGCAATCACTAAGTCGGACCGTTACCCCTTCCTCTAATAGGGGACACTTCGCAACCTAAAAGATGCGAAGTGGTTCACTAAGGTCGACGTGGTACAAGCGTTCCATAAAGTACGGGTTGCAGAAGGAGACGAGTGGAAGACAGCGTTCCGCACCCGGTACGGTCTCTTCGAATGGATGGTTACCCCGTTCGGGCTAAGTGGCGCGCCAGCAACCTTCCAGCGGTATATTAACGGTATCCTACGAGACTACCTCGACGAGTTCGCCTCTGCTTATATGGACGATATACTTATCTATTCGAGCGGGAGCAGAGAAGACCATTTCCGGAAGGTACGGTTAGTTTTAGAACGCCTCGCCGAGCATGGACTACACCTAGACCCGGAGAAATGCGAATTTGGAGTCAAGCGGATTAAGTACCTAGGATTCATTATTCACGCAGGAATTGGCATTCAGGCAGATCCCGACAAGATACGAGCAATAGTCGAGTGGGCAGTCCCGTTACCCAGAAGGGGTGCGCAGTTTTCTAGGATTCGTTAACTACTACCGGATATTTATACCGCAAGCCTCGGAAATAACTGCACCCTAACAGCACTAACAGGAAAGGGGACTAAGTTCAAGTGGACGGACGAGCACGATATGGCGTTCCAGACACTAAAGACGCTATTTACGAACGCCCTATTCTTACTCAATGGGATTTCGAGAGGCCAACCTTCGTAGAAGCAGACTGTAGCGGCTGGGCGCTTGGGGCACACTTACGCAGGAAGTCGACGGACAACGCAAGCCAGTAGCGTTCCACTCGCAGAAGCTATCACCGGCTGAGCGCAACTACCCAATCCATGATAAGGAAATGCTCGCTATTATTCGTTGTCTCGAACAATGGTCAGCCGAGCTACGAAGCTGTGATAACTTCGTTATCCTTACCGACCATAAGAACCTCGAGTATTTCATGACGCGCCAACAGCTCTCGGAAAGGCAGGCACGTTGGGCTGAATATCTCTCGCGTTTTAACTTCCAGCTCCAGTACCGTCCGGGACGGAAGCAGTGGTGCCAGACGCGCTCTCTCGCCGCGAACAGGACCGACCAAACGAAGCGGATCACGAAGCACGAGATATGCAGCTTATTCCAGAAGCAGCCCTACGTACCTACGTCGGAGTAACGTCGACTCAAGCGGGAGAAGGCGAAGAAGAACACACGGTTTTCCACGACCCAGAGCTACAACAATTATGGCAGCAAACGGCAAACCAGGATCCAGTCTTTACAAGCGTTTATAACGCGGTACGAAACGGATCTCGGTCCCTCGACCCCAAGCTTAAGCTGAAGGTACAAGTCGCCGAGTGCTTTATTGATCCTCGGGGGCACCTACGACTACGTGGCCGCTTATGGGTGCCAGGCGCACCGATCACGACAGAAGCAGCAGCCAAGGCAGCACCGCTAGAGCAGGAGTCGCTAAACGAATTACAGGGCTCCTTAATCCAGAAGGTTCATGACTCCCATGTAGTAGGCCACCCGGGACGGAAGGGACGATAGAAGCCGTATCCAGGGACTTCTACTGGCCGCTAATGCAACAGCATATCCGACGTTTCTTGCGTAACTGCGATGTCTGCGGCCGTACGAAGATATGGCGCGAGCATAAAGGGTCTACTTAGACCGCTACCCGTACCGGACCGCTTCTTCCGCCAGATACAGATGGACTTTATTACGGACCTCCCCTTGCGAACGGTAACCGCTGCCTCTGGGTTATCAAGGACCGGCTAAGTAAGGAAGTTATACTCGAACCGATGCCAACGATGGAAGCGGAAGCATGTGCAGAGCGTTTTCTATGGTGCTTCGCCCGCTACCACTGGTGGCCCGACGCTATAACGAGCGATAGGGGCTCGAATTGGGTAGGCCGCTTTTGGAGGCACATGTGCAAGTTACTGGGGATCGACCAGCAGCTAAGCACGGCGTACCACCCCCAAACCGACGGAGGCCCTGAGAGGATGAACCAAGAAGTACAGGCATACCTCCGCGCCGTGATTAACCAGAACCAGAACGACTGGGATAAGTGGGTTCCCGCGGCTCAGATGGCGTTAAACGGTCGGGTCAATACCTCTATAGGGATGTCCCCATTCTTCGCTATACACGGCTATGAGCCGAAGTCACCAGTTCCCCTCGTTACGGAAGCATATGCGGAAGAGTATCCTCAGCATTCGCCAGAAACCAGGGCAAAGAAATTTGTTACCAAACTACAACAGATTACGGACCTCTGCCAAGCATCAATGGCGACAGCTACGCAGCAACAAGAACGCTTCGCTAACAGACGACGGAACGCGGCAGAACGCTTCGAAGTAGGCGATAAGGTTTGGCTTGACTTACGGAACTACGCGTCAGAGCGACCTAAGAAGAAGTTCGACTGGCTGCACGCTAAGTATACGATAAGCAAGGTACTCGACCCGTACACGGTTGAACTAGCAGACCTCCCGAGGGGCTGCTATAATAGGTTCCACGTCGACCAACTCCGGAGAGCGGGGACGGACCCAATGCCTGGTCAGCAACGCACAGACGCTCAACCCCCATCTATCCAAGTAGACGGGAGGCTCACCAAGTAGTAGAGGAAATACTATGCGCTAGGTGGAAGAGAACCGGCCGCGGCCGTAGGCGGGAAGTCCTTGTACGCTGGCAAGGTTGGCAAGACCCGACCTGGACCTCTTTAGACAATATGCAACAGACAGCGGCCTTGGATAAGTACGAACAGAGATACGGCCCGGCTCTCGAAAACGATGGACCATACCAGCACCGACGAGTGGCAACGGAAGCACAGCCGGCCCAAATCCAGGGGCAAGTCGAAGGAATACAACCACAGCTGCAGATACAGGGCAAGAGAATACGCGGACCACTACGGGCTAGGACTAATGGCGACGCCCCGTCGATAGTAACGGCACCAGACCCTATAGACGACGGCCTACGATCGTTGTAGGGGACCAGGAACAGGAAAAGGGCACCAGCGCCAGAGAGGAGTAGGGGCTAATGTGAGGGCTACGCCCCGATGTGTAGATCTGGCATGGCCAGACTAGTCACGTGCGAGCGCCACGGACACGACTCCTAAAGGGAGCGATGTAGACACGTCTCCCCTTTACACTCTTTGTAGCTCAATTTACATCAATTACGCCCAGCACCTGTGCCAACAGTGCTGACCCCGTAACAACTGGGTGGAAGCTACGCCGAAACCCGCGGACGTAGCGAGAGCGATATGCGATGCCGTTGTAAGAAGCCTGGTTCCTGCATTTCCTTTGCTCATATACCACGCCGTACGGCGAACTCCCACGTATGTAAAATGATCATGATCATGTTATACAGATTAATGTAGAAAGCGCTGCTGGGCCCACCGAGTTAGACCGGAGGTGCCGCCTTTTTTGGCGGGCCAGACGGTAAGCAGTAAAGGCCCTCTAAAGTATGAGTACCGCGTAGGGGTAACTAAGTGGCCGGGTAGAGGCCCGCACCCCGAGACGCAACCTGGACGGAAGGACGTTAACCAGATGCGCCTTCCGTTCCCGCCAACCTCAGGCTCTTTGTTTCGTCCTCTTCTATCTCGAAAGCTAAACACGAAGAGTCTGTTTCCTGGTGCTTTTAAAATATATATATATTGGCCCTAGGTAGCCTAAAAGATGGCGTTAGAAACCAGCCCCTCCGCCTCAACTTATCCAGTCTTTTGCTTAACTCTCCTATAGTTTTCCCCTGCATCTGAAGCTCCGCTTGTCTGCCCGCCGCGTTTCGCTTATTGGAGCCGAATATAGCACCGCTCGTTGCTTCCCAACGTCGAAGTGATATATACTCCGCCTATTGTGCGATTTCCTTCAGAGATTTACCTAACGGGAGAACGAAAGGCGGACGATCAACAGGCCGAAGCCCCTCAGTGGCGAATGAGTATAGACCTCTATAAGCAGCTACAGAACGTACGCTTTGGGACTAAGATTAATATCGTATATATCCAAAGGAAATAAAAGATACACAGACCGGGGCTAAAAGGGCTGTCGAGCCGAGACGAACCGTGGCCGAGGGAGCACTAGGTTGTAGAAGTTGCTGACCCCGGGGAAGCTGCTAGCTCGTGAAAGCTGCTAGGAGCATTTAATCTTCGGGGAAAAAAAGGGGGGGCTAGAAAGGAAGCTGGGGAAAGGCCGAAAAAGAGAGAAGCTGGAAAAAACCCGTTATCTGCTGGCGTGGCCATAGCCCTCCTCCACAGGCAAGAACAGACGTCCTCGGACTTTATAAAGAGGCTCGGAAAAGAAGGATAGGTGCGGTAGCATCGGCGTAGTTCGTAAAAGACCAGTGCTTTCGAGAGAATCAGAAGTCTTTCGCGCCCTAGAGACCGATTTTGACGATTCTGAGACGTCTCCCTAGGAGACACCTTTTCTGCTGGCTAGGAAAGCAAGCAGAAAGGAACTCCTAGGAGGAAAGAAGAGAAGGAACATGCTAAAAGAAAGAAAGCCAAAAGAGAGGAGAAGGAGGAAGAAAAAAGGAAAGAAGGCTCTATTATTTATCGATGTTTTGCTACAAAGAGGAGGAGGATCCCTTATTTATAAGGAAGAGCTGCGCGGGCTGGGGTGTGTTCCCTAGGGTGCTGCTTGTCTCCGCCAAAATGCTCTCGAACATCTATTTAAAGAATAACCGTGTCCGGTGAAAATAGATTGTTTCATACTATCTCGAGCATATATATACCTCTTTCATCACAGGAAATATACTCCATCCAAGGCTCATCCGCTATCCTACCCAATTCTCCGAAGTCTTTTCCATCAATACCCAAGCTTCCAAAGGACCCGTACATTACTCCAGTCCTGTAAAATTGGCCCCTTGCGTTGCCTGTGCTCCGCAGCAAGAGGAAGACAATCAGACCGGGCTGATCCTCCCTAGTGTCAATCACAATCGGCAGGGCGTGTACGAGTATTTCATCAGTTGTAGCCTTTTCGTCGAAATAAATGTGATGAGGTAAACCCCCTTGGATCCACTGACCATTGGCGAAAATTTTACATTGGTCTATGTCGTTCTGTTGTCCAGGTTTCTCCTCTTCGGGCGTTAACCGCATTGTAGCCAGAAAACCGGACACACGAAGAAATCCGCCCAGAATTTCTCCCGTAGGATCTTTTGTTCGCATGTCAATATGACAGTCTACAATGGTGATGGCCGACTTCCATCTGTTATCGTCCTCCTGAAAGCGACTCAAGACGATACTGCCGTCCATGCTAGCCCAAGACCATGTTGGCGCACGGTATGAGAGCGGCGGATATCGCGGCTCTGAACTACTGTTGTGACTTGTCCATAATAGTTGGTATTCGAGTTGGTGTCGCCAGAGCCCCGCGCAGTAGTCGATGTTGAAGGCTCGCTGAATGAGTTTTGCAATTGCAGATATTGCGATAAGCTTGTCGCTCGCATACGTGAGACCACATGATGTATAGACTCGTATGATTTCCCTCCACATTTCCCATAAAAGAGAAATGGGGTTTCCATTGTCGACGGTGTTGACTATGTTGACTGTGTTGATTGTGAATCTAGACGATTTCCGGAGGACGCTCCAGATAATGTCTCTGGCTATCCAGTGCTGGTCCAAGCCTTGTGGCAGGCCACTCGGGTATGTTTCGCACGCATCTAACTCGAAGCACTCCCAGAACATCTCATTTCCACAAAAATGCAAGACTCTCGGTGCCAACAGAAACTCTTGCACAACCCATGCCCGCTTCATTAGAGGCATGTTCTTGAAGGCTTTCACTCGATACTGACGATCTGATACGGAATATCGACCCTCCGGGAACTCTGTCCCCTCCAGCTGAACAACGAAAGGCTGAAGTGATCGCCCCTTTGTACCTGGCAAGAAACCAGCATTAGTATTTTCCGATGACGTTGCCGCGATATTGAGCAGAGCGCCGCCATAAATATCCGCCATCTTGGGCGCTTCATTCTGCCAGTCTCTCTTCGAGTCTTGGGCAATACATAGGGAATCGATCCAGATGAGTGGAATTCCCATCTTACGGGCCACCACAATGGCATCATGAAAGGTTTTACCCAAACCGGGTATTGGAATGCCATTTTCAAGGCTTTCTTTTGTCTCCGTCGTGAGCCTCAACGCGTGCGTTCCCCCCCAGCAATGGCTCAGGGTCGTGTATTGGAGGTTGGGTTCTAATACTGTGGTGTCTTGCACAAGGCGGATTTTGTTGGAGGTAGGTTTATCGATCTCCATGAGTCGAGTAGGGTACTGCTTTATCGATACTGTGTGTGATTGTTGACATATTTCGTGATGATCCAGGCAATATTTAAGCCATCTCTCAGCATGGTCTAAGGTGAAGGAGGAGTGTGATAGGACAGAGCACCCAACTTTGTTTAAACAAAGATCGCTCTCTAGACTCCGGCTGTAGAGGACTGTTCTCTTTATTAGTTAAACATTTGATCGGGGATACATGTAGGAGAGCGGATACTTTTCAATGGTTGAAGGCAAAAAGTGTGCGCTGGCCCACCATGCTCTAAGCCGTTCTTGTCGGCAATCATTGTTAATTCCAACATTCCTGGAGACGTACGGACATGTTCTATACTGTATTTCGAAACCGGGTATATAGATTTCTCTTCCTCGTCAGAACTGATGGGAGTCCCGCCTTCTTTTGGTGGACAGCGATAACCTAGTATGTCGCGCCACACGACATTGCATATGAAGCACTGATCGACAACGGATTGCTGAACTCCGGCCAGCGTCTTATGGTGGTGTCGTAGCCTGTCCCTTTCAGAAGGTGGGGGGTGACGAAAAATTCGTTCGCAAGTCTGGCAAAGGCGATGCATTTTGCGCAAGTTGTGAAAAAGCAAGGCCCTCGGGGGTCTATACTTAGGGTGCTAGGGAGTTTAATCACGACCTCACGTCTTTCCGAACCAGGTCCGCTTTGGCCTCCAGTCGGTCGCGAATGAAATCAAGCCCTACTGTGTTAAAATGTGTTAGAAATCGGTCGAGGCCACTGTTCCAGACACCGGCTAAGCCCCGCTATCCGGGCATAGCCGCTCTACTAGTAACAAGGATTAACCGACAATGGGACGGAAGAACGTTAGTCCTAAATACGAGGTTGTGAGGTGGGGGCTACAGAGGATTCGTACTAGGGGGCCAAAAAGTCGGCCAATCCCCGTGACAATTCCACAGTCACCGGGGGTCGTTGACCTGTTATACCAATTTTTTTTATACGTTGCTGATCATCATTGAAAGGAACTTGATACTATAATGTCAGGACGCTCTCTGGTCCCGCGTCACCTGAAGAAACCAGCGCATTCAGGTGGAACACCTATGGCCGGTTTGGATCTTTTAGGGACATGCATACTTAATGGACTTACAGAACCGAAGGGGTTTACATAAATATACGTCAACTCGGGGTTCCGCGAGTTGCTATGGTTCAACATGAATTTACGTGGCCGGTACTATTGCTAGCACATCCGCTAATATACGTTACGTTAAGCATGCACTCAATTGCTTTCAGCCGAGGCACTGCTATTACCTGCAAATGAGGATTTAAGTTCCTCATCCAATGCTTCTTCTTGGGCTCAACGACACCGCATGCCCCGCTGAATGTGCTCCATGGGTACATGTAGCCAGGATGGTGGAAGTAAGGTTGAAAGACATCTTTGTTTCGGAATCAAAGTTTCAGGTACACGGGGTAGAAGCTGCGGAGTTCACTTTGTAGAACTGGCTGTGGGCCTCTCTAACTCCAATGATTGAAGCCATCACGAAGAAAGCTCTGAACTTGGTTTGGGTCTCTCTTCTCGTTCCTGAGCAAAGCTCGCGTGGCGTACACGAATGGGGACGGCGTGTAAGTGCCCGGCTAAGGAACGTTCCTTACAGACAAGGCTCACAAGACTGGAAGTGGAAAGCATTCAGCGTGAGAAATAGCCAGAGAGTATGTGATCTTCGGGGGTCTAGATATGTATATTTACTCTTGGTCAGAGTCTTTAGACCCTCAATGGTGTTGCATGCTCGAGACTCGAACTCGAAGCAGCATGAGACTTACTCAGCCACAAGCGCTAGATCAGCCACAGCCAGCGTAGCCACAATCCACACTGCCCTCAGCTCCGAGCGTCTTCGCGACGCGTCGCCAAACGTAAATCATCATTATGGCCAGCTTCTCCATGGTCGACCAGCAGCACACTGAGAGACTCCCATGGAACAGTCACCGGCAACGCCTCCCGATGCCGTCGCTGCATTGACAGACGGGAGCAATGGACCTCGACGAATTCTCCGACGATGGCTTCGACGACCTGACTGACCATGCGCTCCAAGAGCTCGAACGCAATGCCATCCAGCTCACCCAGGCTCAAGCCGCCCCAAGACTCAGTCCGCGGAAGCCTCCGTCTCAGGAGCCGCATACGCGCATCTCTGACTACGGCTGGGAGGAAGAAGACGATGACCTGGACAACTCCGAAGTCATCAACGACGCTGGCCTCCCCATTGGCCGCCCTGTCGTCGACAACACCTTGCAACAGCGAGAGCGGCAGCGAGAGCAGCAGCGGCGTCTGGCAGAAGCCCAACTCCCGCGCCGACCTCTTCCTCAGGTCCCCAACCCGAGATGGAACCCGACTGTCGATCCCGCCAACCGCCCAGGCGCCGCCATGCCGGCCCGGGTGACTGTTGCTCCTCCCAACCAGACCTTCCCCGGCTCCCAACGCTTCCAGCCCCAGGGCCTCGGCCGCGTCAACGCCCCTCAGCCAAGCCAACTCGCCCGACCGATACTTGCCCAGAATCGCTTCGCACCATCGCAGCAGTCGCAAGCGGGCGATGTTGTGCAGGCCCTGCAGCAGCGCTTGCGCGCCCTCGAAGCCGAGCTCAACGCCGCCCGCGGCGAGGCGTCCATCATCCGCGCCAACTCGGCAAAGGCCCAGCAAGAGTACGAGGCCCAGACCACACGCCTCAAAAAGCTCAATGCCGAGCAGGTGGCCAAGCAGGAGCGTATCGTCGAAGCCGCCATTGCCGCCGAGAGGAGCGCCAACACCGAGCTCCAGTTCCTGCAACGGGACATGAGGGAGGTCAGTGACCGAGCCCGGAGAAAAGAGACTGCCAATGGGCCGGCATCAGGCATGACGACACCCAAGAAGGCATCTAAAACGTGGGGGTTCGCCGATGGCTTCGACGAGATGGACATGGCCGAGAGCCCCAGCAAAACCCAGGCGCGCACCAGGGGCTCCGGCTCGGTCGCCGCAAACGTCGGAGAGAGGACACCGAGTAAGGGAAAGAGGAAGCGCCCGATAGTCGACAGTCCCGTGGCCGCGTTGGAGACACACACCGAAGATGTAGTCATGGCGGAGGACAGGCCAGTCGCTGCCTCTGCCGCACAGCCTCTGATGCTGGAAGCAACCCCTGCGGCTCCCTTTGAGGTGAGAAAATCAACGTGCAGGCCATGGCTACTGCGTTCCCGTGTCTGACGAGTGCTTCTGCTAGTTTCTCCAGTTGGCGCTGGACCACGGTGCTTTTCAACAGCAGCCGCCCACGTTTGACACCTTGTCGCGGGTTGCATTCCCGTCTGACCCGACTGCGACCTCTCTTGCTTCCATGATCTTCGAGAAACTGCCGCTCATGGGCGATCCTCGTCGGCCGATGCAGCTCCTTGTCGACTTTGCCGAACACATCATCTCGTTATGGGCGCGATGCGTAGAAGAGCAGTTTTGGGAGCCGGTCAAGTATCTCGTTGCTCTCATCTCGTTTACCTTTGATCTTCACACAATCTCGGTGGCGCCGCTTATCGTCGCGAACCTCGCCCCCATCGCTCAGGCGACCATGCTGGTCCTGGCCGAGGCACGGCGGCGGCTTCTCGAAGGCACCCTGCCGGGCGACAACGAGTTGGGCTTTCTAGAAGAGCACATCGACACGACGCGGATCCTCTCTCTGCTCTACATGTCAGCCTTGGCCTGCGCCACGACGCCGAGCGAGACCGAAAATGGCTTCGAGTACACCGCCGTTGGGTTCTGGAGGCTCATGTCTCTGGACGTGGTGCTCCTCCTCCTGACGCCCAAGCAAAAGTTGAGCGACATCATCGGCATGCTCGATCTCCTGGCCTCGTCGTCGCTGCCTGGGTCGATTGGGCCCGTCACCGACGAGGCGGACCCTGTCATCATTGCGCGAGCCGTGATCGAGCGGGTATCGGCCAAGCTGACGGAGCAGCCCCGGCCCTCAATGGCGGCGGAACAGAGAAGACGGCTACGTCTTACGGCCCTGCGGACGCTGGTTGCATTTGCGCTCTATCCATTCGGTGCTTTGCAACTCGCCTCTCACAACGGCGCCCTTCCGCGTCTCGTCACTTGTTTGAGTGCGTCCATTGATGATTTGTACGACCAACCTGTTGCCCTCCATCTACTGCCTCCTCTTCCCGACTCCCTCAACTGCTCCTTGAAATTGCCAGAGTCCACGGCATCCGCCGATCTGTACTGCATCATCTCCCAGAGCGTCCTGCTCATCCACAGGCTAGTCACCGACCCGAGCACGTCCAACGTGGCCGATATCAGCCAAAAGCTGTCTGTGGCCCACGGTGGGAGTCAACGCTATCTCCTCGCACTCGGGAGACTGACATTTGCGGAGGAAGATCTGATCATAGAGGCGGGCATCGAAGCAGAGGTGGCCGAGGCTGCCCACGAGCTCTTGGAATTGAACGTTACGCCCGACGACGGAGAGGCCGTTGGCGAGGCTTTTGGGGCGTTGACATGAAGATTCGAGGCACGGCGTCTGGGGCGTTGACATGAAGATTCGAGGCACAGCGTCTGGGGCGTTGACAATACATCTGTCACCTGTCTGATTCGCATAGATGAGGCAGGCATCCTCGGGCACTGGACAAGGCGTCCGACTGTTGGATCATCTGAAATGAGTTTTATTTCGAGGTCTCACCACAAAGAGCTCTGGAGAAAAAGTTACAGCTTAAACATTACCTTCTACGATTTCAAGAGGGCATGGCACAAGTCGGAGAAAAATCGAGGCTTATTTACGCTTCCCACGGCAAGGGACGAGGCCCAAGGATTGCTGGCCCACGCCCACTTCGTTTCTCGGCACTCACAAACCAGCATAAAAACGCATTCCTCCTTTCAATCGCAGGCGCGGTATGCTTGGATAAAACGACATGTCTCCAATGAGCTCGCAAGAAGCCGATCAGTTCATTGAAAAGAGCGAATAGTAAGATTATAATGTCTAGTAAGAATCCATCCCAAGTTCCGTGCTCAACTCGATTACCACCGAATTACCCCGGTCACCGCTCATTATTAATACTGAGTTTTGATTTTCCAATGCGTTTTACTACTCACTTACCATGATACCGCCTTGGAACAAAGAAAATTAATAAAATTAAGTGAGTGGAAGAAACGAAGAAGTAGAAAGGGGAAGAAGAGAGTGGAAGACGCTGAGGCGCACTGTAGGTGATTACTGGGCAACCACCTCCGCACGCCCCAGGAGGCCGCCCAGCGCCGAGCCGACCTCGTCAACGGCGCCATCGACCGTTTCGACGCCACCGGCGACAATGCAGCCGATGGATCCCAGGAGGCCGTTGCACCGGCCCTTGCCAGTTGGCGTTGGCTGGCTGTTCTTCTTGGTGGCCGTCGGCGGAGAGGGTACTTTGCTAGGCTGTTTGGGCGACTGTCCGCTGCTCGGGTTCTTGGATGGGTTTTCCTTCTTGGGAGGGCTCGGGGGAGTTCCCTCGTCCTGGTTGCTCGAGGGGCTGCCCTTATCGGACGGTGACGGAGCGGGCACATCGCTGGGCTGCTTGGGCGGTTCCGCCTTGTCTGGGGTCGGGGCCGGGGTTTCTTTATTGGGGACGCTCGGGGGGGTTCCCGCGTCCGGGTTGCTTGGGGGGTTACCTGAGTCGGGTGATGAAGGAGGAGGCACTTCGGCGGGCTGCTTGGGCTGTCCCACCTTGTCCGGGGTCTGGGCCGGGGTTTCGTTGTTCGGGGTGCTCGGAGGGGCTCCCTTGTTGGCGTTCTCATTCGGGGGAGTTCCCTCGTTGGGGTTGCTCAGGGAGGTTTCCGCGTTCGGGTTGCTCGGAGGGTTGCCTCTGTCGGGCGATGGCGGAGGGGCCACAGCGCTGGGAGTCTGGGGTTTCTTCCCATTCATCCCCAAGAGGTTGCCGAGCGCCTCGCCAACCCCCTTGGCGGTGCCCTCGACCGTATCGACACCACCGGCGACGATGCAGCCCAGCGATCCGAGTACGCCGTTGCATCGGCTCGGGTCATCAGCCGGGAGGATGCCATCCTGGTTCGGGGTGCCGGGGGGCAGCTTGGTGGGCACGGGACCTTTGCCGCCTGGCGTGAGGCTGGGCTTGGTTCCGTTGAAGCTACCCTTGCTGACCGGGGCGGGCTTTTCGTTATTGGCATCGGGCTGGGGGTTGACCGGAACCGGAACTGGGAGGACGATCGGGGGGGGGTTGGACTTCGTGTCGACGGGGCTGGGGTACGGACTGGGACTACCGGCGTTGGGGACGGGCTCCGGGCTGACAGGGCTGGGGTTCTGGCTTGGGCTGCCGGCGTTGGGGACGGGCTCCGGGCCGACGGGGCTTGGGGTCGGCTTCGAAGTGTCGCTAACGGGGACATAGCTTGGGTTGATGACAACGTCCGGCTTTCCGTCGCCGTTGGTATCAACAACGCCGCCCGGGCCGACCTTGGTGTCCGGCTTGCCGTCTCCGTTGGTGTCGACCCCGCCGTCGGGAAGAACCTTGACGTCGGGCTTGCCATCTCCGTTGGTGTCAATGTCCCCGTTAGGCTGGACCTTGGTATCCGGCCGCCCGTCTCGATTAGTGTCCACAGGAGCACCGGGTCCGACGTTCTTATCTGGGTTCTTGTCCGCTTTGTCGTCGGGGTTGGGGATACTTGGGTTGATCACAAGGTCCGGCTTTCCATCGCCATTGGTATCAACAACGCCGCCCGGGCCGACCTTGGTGTCCGGCTTGCCGTCTCCGTTGGTGTCGACTCCTCCGTCGGGAAGAACCTTGACGTCGGGCTTGCCATCTCCGTTGGTGTCAATATCCCCATTAGGCTGGACCTTGGTATCCGGCCGTCCGTCTAGGTCCGTGTCTACGGGGGCACCGGGTCCAGAGCTCTTATTGGGGATCTTGTTCCCTTTGCCGTCGACCTTGGGGGATCCGCTGGATTCAGCGTCTGGGACGGGCTTCGGGCTAACAGGGCTGGGACTCGAGCTCGGACTGTCGACGTTGGGGACATTGCTTGGGTTGATGACAAGATCGGGCTTTCCGTCGCCGTCAGTGTCAACGGCGCCGCCCGGGCCGACTTTGGTATCCGGCTTGCCGTCTCCGTTGGTGTCGACTCCTCCGTCGGGCAGGACCTTGACGTCAGGCTTGCCATCTCCGTTGGTGTCAATGTCCCCGTTGGGTTGAACCTTGGTATCCGGGCGTCCGTCTAGGTCGGTGTCCACCGGGGCACCGGGCCCGACGTTCTTATCTGGAACCCTGTCCCCTTTTCCATTGCTCTTATCCGGGACCTTGTCGCCTTTGCCGCCGCTCTTGTCTGGGATCTTGTCCCCTTTGCCGCCAACCTTGGGGTATTCGCCGGAGTTGACGTCTGGGAGCTCATCTTTGTCGGTGTCCACCGCGTCGGGCCCGACAACGAGCGTCGTGTCGGGCTTGTCACCGCCATTCCTGTTGAAGCCCCCGTTCTTATCTAGCTTAGTATCTGGCTTTCCGTCTCCGTCGGTATCGACGCCACCGCCGGGCAGGATGGTGAAGTCGGGCTTGCCGTCTCCGTTGATGTCCACAGTGCCGTGCGGGCCGAGGACAACATCCGGAATGCCGTCGCCGTTGGTGTCGACGCCGACGAGGGGGCCATCGGGAAGCTCGTTCAGCTTCTTGGGATCTCCCTTAATGACGAGCTGGGGCGAGCCAGGGGAAGTCGGTGGGAGTGTGATTACGGGTGCGTTGGGCCCGGCACCTGGGAGCGTGATGGTAGGGTTGACGAGACCCTTCGGGTTTCCTTTGACAGCGAAAGGCGACTGACCCTTACCAGTGGGCGTCAGAGTGACTATCGGGTCTGAAGGGCGAGCGTTGGGCAGCGTCAGAGTGGGGATGTCGGTATTGACCCCGGTCTTTCCAGCATCTTTCCCATTGTCCGGTCCGGAACCATATGGGAGCTTGTTCAAGTCTCCCTTTACCACGACCGGGGGCGAGCCAGGGACAGCCGGGGGAAACGTGGTAAGGGGCGCGTTTGGCCCGGCACCTGGAAGGGTAATAGTAGGCGTGGCGACCCCGTCTGTCTTGCCAATAACAGCGACAGGACCCTGGCCCTTGCCGGTAGGCTTTAGAGTGACTATCGGGTCCGAGGGACGGGCGTTGGGCAGCGTCAGAGTGGGAATGTTGGTATTGAGCCCAGGATTTTCGGCGTTTTTACCACCGTCACCCCCGGAGCCGTATGGCGGCTTCTTCAGATCTCCCTTGACCACCACCGACGATGAGCCGGGAACAGTCGGGGGGAACGTGGTCAGGGGCGCGTTAGGCCCAGCACCTGGGAGGGTGATGGTAGGCGTGGCGATCTCATCCGTCTTGCCAATAACAGCAATAGGGCCTTGGCCCTTTCCAGTCGGCTGTAAAGTGACAATTGGATCCGAAGGACCGGCGTTAGGCAGCGTCAGCGTGGGAATATTAGTGTTGGCCCCCGGCTTTCTACCGTTCTCGTTACCATCGCCTCCAGACCCATATGGCGGCTTGTTTAACTTGTCGAGATCTCCTTTGACCACCACCGGCGGCGACCCAGGGGTAGTCGGGGGCAACGTGGTCAGGGGCGCGTTAGGCCCAGCACCTGGGAGGGTGATGGTAGGCGTGGCGATCCCATCCGTCTTGCCAATAACAGCAATAGGGCCCTGGCCCTTTCCAGTCGGCTGTAAAGTGACAATTGGATCCGAAGGACCGGCATTAGGCAGCGTCAGCGTGGGAATATTGGTGTTGGCCCCCGGCTTTCCACCGTTCTTGTTACCATCGCCTCCGGACCCGTACGGCGGCTTGTTCAACTTGTCAAGATCTCCCTTGACCACCACCGGCGGCGACCCAGGGGCAGTTGGGGGGAAGGTAATCAGGGGCGCGTCAGGCGCAGCACCTGGAAGAGTGATGGTAGGGCTAACGGGGTCCTTCGGGTTGCCAACAACGGCGATGGGCGGCTGACCTTTGCCGGTCGGGTGCAAAGTAAAAGTGGGATCCCCGGGGTGCGCGTTGGGCAGAGTCACCGTGGGAATGACGCCCTGCTTTAACTTGTTGAGGTCTCCTTTAACTACCAACGCCGGCAAGCCAGGGCCAGTCGGAGGAAATGTCGTCAAGGGAGCATCGGGCCTAGCGCCTGGGAGGGTGATCGTAGGCTTGACGAGGCCCTTCAGGTTGCCAATGACAGCGATGGCCGGCTGATCTGCGCCGGTCGGATGCAAAGTGACCGTGGGATCCTCAGGGCGGGCATTGGGCAGAGTCAACGTGGGAATCGCGCCCAGCAAGCCGTGGTTTCCGACGACAACCGTCGCCCGATCGCCTGGGTTGATGGGGGCCAGAGTGACGCGGGGGTCGCTGTCCTTGGCTCCCGGCAGGAACTTGGGGACCGCGGGACCGCCGGGGGCACCGCCGCCGGGGGCACCATCACCGGGAGAACCGCCCTTGGGAGCACCTCCGCCGGGGAGAACCCCAAACCTCCCAGCAGCCGCCTTGGTGGGCTCGCAGATGATGACTGTCCCGTGACAGGTGGCACAGGTCGGCTGGACGATCGACACGGTGGGCGAAGCATAGTCGCCGCTCGACGTGAGCGTGTAGTATGGCACGTCGGTCGGCTGGAAGGAGAAGACGGTTCCGGGGCAGACGGGGCAGCTGGCCGCCTTTGTCGAGACGGCGGCGTCCGGGATCCTGGCCGGCAAGGTGAGCGTCACGTCGGGGGGCGCGGGCGGAGCATGGGCAGCCTCGAGCGTGGGAAAGGCCGGGGAGCAGAGATTGGCGCAGGCCCCGAACTCGAGGTACGTGGTGACGACGACCTCGACGGTGACGGGGTCGTCCTCGTTGGCAAAGGCCGTCGGGGCCATGAGCGCCGCCAAGGCTGCTGCCCGGGCCTTGGCCGACTTGGCGCCGCGGCGGCCGCGAGAGCGAGGGGCTGCCATGGTGCCGGGTTGGGGGCGGGCGAACTTGATTGCCGGTGTCGATGAAGGGGGTTGCAACGAGTGGAGGAGGACGAAACGAGTGTCGGTTGCTGAGGAGAGAAGCTGGCTGGATGGAGACGTTGGATGCCGCTGTTTATATAGATGGATCTCGTCGTTTGACGATGTGAAGGGATTTGGTCTGCCGGACGCAGCCTTTGCCGTGAAAGCAAACAACAATCGGTTGGAGGAATGGACATAAAGGTTGCCCCCTATACAGAAGGAGAAGGGGCTTGAATACCGACATCTCGAAGCGGACACCGACTAATCTCGCATCCTCATAGCTCTCCTCGACCTCGGGCCAGCTATCGAAAGCGGCTTCAATGCATGGAGGAGCCCGGAGACGGTGGCGTCGATACATGCCGAGATGGAGGCTCTCGGGATTGGAAGGATGCCGTCCCTCATGTTTTCTGGCCTGTTGGGATCCATAGAGCGAGGGCGAAAGTCGAGGTGAGATAATTGCGAGGCCAACAAACAGAGTCGGGGGCGCGTTCCAGTGTCGTCGTTTGCAGATGCCGAGAAAGGGGCTTGGAGCAGACAGCCGCGCTGTCTCCTTGTCTTCGTCCGGGCAATCAAGGCGGCCAAAGGATGTGTGACGCCACCTGCCACCAACAGATTCATCAAGGAGAATTCTTTGCCGGCGTGCGGATGCGTCAACGCTGTCGACGGTGCCGGCGAGCCATTGTTTCTTTGTGCCGCTCCGTGGCCCGTGCCAGGAAACCGGCCTCTTTCGGATTACATGTACGCGTCTTGGTCCAGCAAGTTACAGGCCGCCATGTCCAAGGGAGCGAGCGATGCCGACGGTAGATGCCCCGTTACGGGGCCGCCCGGCTGCGATCCGAACCGGGACCAACGTGCAGCCACTGCGTCGTGCCGCCGCCGCGTTGCTTCATTGGAGCGTTGCCGCGGCAGACCAAGGGCGCCTGGCAACGCTGTGGTTTGTCTGCGTTGAAGCTTGTTGGCCGGCCGGGTAGATTGCGTCTTATTAGATCTTTCTGAGCAGACCGGAGTCCGTGCTGCTTGGTTGGTTGGCCAGGCATGTGTTGTTGTATTGGTATTGATCGCGTTGGGGCCTGATTATCTGATCTGAAGCTCCTCCCCCCTTTGATATTCAAGCACCGCAAACTTTGCGCACAGCTTCTCATCATGGGGTTTTCCACATTGGGCGGAGTCATGTCCAATGCCCATGCGCAAGCCCGGTCATAAGGTTCACAGCAGAGAGTAGAAACCGTCATCGTCGCCCGCGGAATGGCCGGATTCATCCGCCTCGCCCACATCTGTCGTGTCTCTATGACGAGAGAGTACCCCAGGGGAAACGAATCAGTAGGGAACAACACGTTCGTTTGGCTCACCTATTCACTGAATGAGGAGTCATAGAGGAAAGAGATTGTACGGGGGCCAACCCCGAGTGCCCGTCGACAATATCGCATCAGAACATGAGACAACATGCATGTAGAAGAATGGCCCGTACCTTGCTGCTTCAATATTCTCCCGGCGCACAATTTTATCTCAGGCATTCTTGGTTGTGTTCTAGAACTATCATGTAAACACTGCCCGTATCCCGCTATCCATGATTACGCCTCGCTCATACAACCTCGATTTCAGTCGTCACACGCTTCCCCGTCTCCTTTTCCCTGCACACTCAGCACAACATCAAGTCGACGCTGCTACTTTCCCTCCCTCCCTCACAAGCCCATGATCCTTCTAAACCCGACATTCTCCACCACCCACGAGCCTGACGACGAAGAGCCCAGCCGAAAAGCCCCCGGCCCCTCGACCTTGGCATCGTCAATCCCCCCTGCGGCAAGCTGTGTCAGAAACCCGCCCAGCACCTCGGTCGGCGAGTGCATGCGCCGGTAAGCCGAGCGAAACACAGGCCCCAGCGTCAGCACCGTCGCGTTATACAGCAGCCCCGGGTTCGGGATGTAGGGCTTGATGGCGGCGTGGTTCGCGGCGTCGACAAAGGCCGGCCGCACCGAGTCAGCGCGTAATAGCGGCTGCGGCTGCGGCTGGCTTCCCGGCTTTTCTCCCGTCGTCGCTGACAGCTCGGCCAAGGCCTTCTCCGTCTCGCCCTTTACGCGCGCAAAGATGGCGGAGAAGCGGCCGGGCGTTTGTGTCGCGCCTTCGCCCGAGACGTAGACGAAGCGAAACGGCGCCGCCGATGAAGACGCCGTCGGCAGCGTAGCAAAAGCCTTTGCCGCCGCCAGCGGATAATCCTTAGTGATGCGCACGTACTCGTCCGCCGTGACCTTGTTCTGGCTCACGCCCAGCGCCCAGACACACCCGACGGCGCCCTTGAGCTTGTCCAGCACGGCGGCGTCGTACGAGGTAAAGTCGCTGTGCACAATGACGCGCACGCGGTCCGCGCCGCCCCCGTCGGTGGTCGCCCGGTCCTCGGCCATGCGCACCGGCCGCCGGCTGAGGATGGAGATTTTGGTCACCTCCTTGGCTGCCAGCATGGCGTCCAGGACCGCCGACCCGACCAGGCCGGTGGCGCCTGTCAGGATAAGGTGCATGGCGCGGTGTGCTTGTTGGCCGTCTCTCTGACTTGTTTCTCTTCACTTGTCAGTGGCTCTCAATCGACAAATGGCCTCGCCGTACGCAGCGAGCAATCGATGAGGATGGCTCTCTGTCGTTGGATGTGTTGCTTTCCAGCCGGTTTAAGAAAAGGGCGCAAAGCTAGCCTAAACAAACGGATGGGAGAGAAAAGAGAGGTACCAACAAGATGCCGTCCGCAGGCAGTCAGTCGTTATTTGTACTCCCCATGCCGAGTGATAATGGGCTACGGCGTCAACCTAATGGGCGGAATTAAGTCTAATGCCGGCCCCGCTGCATGTCCGCTTCGCAGGACCCGCCCCGACGAGCTCCGCGGCGGTCCGACATCGAGAGCAACGCAAGCTGCCACGTACACACAAGTCTGACAGCACAGCTAGTGAGACTTCCTACACTGTGGTTCAGGTCGATACCTTGTAGGCTTTCTTTTGTTTGATTAGTCGGCGGGCCGCATCGCCATTCAACGCTAGAATGGAACGATAGCGCCGCTGCGCCTTGGGCATCCTCTTTGACCAACAGCGCAATCTCGACTGTTACAGGTTCCCGGTGGGGAAAACGAAACCAGCGCAAGCGTGACAGAGGGGCTTCGCCAATGTCTATACGCTTTCCTGCTCGACATGGCCATCATCTCCTACCCGGTACCGGTACACCGGGAGGATATCCCTTCCAGCCATACCCCATGTCTCCTCCTTAAACATACTCATCACGGTCATGACGATTCCCGCGCCCAACAGACTAGCGTGGGTCAAGCGCAATAGGCTCAGATGAGGATGGCGGCGGCCATCACCAAGTACAAGGCTGAGCTAGCGCCCAGGCTCGCCGTTTGCGGCGCCCGGCTTACCACGCCGTTCTGGCTCCCTACCACCGTGGGACGCGTCGCCGAAACGCGAATGTTCTCCACAATGTTCTCGTTTCCGTCCACGTACTGGAGGGACGTGAAGTTGCAGGTCGACATGATGACATTTAGGTCTGCAGCCTGTTAGCACTGCCCATGGCCTGGGGTAGGAGACGGAGCGCGGCCACCTACTGTTCATGTCATCGCCCGACCGCATGATGCAGCTGGCGCAGAGTGCCGCCACCTCCGACACGTTGAAACTTTTGTTCAAGCACACGCACTTCTCCTCGGCGCCCACCGGCATCGAGTTCGCGGCGACACCCCTCTGGCCACCCTCGTCGGCAGGGCTCTGGGGCGTCTGCCGTGGTCCGTTGGAGGCTTGTAATGAGGACAACGTTGACCGAGAGACGGGCGTGGCGGGGGAGGGCGAAGAACCGAGAGGAGAAACAGCAGAAAGACGCTCGGAAGCAGGGGAAATTTGAGACGAGGTGGGAGGTGGTAAAGAGGATGATGACGAGGCACGAGCAGGCTCAGCAGTAACAATGGCCCCCAGAGGCGGAGCAGCCACAGGCGGCGACGGAGCCAGAGGAGACGGAGAAGAAGGCGGAACAATCGCCATTGAGGTAGAGGGTGAGACGATGCCCACGCTGGAACGACTCGCGCTCGACGGTTCTTCGGCCTGCTCTGTTACCGTCGTCGTAATGGTCGTAGGCTGCCCAGGGCCAGGCTTTTTGGGAACGGCCACGATGACCAGGAACTTCCTCTTCTCGAGGTCGCCACCAGCATCGACGTATTCTCCCTCAACAGCCCCTCGTCTCCGATCCTGCCTCTCGGGCACTCCAGGCTCGACGTCTTTTCCATCAGCCACGGAGTCCTCATCGAGGTTCGAACGCCGCGTGGCCCGGCGCGGGGTGCATTGAGAGGTGAGCTCGACCATGGGGCCGCACATTCGCGCGCATTGGACAGGAATGTCTTCGGGCGGCAGGGCCTCGGCGAATGCCACAGCCGCCAGGCCTGACGACAGGATGGCCAGGCCGGCGTGTATTGTTCTCATCTCAGCTGTCGACGCGCCCCCTCTTTCTCTCAGTTGCCTGGGGATGAGTGACTGGCCCTCCCTCCACGCTCTTCGGAAGCACAAGATGCAGCAGTCTGGAGATCAACGAGTGTATGCCTTCATGCCAGGCTGGGCAATGGCAAGCAGAGCGATGAGACCTGACGAGGAGTTGAGGGAAATGGTGATGCTCATTCGCAGCCTTGCTCCGCTCCGAGCCGTCAGGCGGCATTTCCAGGTGAGCACATGAGCTCGAGCTTGAAACGCACGAGGGAAAGGGGTGGCGTTCTCTGCCAAAGTCGCATCAAGGCATTGCCGGTGCCGCACCACCATCTCGACAGCCCCAAACGCCCTAATGGCCTCACCAGCGAGCTCCCAAGGACAAGGTGCGCTCGCCGCCGGCTTCTGCCATGGGAGCCGAGACTGTGGATCTCCATCTGAAACGAAACCAACCGGAAGACTCGAGGCGTTCGGGTGAGGGAGCAAGACGGCCACGCGCCCGCAACTTGTCGACTTGTAGCCGGTATTTCCGCATCGTTGCGGCGTCTGTCGGTGATGCGGAGACGGCTAGCATTCATCCAGCCTGGTTCGCACACCAAGGTGACAGCAGTTGGCCATCAGGCTACAAGCATGCCAGGCACGATGAGGCAGCAGCCCATCCCCAGACACTGGCCGCGCACGCGTCGCCGAGTCAGGCGTAGCCTTATTCGTAGTAGCTCCTCGTCAATGCGTTTCTCGTCTTCCAGCCCACGAGGGTTCAACAGGCGACGGAAAACTGGATCCTCGAGTCGCGTCTTTCGTCCTCGGCTCTTCTTCCTCCGGCCCTCTTGGCTGCTGCCCTTTTGACCATCGTATCGCAGAGGAATTGGGACGGCGACAAGATGTGGGAGAAAGGATCTTGTCCTGCTACTTTTGAAAACAACCTGCAACGCTATGTCCACCTCCCAAATCCAGACCTTCCTCTGCCGAACAATTACCGGCTCAACATGCAGCTAGCGGGGCACATGTACTTTGTAGCTAGAATCGGTGCTGGCGTCCGACGCTCTCGACCCTGACGCCCAGCTTGACCATCTCGCGAGAGTCAATGACGCCTCGGCCGTCAAACACCCACCGCGGCTTGGCCATCCTGTCGGCGATGCGCACCCAGTCCAGCCGCTCCTTGGGCTTGTACTCGTCCGCGCTGCCCATGCCCGTGGCAAAGCCCGTCTTCTTGCTCTCCCTCTCCTGGATGCAGTCGGGACAATCCTCGGCGCATGTGGGCTCTCGGTTGAATCGCTCCAGTGGGTCGTCCGACGTCTCCCCGGCTCGCTGCACCAGGTGCTTGTGCAGCGCCAGCCAGTCGTTCTCGGCCAGCCTCGACGACTTGAACGGCCGGGGGTCCGACTTGGGGTTGGGCTTACGACCCGCCACCCCGGCCGTCGCTGGGGCCTGCGTTCGCCTGGCGACGGGTTGGTTTCGAAACTCGTCAAACTCGGTGGCGATGACGACGGCTGTGCTGTCGCGGCAGGCGTCGTATGCGTTGCCGTAGACGGAGATGTTGTTGCCCGCCGCTAGCGGACCGAGGATCATCTTGATCTCGTCCTTGACCACCAGCGGATTGCAGCAGGGGTCGAAGACGGCAATCTCCCGGGGCCGCTCTTCCAGAAGCGTCTTGATCATCTCAAGCGCCGGCGCCTCTCGCGTGTCCGACGTGTCCTTTTTGAAGGCGTAGCCGAGGATGGTCACCTTTTTGCCTACGAGCGTGTTGTTGAGACACTTGATGACGCGGTTTGTAAAGCGGTCGCGCGCATAGTCGTTCATCTTGACCACCTGCCGCCAGTACTCGCCCACCTCGGGCAGGCCCATGGTGTCGGCCAGATAGACGAGGTTCAGGACGTCCTTTTTGAAGCAGCTGCCACCAAAGCCGATGCCGGCCATGAGGAACTTGTTTCCGATGCGAGGGTCAACGCCAATGGCGCGCGCCACCTCGTCGACGTCGGCGCCCGTCTGCTCGCACACGGCCGAGATGGAGTTGATGCTCGAGATGCGCTGGGCGAGCATCGAGTTGGCGACGAGCTTGGCGAGCTCCGAGGACCAGACGTTTGTGGTGAGGATGCGCTCACGGGGGACCCACGAGGCATAGACGCCGACGAGAGCCTCGGCAGCCCGCTTGCCCGAGGGCGTCGGCGCAGAGCCAATGAGGATGCGGTCGGGGTAGAGCAGGTCGTTGACGGCAGTTCCAGCAGCCAGGAACTCGGGGTTGGACAGAATCTCGAAGTGAACACCGGGGCGATGCATGGACAGCTGGGGCGGTACGGGGTCAGGAACAGTTTCAGGACGACGGTGGGTAGACTCACCGTATCGGCGACCAGCTGGGCGGTCCGGCAGGGGACGGTGCTCTTCTCGACAATGATGGCCCCCTCGCGGGCATACTGGGCAACGACGGCGGTGACAGCCTCAAAGGCCGTCATGTCGGTGGCGCTCCCGGCACCGACGCCGCGCTCCTTGGTAGGGGTGTTGACGGCCACGAGGACAATGTCGGCCTCGGCGATGGTGGTGGCGACGTCGGTGGTGAAGAAGAGGTTGCCGGCGCGGCGGGGCATGACGGGGTCGCCATCGGAGAGGGCCGAGGACTCGGAGTCGGAGGACAGGGGCTCGTTGGAGAAGCTCGTCTCGCGGCCGCCGTCACGGGCCACGCGGACAATATCGTGCAGGCCCGGCTCGTAGATGGGGGGATGGCGCGAGTTCCAGCGGCGGATGCGGCTCTCGTCGCGGTCCACGACCGTCACCCGGATGTGAGGGTTCTGGAAGGCAATGACGGCGGCAGTAGGGCCGCCTGCAGGGAGCTGTCAGTCAATGACTCGCGCGCGAACCACTGTCTTGGGACCGAGCTGTCGAATTGGGGGCGGCGGGGCGGGTGGTGAACCCCCCACCAGCGTCTGGGTTCCATATAAAGATAGACATACCGACATAGCCAGCGCCGACGCAGCAGATGCTCCGGACCTTGACGGCGCCGTCGAAGGAGCCGTTGGTGTGCTCTAGCGAGCCATTGAGGCCGAGCTTCTTGACCGAGTCGGCGACGGCGTCGGGAATGGAAGCCATTGCGGCGGATGGACGCGGTGGGGATGGCGGCCGGCACAGAGACCGTCGCCCAAAGGAACAAGTCGAGCGAGCGCGGCAGCAGCCAGCCACAGAGAGGAGGGCAAGTAGGTAGGTATAGATGGTTGATGGGGGCAAGATACGGTGGCAGCAATTGTGGATAGGCAAGGTAAAGCCGATGTGGTAGGGTAGCAATCAGAGATTAGGTATTTGCTGGACCGGTATCCCGAACGAGGGTGAGAAGGCAGTTGATAAAGATGAAGATGGAAAGAGAGGCTCAATCCGACAGGAGTCAAAGGAAGAAAAAAAATTCCACCGAGTACCTACATAGGAGCAAAGGAACGAACCAGGGGAGAAAAAGAAAGCAATCGGGCCAGTGGAGTTGGGGAAGGGGAAGGAAGGGGAGGGCTGGTGAAAAGGGGCAACAAGCAACGTGATGGATGATGATGGTCGACTATGCTGCAATGCAGTAAGTACATGGTGCGGTCGTACTGTATACAGGTTTGTGCAGTATTTGCTCTTCATTTCCCCTTCCGATGCAGCCGCACGTCTGTACGCGTGTTATGTATGGCCCAACCTCGGCATGCCGTGCAGCGCCAACCTCGACAGCGGCGGTGAATGGCTGCCAAGACGGAAGTGCTTAGAACAAGCGCGAGTGTGACGACGACGCGAGATGGGACGTCCGTCCGGGTATCCGCACCCAGCTGGAGTGGGGGCACAAAGCATGCCGTCTTGGCTGCCTATCTGTACTTTCCTACCGAGCACCCACCGGCGAGAGCACTTGTTGAGGCCACAGGCCACAACCTGTTATCTATTTCCCTGCCCGAGGTTGAAAAGTCAACGGCGAAATCTGCTCCTTTTCTTCGCGAGTGCAATGCCTACTAACACGCCGGTAGACGCACCCGCTTTTTTGCATGCGCTGATCCCCCGGTGCCCCGTGGTTGGTGATGCTAGCGGCCTTGGCGGTCTTCGGTATCGGGCCTGTGCATCTACCAGCGACTTGGCGCAAGGGTGGCGGGTCCGGGGGGTAGACTCGCGCCAAGGGTACGTGTCAGCCCACTCGCCGTCCCCTGGTTGGGCCCGGGGATTCCAGGGGGATGCTCTCTCAGCTTGCCGCTGGGGTTTCTGTAGCCCGTCTTTACATGGCAGCAGCAAATAGCAGCAGCAGGCCAGGCAGAAAACACATATATTTTCTGCAGCTTTCCATTGGGCAGTGCGTTTGATTGCAGCCGCAAAAATAGATCCAATGCCGATGCCGAGACGAAGCAAATCCCGGCAGCAGCCTGTACAGCAACGTACGCCGAGCCTACCCTGTACCGCTGCAAAACCACTCTTGCCGCTTCTGCCGCTCCTGCCGCCTCAGCGTGCTCGCTCCCGCTGGAAGCTGACTGGCGAGGCTGACGCGCTTGGTAACAGCTGGTGGGCCTCGTCACCTTCGTGACTCTGGGTGTACTCTGTACGCGTGTGCCCATTGCGTGGCCCCAAATGCCGTGGACCCGACATGTCTTTCCTGGTCGTCTTTGTTTGTACCTACTTTATGCTCGAGACCAACCCGAACTACACGACACCCATCCAGAACGAGCTGAACCATCATTGTTAGTAATAACCAGAACAGCGGCACTATCAATCTTGGTCTGCAGACGCCCGGGGGAGCGAACAATACCCTCTCGTGTGAGGAGCCCTCTCCAGAGCCACGCACTCGCTACCTCGCCTATCCAGCCATTCTCCACCTGGGACCACCGTCTTGCCGGCCGAGTGACAGCCCTCGATCGTCATGTGCCGCTCGTCCCATGGCGTTGTCAGAGCCAAGAAGAAGAAAAGAAACAGAAAGGAAAAGGAGCTGGAATCGAAGGAATCCATCCCTGCCGCTCCGGCACGTCTCGTCGCAGCTTCGTCCACACTCCCCTTTCCTTCTCCCCCTCACCCCTCGACGAGACCAGACACCCACATGTCTGGGGGTCTGGAGATCCCATGCTTGATGAGTCGCAATTCCACATCGTGAAACTAGCAGCAAAAGGCCGTGTGGGAAAGCCAGCTAGCCGGTCCGAAACCGCGAGAGAAAAGAAAAGGGGCGCTATTTTTAGGCCGCGGACTTGACTTGTACTGTCCTTCATCAATCCATCTCTTCTATCACCGCCGTCTTTTGTCAGAGTGAAGCCCACCCAGCGTCCAAGAACTGAATCTCGACCTTTTCAACGTTGCCATCCATACTCATCTCCCTCGCAGGCCAGAAAAAGGCAACACCCGTCATCCCAACTTCTCCCTTCCTCCCCTTTGAGGCCGTTGTGAGAGGCGATCGGACAAGGAATGCCCCCCCCCCCCCTTGGCGGGTTTGAGCCTATTCCTTGGCCCTTGAGCTTTTTTTTACTGTACAGTACAGTACATTCATCATGACGGGCCGGCATTGACGTACCTATTAACACGTACCACCCTTTCTCTTGCCCCCCATCCCTACACTTCCCTGCCCTGCCCTGCCCTGCCTGTACGATGTATCCCCCCTTAGGAGTTTCTTTCCCCTTCCAACATTTCCAAGTCTTGTTTGCTTTTCTGCTGCTCGACGCCAAGCGCGTCATCGACAACATGTCAAGAGCCACGCTGGAGAGCGTTAGTAGATGTGGCTAGCGACCCTTCTTCACGGCCAAAGAGAGTGAGCACCCTCCTCCAAAAGGGTTATTTTGTAATTACACCGTGAGAACTGTCTTTCAGACGAAATAGGACCCACGTGATAGAATGCCAGTTTCGAGACTCATTGCCTGGGCCGATTGACGGCACTCGCTCCATCTCTCCCAAGTATTACACCGTAGCCAAGATAATCCGAGTAAATATCGTACCATCAAGACGCGATCAGGAGCTTGTTCGACAGCAAGTGCACTTGTGGTCGAAATTGCCACGCCTTGCCCATACAAATCAACTCGCCGGGTTCTCCAACTTGTAATTCCAAGCGTCAGGCTGGCTGCGTAGGCGTGATATACATGAATATTAAAATATATGGGCCGCGTTAACGCGCAGCGAACGCAAACGGCTGCAAAGCAGAGCAGGCTGTACGTCTGGGCAGCCGCTCTTGTTGCCAAGTGACGGGCATATACAGAGCGGTCCCCGGTTCCATCTCCCCCCTGGCTTGAGCCTTACCAAAAAAAACCCTCTAAAACGTCTTCCCCAGAGATCCCGTGGACGCCGACTGCCGCCGCTTGTAGGCGTCGGCGTAGACGCTGCGCTCGTAGGTGCCGAAGCCGTAGGCCATGAGGCCGAGGAGCAGCCAGATGCCCGTGATGATGGCGCCGACGGGAAAGACCATGATCTGGATGCCCGGGAGGACAAAGGCCACGGTGCCGTTGCGCACGGCGGCCACCTTGGCGTCGACGGCGGCCTGGGCCGAGGCAAAGTCGGACCTGACGATTTGGTTGGAGAAGACGCCGTTGACAAACGAGGCCTCGTTGAGGGAGAGGTTGGTGCTGACGGCGCCGCCAGTTGTGTTTTGGGCCGTCAGGGTGAATGTTGGCATGATCAAAGCCTCCAGTTGGGCCCTAGGGAGCGGACAAGGGTTAGCTTGGCGGCAAACCAAGGGGCACGGGTGCCGAACGGCGACTTACATGGACGGTTTTTCCGTCATTCGAGCTTTGTCAATCTGGCCCACGAACATGTACGTCTGCAGCAGCTGCGGCACTCTCGTCTCAGCACGCTGAGAGAGCTTTGATGTAGCCACCATTTGGTTGGTGCCCGGTCCCATCGAGTTGAACTCATCGGCCGAGACAGGGCTGACGCTGGCGCCGTTGTACTGGAGGCTGACTTTGATGTTTGAGCGCGAGACGTTGACGAAGCCCTCGCGGGGCGGCGATATGACGTAGACGCGGATCTCGCAGCGGAAGACGCCCGAGTTGGTGTCGAGCGAGGGCAGGTTGTAGCAGAGGCAGTTGCCCGAGGGGTTGGTGCTGCGCTGGAGCGAGCTGAGGGACTTGATGCAGGCCGCGTTTGTGTCCTTGTCCCAGTCGGTCGAGTTGGTGCCGTCACCGGGGGTGAGCGTGAGCGACGAGGAACCGGTGCCGTTAGCCTGTGGGGTGCCCTGCCGCCGGAGCAGCTCGTTGGAGTGCTCTTCCAGCGAGACGTATGGGAGCATGAGAGCATCGCGAGCGCTTAACAGGGTGTCGGTCGACTGGACGTAGGAACGACTTGACTCGGCGGCGGCGGCGGCGAAGGCGACAAACCAAGCCGCCAAAGTGAGGTGAAGGCGCATCGTGGTAGAAGCAGACGATGGGCAGCGAGGGCCGTCGACGGATGGAGCCCGACCCAGCGGGCTCGACGGCAGCCGCGGAGGCACGCTGTGCCAATCGAAAGCGACCGATGCGATGAGTTGGTGAAGTGGTGGCGATGTCCTGCAGCAAAGGTTGATGGTTGTGCTGGCTCGCTTAGGACATGGCCACGAGGCGGTTGACGAGATATGGGGGATTATCGAAGATGAAGGTTCCCGGCCGGCGGTGAAGATGGGAGTTGAAGAAGAAGAAAGAGGCAGCAATAAACAACAGCCTAAGTCGGAAACAAAACAGATAGGAAAAGACAGCGGAAGCCAGAGCCTTGGGACCTCGCGGAGGAGGAGGAGGATGAGGTTCTCACGATCAGCACGGATGGTGGTGTAAAGGGGAAAACGGGCAAGAGAAAGGAAGGAGAGGGAAGGGAAAGGAGAGGAGAGGCGCCACGGAAAATACGGGGCACGCGAGAATGGGAAGATAGGGAGTATTGTAAGGATGGAAGACGATGGTGGGAGGGCCGAAACGAGGCGGGCGTGCGCGGCGCCTGTCACGGGCAGCAGCGCTCGGTCAGTGAGCAGTGTTACAGCTCCCGCTTCATCGCCCAGGGGTGGAGCCCCTCTGCCAGGTGGTGTTGAGTATTGTCCAAGTAGAGGCAGCGGCTGCGATGGCGCGGGTGGCCCACGCAAAGACGGCCCGAGAGTGCATGGGGGTGACGGTGTTGGCGCCTTAGAAATCTGGCGGTGGCCTGTTGGTGGGGCCCGGAAGGTGCTGCGGCGACCTGGTGAGACGACGAGGGTGCACCAAGTTCTACACTGCGGTCCAGGTCTCGAGTGCTGACTAGTAGCAGCGCTGCAACGTTTCCGCGACGGACAGTACCAGTCACTGACTATGCTGAGTACCTACAGGTAAGGTAGTACTGAGAGGTACTTACCTACTAGGTAGTAGGAATCAATTACCTTCAGGTACCTACAGCGTCGGATGCCCTGTCGTCTTAGGGGCCTGGTGGTTGTGCTAGTGGTCGGCGCCTCTTCTACCGAGGCTTCTACCGCTTGCTTGCTGTTATACTAGTCCGTAGGTAATAGTAACAACCAGTCCAAGTAGCCATCCAGGAGGACCATTTGTAAACACGTAGCCGTGGTAATTCGAGCCGTTTCGGTCTCCCTCACAGCAGGATAGCAAAGACTCAGGATGCTCTTGATGATTCCAGGTCTTTCCCCTGGCCTGCTTGCTGTCTGTCACTTGCCATGTCGCCGTTACGTATAAGCGTTTCCTCATCCTCTCCGAACCCAGCACCTCTGCTCAATGTGCCAAGTAAGCGGAGGAAACGGACGAAATCCTTCCTGAATGCCCAGAGTCTACGTGTGGATCGCCGACGGTGGTCTGCAGCAGGCCGGGGTGTTATTTGTAGCACGGTGGGTTCCGGGTCTGTCTCAGGCTCAGGCACACACCCGGTCAAGAGCCCATTCTCTCGTCGGCCGAGTGAAGAGTGATTTTCGGCACCGACTTTGCGCATCGTCGGCACCCGACATCAGGCCACCTCCACCGACCCATCAAGCCAAGCCGCGCCGACTTTCTCGGCACTCCGGCGTGCATTCCCCCATCATCTGTCGCTAGAAGCCCAGAACGAGCGCCCGAGCGCGGAAGGCGACGACCACATATTCGGCTTCGGCTTGCTGATACAGTCCCGACCCCTAAAAGACCAAGCAAGTCGCAAGGTGATACGCGGCTCTTGGTTTCTGCAATCGTTCAACCGACTGCTTACGAAGACATCCACGCACTGGACATGTCTCGATGTGTTGGGACCCGACAAGAACTGAACTCCGTATGCGGAGACCCCTTCAGGAGAGGCGTCAACGACGTGGGAGGTAGCAGGAGCCAAGTAGTGGCCCCCTGCTGCAACGAGATGGCCCTTGCATCGTGGAGCTCCTCGTCATCAAGTCAGACAGTTGGTCGTCATGCGTTGCCGCGACCCAGACCGAACCAGCCGACGATCACGCGGGAGAGCGCGACAAACCATGCGAGACGGGCATAACCGGCATGGAAAGAGACAGTCGGCTAATGCGTTACGATACCATGGCCCAGCCACGCACATACGCGCATTTCACACGATGTGGCTGTTGCTCTTCGACTGCCGCTCGAAAGGCGGCAACAAGCAATGAATCGCTCACGGGGTTATTGTCTAGCGTCCACCTGCCATCGGCCGCCCAGCGTGGTTGACACATGTAGGCGCTTGTCGGCGACTGAGAACCATTTCTCCAAACCCAGTTGCGCAAGACGGGGCAAATGTGCGCAGGCATTCAACCCCCGTTGTTGACTCCGTCGTCGACGTGAGAGTGCCGCGTTGCGAATTATTACCAAGCACGGACCCGGCGGTGCAACGTTCAATGGAGCGGGACATGATGGCTGCGAGGGGTTTCAATGTTGCCAGAACCGCTGTCACCCCGGTACCTATAGGTCTCTCTCTTGTCTTGTGAAGCAGGACAAGGCGACTCCTTCGCAGAGCCTCCAGAGGGCCATCCTCTCTGTCCGACTGCTCCGTCCATTGTGGTCCCATGTGGAAGTCTCACTTGTGCCAGACAGGGCGCCCGGGGGGAATGGGCGGCTGCAGATGCCCAGACCAGACTTCCCTAATCATGCAGCCGCTCACAAATGCCCTTTTCCAAGCAAGACAGACTATCTTTGACGCTCTCAACTTCTTTGTACGAGCGGAAGTCTTGGCCTCTCTTCCAGCACATGTTTACTTAACTGTGGATTAATGACCTCCGGGTTGCCTCTCCAAGAGGAATCCGACCACATGAGCGGGAGAGACGAGGAACGAACTGGTGCAGCAAAGGAGGGACCGACAATTGAAAGGTCTTGAACCCACAGCATATTACCCCTGTAGCTTATTATTCCCCGCCTCTGTATCCGTACATATAGCCTTGGCTCCGGCGCCAGAATCTGCGTTGATTGTCGAATTGACTTTTCCAGCCCGTGGATGGGCGCATGCAAGGGCAGCATGGTGCCTTGACGTGCTGGCGCCGCCGACGCACACGAAGCGAGCACTTTCCGAGTGTGCACGAGGACACGTCGAGACTTAAGCATGGCAAGCCCGGACAGGGCGGCTGAATGTCTGGTGTAACGAGGTCGTGGGCAATGGGACAAGATGCCGCCCGAATGGTACAATGCCGGCACCGATATGTCGACATGCAGGCCCGGAACTTTCATTATATGCACCTTGGTGTATCTCGAGGACGCGTGATCGGCATGGAGAGGCGTGGCAAGTCGTCGTCGGACAGGCAATGAGACATCAGGGAAGCTTTTCATGCCCCATGCTCACTCTTCACCTCCATACATACACGGGCAAAGCATCCGGGACCCATCTCTGCAAGCAAACAACTCACCACGACAATAACTTTGGATGCTACCGTATTAGCAAAGCTACTTTGCTGCTCACGTCAGTTCGGTAGAGTCGGTCAGTAGAATGCGTGGGGCCAGAGTTGCGCGATCTGGAGAGAGTTCATCAATGCATTTTGTCTCTTTTTATCCCGCTCTCGCCATGTGCCATTGCCCTGCCCAAGGCACAAAAACGAAGTCAAAAAATAAGTAAAACAAAACAAACAAAGCCGAAAAAAAAGAAAAGGTACACTGGGCCCATGAGATGACGGGGGCCTCTGTCGTGACCACGTCACGTCTATTCGCTACCTCGCCGAAGCTTCCATCCACATTCCGGCGAACCGTTGCTCCTCGCGAATCTCCAACAGATTGAACATTGAAGAGATGAATGGATAAAAAAGCAACCCAAAGGGCTGGCTTCCTCATGTGGTCCCGCCTTGTCCTGCGCCTCGCCCCCCCGGAATCGGCGCCTCCGCACAAATCCGTCGGCAGCGGTCCAATCATGGCCATGGGCCAAGTTCACCGGGCGCTCCACGAGCATTTTGGATCAGCCGCGGCGATCGCGCCATAACCGTCGTGGCCAATCGGCGTCGTGCGTGGGGGGGCGGGTTACACGCTGGGCTCGGTGGTGGTGGTGATGATGTCGGCTGCTGAAAAAGTGAGAGAGATGAAGAAGCATACACATGTAATTACGTACATACATGTACAAACCTTGCAGTAGAGCCTCTCTTTTCCCTCTCTTCCCGTGCCCTCTGTTCACTCCCTTCTCGTCTCCTTGCGGCCTTGCCCCTCTGCACTTCCGCCTCTCCTCCTCCTCGCTCGCCCTCCCACCTTGCAAGGAGCGGGCCCCGGGCTGCCCTTTTCAGCCGTCCCGAACACGACTCAAGAGCAGAATCGAGGCCCCGATTCAATCCCACGATCCAAGCCATGGGCATCGATTCGCCTGTCGACGACCTCGAGGCCACGTCGCCTCGTCGCGACCATAGCTACACCAGCAGCCTCGACGATGACGACGCCATTATTCCCAAGGGCGCCCTGGATCCCGTCTACGAGGCCAAGGCCCGCGTCCTGAACCGCGCTGTACGTTTCATCACGGAGCCTTTGAGTCGGCGCTCCTTGAGTCGGCGCAAGCATCCATGAGGCTTCCGCCTCCTGCATCCCTCTCTTACTGTCGTCGTGTTGCACAATCGCCCACTCCCCCTCTCAAAACGAGAGCACGAGTACCTCGGCTGACCTCTGCAAGATCCGCGACATTGGCATGGGATGGTATCAGTGGCAGCTCTTCATCGTCGTCGGCTTCGGCTGGGCCAGCGACAACCTCTGGCCCATCGTCACCTCGCTCATCTTCACCCCCATCACAAACGAATTCAGTCCCTCGCGCCCGCCCCTCTTCACCCTGGCCCAGAACATCGGCCTCCTTGCCGGCGCCGTCTTCTGGGGCTTCGGGTGCGACATCTTTGGCCGCAAATGGGGCTTCAACCTCACCCTCGGCCTCACCGCCGTCTGGGGCCTCATCGCCGCCAGCGCCCCGAGTTTTGCTGCCGCCGGCGTCTTTGCCGCCCTCTGGTCCTTTGGTGTCGGCGGGAACCTCCCCGTCGACTCGGCCGTCTTTCTCGAGTTCCTCCCTCAGTCTCACCAGTTCCTTCTCACCATCCTGTCCATCGACTGGGCCCTCGCCCAGGTCATTGCTAACCTCATCGCCTGGCCTCTGCTCGGCAACTACACCTGTGCCGAGGGCCAGAAGCCCTGCACCAAAGGAGACAACATGGGCTGGCGCTATTTTGTCCTTGCCATGGGAGGTCTCACCATGCTCATGTTCCTCGCCCGCTTCTGCTTCTTCACGATATACGAGAGTCCCAAGTATCTCATGGGCAAAGGCCGCGACCAAGACGCCGTCCGAGTCGTACACGAGGTCGCCCGCCGCAACGGCACCACCACCAGCCTGACCATCGATGACCTGCGCGCCTGCGAGCCCGAGGGCTACCTGGCCCAGACGGACGCTTCCGCTGCCGTCAGGCGGTACCTCGAGAAGCTCGACGCCAAGCACGTCAGGGCCCTGTTCTCTTCCAGGAACCTGGCCTTGAGCACCGGCCTCATCATGGCCATCTGGGCTCTCATCGGGCTCGGCTATCCCCTCTACAACGCCTTTTTGCCCTACATCCAGGCCACCAGGGGCGCCGAGTTCCAAGATGGGAGCACCTACATCACCTACCGCAACAGCCTCATCATCTCGGTCCTCGGCGTCCCCGGAGCCCTCCTCGGAGGCTTCCTGGTCGAGCTCCCCAAGGTCGGCCGCAAGGGGACATTGTGCATCTTTACCATTCTCACCGGCGTCTTCCTCTACTGCTCCACGACTGCGCTCAACAGCTCGGCGTTGTTGGGATGGAACTGCGCATTCAACTTTTGCAGCAACGTCATGTACGCCGTTCTCTACGGCTATACACCCGAAATCTTCCCCACCCCCCAGCGCGGAACTGGGAATGCGCTCGCCGCCACCTGCAATCGAGTGTTTGGCATCATGGCTGTGAGTCCACTCGTCGCCCATCCATTCCACCCGCTGACCCTTGACGGTAGCCAATCATTGCCATGTTCGCAAACCTGCAAACGACGGCACCCGTCTACACGAGCGGGGCTCTCTTCATTCTCGCCGGCTTGCTTGTCTTGCTTCTCCCGTTCGAGTCGAGAGGGAAAGAGGCGTTGTGAGGAGCTTCATCGTGTTTTGGTTTACGGACATCATGGCCCGGCTTATTATTCCTTGCATTGTTGACGTCTTCGCGGTGGAGGAGAAACGGCAAGAGACCACCTCTGGCGCAACTGAGACGAGGAAATGCAGGAGGGAGTGATCTGCTGTGGCCACCATGTGTGCGGACGGAGACGACGATACCCTTTCTGAACAAGAAAATGACAGTAATTGATGGCTGCCGGCATCGCTCGCAAGCGCTGGGCTTTGCGACTTGCCCGAGCTGATCTTGATGTCGCGAACATCACTCGCCGCCACATGTCCTTGCCAAGGACTGACTGCTATGGATGGGCAGGATTATGGGCATTGAATAACGGGCTGACTGGAAATCTCTCTTGCTAGTTGACAGAAACCGGTTGGGGCGGAAGCTCTGACACCCTGAGATGACAGCCATGACGCCTCGTGGTCCGCACTCTTCGAACACGCACTGACTTGACAGATCAAAGGGAGGTCAACGTCTCCCACGAAGCAGAATGACGCCAACAACTCGGTCACGAAACCCATCCACCCCGGAGAGGAACACAGAAGACGCAAACCCTCCAGTTCCTATGTGACGTGTATTCGCCGTTCTCGTCGCTTTCCCACGTCAGCGAGAAACACGTAGCCCAGACTAGGTCTCACTCGCCGCATCGTAGTCGTGGTTCTTGTGCTCGGCAATCGGCGATCACTCCAGGGTCTGGATTGTGCATGTACAGACTCTTCGCCCCTGATATGTAAACAAGGGGACTGCGACGCAGCCAGTTCTTGATTTGTCCCATGCGTAACTTTTCCGCATGCAGCTGGTTGGACGGAGCGAGTGAGCCTAAGCATGTCGTTCATACCCCTTCAAAACCGCCAATTGGAAGTGTAAACGAATTCTTGAGGGTATCGTTTGGATCTTACTGCGCTTGAATGCAAAGTTGGTATTCTCGCTTGACTCTAGGGAGCTCACTCCTGAAGTGCTTCGTGTTTGTAGGATAGCTTGAGCGCTTCTCTCTGCCTTTAAGCTGGTCATTCTGCATGAACTGAATCCAGTCCTCTGAGGGATCTCCTCAATCATGCACCGTAGGGAATCTACATCGCCATGGTCTGAAGAGAATCCGCCAAACCCTGCTTAAGTGCGGCCTGTAAAACTCTGCAAAGTCGATCTGGCACTCAGGGCAAGCCGTCGCCGCTCCTCGCTCCCAGCCTCCGTCGCTCGCTTCCATATTGCCGGTGAATCTCCAGATACACGTAGCGCTCGCTTCGCCGGTGCGTGCGTAACAGGCACGAAATCCAGCGGCCCGGATAGCGCTCAAGGCCTCGATGAGGACCTCTTCCGTCAGCTCCGCTATCGGCGCCCGTGTCTCCGCCGCCGAGACAGCCACTGCCTCTGCGCTTCCCATGATACCGAGGCCCGCAGCTCCCGCTCCTGCAGCTCCGACGCCAACTCCCCGCAGCACCGACCCCGGTGGTGGCGGCAACGGCCAAAATGGCCGAAGCCGCGAGCGTACGACTCCCGCGGAGACGCCTCCCAGGACCTTGCTCAGCCATGATCCGCTGCCCTCGCGTGCTCTAGCTCCTTTGAGCTTTCGACGGCTTTTGCTTTTGCTTCTTCTGCTTTTCTTTCCCTTTTCCCCGCCCTTCCTGCTTCTTGCTGTGATTTTCCAGGCAGTTCTTGGCTTGTTCTGGAAGCTTTTCGGCTTCTTTAGATTCTCGCTCAGCTTCTAAATGTCATCTTTAAAAGCGTCGGCCTCATTGCTGAGCGCAATATGTTCCCGCTTCAACGCGTCGACACCTGATTCCCGAGGCGCCGCCAACCGGAGAACGTACGGTCTCTTCGGAAGGGCCTGAACGACCTGATCGGAATCCTCAAACGCGGGCTTCTGGTTGACAAACTCGACCACTTCACCGAGGTGGGCGGAATTCGCATCTCTCAGGGCCTCAGTATTTAGGAGGACAACAACGCCGAGTCTCAGGGCTGTTTGCGCCCTCTCCGGAATGTGCAGCTGGATGGCCTCCCCCGCAGCCGTTAGGGGTTCCCGTAAACGTTATGCCAGGAATGCCTGATTAAGACTGTCTGCAACTTTTCCGAGACTCCGTAACTATGTCTCATTTGTGCAGTTATGCAGTATGGACGCTGTATATACGCGAAAACTTGCGCCTATAGACATGGGAATCAAATCTGCACATGTCAGTTTTAGATATCTAGGACCTGTCAGTCTTAGATCTTGCATCCGAGTTGAGGAGTGAGCAATAAGGAGACTGAGGCAGGTGTCAGCTGCAGAAGGGATATAGAAGTTTGGCTTGTGATGGGTGGATAAACGGCGTGATTTTAGAGTCTTTTCAGATTCAGCTGAGTCCATATCGCACCCTTGGCAGTGACATGGTGTGTTTTCCCGAAATCACAGCCAGGAAACAGAGATATATGAAGCAGCTGTTGGCAGCTGGAAGAACTGCCGTCATCCTGCTTAGCACCATCAGGACTGGCCCTATAGAGAGGAAGCGTTTCACGTTTTCTGTTCCATTTACTATTTCATCCTTGAGACCGGATATTGATCAGTAGTTTGACTATGAAGTCCTTCATGGTAGTTGTTCTCACCGCTATCGCAGCGGTGACTGTCGTTGCGGAAGCCGGTGATGGATCACTGTTGGCTTCCACGAGGCCCTACAACAACGAGGCCTGTCAAATAAAACACGGTACTTGTAATCCTTCCATCAACCGTCCGCAGTTTCGATGCTGCGGGGAACTCCGATGCATTCGCCCCAAGGGCAGTCCCCCCGGTGCCCCGGGAAAAGTACGTAATGAAACACCGGTAGCTTGTACGAAAAGTGAGTTAATGTTTGTCTATAGTGCGGTAATAGTCATTTTGATCATGATCCTGGCACCTACGATAATGTACACCGCCATGACCATGATGACAATGATCATTATGATCACAAGATCTATAGGGGATCCAGTCATCATGTTCATTATGATGCAATCATTGTCGGTGGTGGTCCTTCCGGCCTGGCTGCGTTAAGCGGTCTTGCCAGGGTTCGCCGCCGCGTGCTCTTGATTGACTCGGGAGTATATCGCAATGGCCCAACCCAGCACATGCATGATGTCCTGGGTTTTGACGGTGAGTCCACCTGTCCACAACGGATCTCTCCAAATGACCTTCCTCTACACCCTGCTGTCTGTCTATGTTGCTTACGGCCAGATACCAGGCGTAAAACCCGCATACTTTCGTTGGGCCGCTCGGAAGCAGATCTCTTTCTACAAGACCGTTTCCATGAAAAATGGCTCGGTGACTAAGATCAAGTCCACGGGAAGTGAGGGTGATACGTACTTTAAAGTCTACCGGAGCCACCATGGAAAGCAGGAGGTCTTGACCGCACGGAAGGTAATTCTCGGTACGGGTCTTCGCGACCTGCTCCCCAAGACGCCGGGTGTCCGCGAGAACTGGGGCAACGGTATCTACTGGTGCGCCTGGTGTGACGGGTTTGAACATGCCGACCAGAAGATCGGCGTCCTCAAGTCCCTCGAAAAGTCTATCGGAACGGTCCGCCAGATCCTGACACTAAACCGCGACATTATCCTCTTTACCAACGGGACTGACACGCCACAAGCACGCGAGGCCCTAGAGAAAACCACCCCCAGATGGCAGAAGTTCCTGAGGCAACATTCCGTGAAGATCGAGAACCGACCAATTAAGTCAATTGAGAAAGTGCGCGGGGGCCACACGCACGGAGACCCAAGCTTGCCGAGTACGCCTAGCGACAACCTGTTCCGCGTCAACTTTAGATACGGCCGTCCTGTTTTTAGGAATGGTTTCATGCTCGAAGAAGACCCCATTCAAGCGTCCAAAATCGGGGAGAAGATGGGCGTTCATTTGTTCGGGGGCAGGTTGGGGATTAACTTCAACAGCATGGAGACGAACGTTCCAGGCGTCTATGCTGTCGGAGACGCCAACTCTGATAATTCCACCAACGTGCCTCATGCATTCTGGAGTGGCAAGAGAGCCGCAGTTTCTGCGCACGGTAAGCCATACTTCTCATATTTGTGGCCATCCGCCGAACAGCAGCTGACAGAAAAACAGGCGCCATTGGAAGAGAGGATTATAACAGAGACGTTAAAAAACAGCGCAAGAGAGCCGTGGTAGAGGACCCTAGGACTATCTGGAATAGGATGAACGGTAAAGTTGGGGACTTGCTTTATGCTGGTGAATTCGACCGGCTCTAGGGGCCACTGCTCTAAGGCCTGCTTGATAGAACAAACAGGGACTTATAATACGTGATAACCACATCCCTAACGGGGGTGCCCCTATTTTGTCTGGTGTAGCGGTATTTTAAACTTGACAACTCCGTATGGCATGCTGCCTTTCCCTTTTAAACGCCTGCGCCACAGCTCTCCACGTTTAATAGGCTTAGTGGTGCACTTAGGGGTTAGGTTGAAGGGAAGAAGAAAGATGATTCTATTAAGAAGGGCCACCGTTGTCGCGAAGAACGTCTCTCGGTTGAGCCATCCAGGTCACCCAAGGGTAGTTAAGCAGACAAGGGAACCGAAAGCCGGGTCTAACGAGGAGCTGGAAAGAGGAGCTTGCAGAAGAGCTTAGGCAGCCCTACAGGACCCCGATAGGCGACCATATAATAGGGAGACTGGAGAGCTCCTATAAGACAGGACGGTCTCCAGTCGAGGAGGCTGGAGGTCCCCAGCCTCCTTAAAAATCCTATATCTATACTACGAAAGAGGGATGAAAGAGGGATACGAATAGGGCTTGGATTTAGGGCAGAAAGAGAGGAATAGAGAGACACGAAATATAGCACAACTGCTCCATTTCTACATCATATGCCCTTTCTGCTGACTTTCTTCGTGAAAGCCGTCGTACAAGAAAAATAATGCTGCCCCTGACAGGGGTTTGGGGTTGGGGGCAGACCAGTTATCGAGTACGTAGCCGAGCCTTCCACAGCACCAGATGGGTAATTAACCATGGTAATGGTAGTTGTCACGGCCGTCATCGTGGTCGTCGTGGTCGTTGTTGTTATAGTCGTTGTCATCGTTGTCGTCGTGGTCGTCGTGGTTGTTGTTGTAGTCATAGTCGTTGTCATCGTTGTTTTTCGGGCTGCACTAGTACCCGAAGTTTAGGTATCATTAGCCGGGACACACTGCAGGCTCCGAGACTTACAGTTCCCCTCCCTCCCTTGACGCCAGGTGGTGTCTTGCACTCTAACCCTCCGCAGCAGTGCGGACCCTCAACTCGGGCTACACAATTCTGGCCCTCAAGTTGGCACTTATTTAAAGATAAATATTAGTATCTTATGGTTATACTTTAAAAGGTGTAAACTTACCTGATCGTCATCGTCTTCTTTCTTTTGACACTTTTAAACTACATGTTAGTTTGCCACTTATATCATTGTTGCTAGTTATCAGGGCATCGATGACGTACCCTATCATCGACGCACTTAAAGCCAAACTGTACGCAGCATGCGGAGTCATGCTTGCACGGGCCGAAACCGGTAAAGCATGTCAATCCTTCACGTTCCTCTTCTGTAAGGCACTAGAATTACTATGTTAGCTCACCTGCCCGAGTAGGGTTGTGATCAATGATCAGTCAGGTCTCAATAACGTACAACTCCGAAGCCGCCTGGTCCATTGTTGTTCTTGTAGCATGATAATTCGGGACAGCAAGCTCCCGGGCCAGTGGTGCATTGTCCGAGGCGATTCTCGCATTGGTTGCTTGCGCCGTCGCTTGTGTTGCGACTAAACCGCGTGTTTGCGGGCTTGGTAGCTGTGGCCAGAGCCGCGACGGCGAGGATAAGGGTAGCAAAAGTGTTCATTGGGTTATTTTTGACTGAAATTATTCGTTGAGGAATTAAAAAGCGTATATAAGGATTGCAATGCGAAGCAAAATTACTCCCGGTGGGGGTTTCGTAGCTCTTTATAAGGTCTAGGTATACTCCGTAGATACAGTTAGACCCCTCGCTGCTAGTATGAATGCCAATTTAGAGGCTGGACTTATCCTGCATTCCAATTTTTAGCTTGACTTTAGCATGGTGCATACGTGTAACCCGAGGACAACTCCTGGAGCATATATCTTCCCTTAATACGAACCGGCTCCTTGGAAAGAAGAGTCAATCCCATTCCGCAGCAGCCACAGTTTCTGGGCATGCACGATCTGCAGGACCACGTCTCAGTATCGTGAACCTTTTAACCGACAGGGGTAATAGACCTTGGGGAAATATGCTTATTGTCGCGTATACGGCCAAGTAGTAAGACAACGTACGAAATGCAGCCGCATGTTGCCAAGAATGTGCACTCACGTGAGTGGAGTAAATTGACGCCCACACATACCGCCGGTTTAACCCGGAAGACCTAAACCGCACTATAGTCCGCAGACTAATAGTGTAAACCGCGGTTCGGACTAATAGTCTCCGAAACCGGTTGCACTATTAGGAGCCCTATAAGTAGACATAAATATTAGGGACTAAAAGAACTTTAATTCTCCTAACTAGAGTAAAGTAGGCTATATCTTTATAGGCGTTAGACTTTAAAAGTAGGCGCCCGTGGCTACCTATAGGCCGCTTAATTTTTTCAGTCTAGTCTATAGGTAGAAATAGGTTTTAAGACAAAAGACTATATTTAATTACGGGTTATTAATATATACTTTAGGTAAAGCTAGGTACCTAAACTAGCCTAAAATAACTTAGTAGATTCCTATTTAAAGTTACTTTTAGTTAAGCGAATTTATAGAGATTAAAGAACTAGAAGTCTAGTACTAATTAATTATACTAATTATCTCCTTATCTCTAACTTAGAGCTAGGATATTTTTAGCCTCTTTTACTCCTAACTTTCTACCCTTATACTTCCCGCCGGCTAGGATATACTTAAGCCTATCTATAGTTATTATAGGCTCTTTTATACCTAACGATTATAGTAATTCTTTAAATATTTTATCCTTATTAGCCTTATTATTTAAGGGGACTTTATAGGTCTTTTTAATCGTTTAGGGCTATTTATAGTTAGAATTATCTTTATTTTCGCTCCCCTTACTATTAATCTTTATAATAGTAGTTTTCTTCTTTTACTATACCTTTAATTATTATTACTCCTTTAACTACTTTTGCTTTTAATTAAAATTATCTCTTTAAGCCTAAACTTTATAAGCACGCGCTTCTTTAATCTTTACTAGTCGCGTGCTTCGTAGAAGCTTTTATTTTTCAACTTTTAATAAATCGGAAAAGTTACGCTAAGAGGTAGAACTATACGCTAAAGGAAAAAGGTTAGTATAAACAATTAATATAATAACTTCTAATAAGGTATATATACTAGCTTTATTTTAGATAAAGAAAGACTAGTTTTATTTCCTAAGGATATTAATAATATCCTTAAAAGTAGTAATATCTTTCTATTAAATTATAACTCTTTTAGCCGCGATAGCTAGCTATCTTATTACTATTTATAGTCGCTAGTTAGTATAATAATTAGTATAATAATTATATTAACTTACCTTAGAATATAGTAGCTAATATACTCTCTACTAACTCTTAGATAAGCTATTAATACTACCTTCTAGATATAAAAGCTAGGAGTAATATCTTATATAACCTCTTAAATAAGGCGGGCAAATAAGGCGTAAGGGATAAGTAAATTAGGAATTTACTAGAATTTTCGAATTTCGCGTAAAGTAATAGCTAATATTAAAATTAATAGATAATTTAAGAAAGAAATATACTTAAGTCTTATTATATTTAAGTAAGAAAAGATAAATAAAGACTTACTACCTAGCTTAAATCTTTATTTACGCTTAATAATACCTACTAGCTTAACCGATTTCCCCTTACCTTTACCGCTAGTTTTTCTACTAGTATTTATATTCTAGCTAAGGAGAGTCTTTCCGCCGGTTAGCTAGCTAAAAAACCGGCCGCGTACTATAAGACTAAAAGTAAGATTACTATAAATAATTAGTATATTAATATAAGGCTATTTATATATAGATAGTATACTAACCTTAAAGGCTTAGTAGTTATAGGTAAGTATATATTTATTAAGGAGGGAGAAAAAAAAAGGTTATAATAATATAAGCTAGTAGTAATAAGCTTCTTAGCTAATTAAAATACGGTTATTTAGTTATAAAGATCTATTAACTTAATCGATTTCTAGTAAAAAGTAAGTCTATATAAGGTAAAGATTTAGTCTTCGTTTAGTATTAAGAATTTTTATTTTACTTTTAATACTTATATTAATACTATATATTAAACGGTAAGTAATATTTCTCTTTATTTTATATAATATTCTAGCTAATAATTTTAGATATTTTTATATTTCTTAGCTCTCTTCTTTATAAATAATTAAGAGCGACGGCGATATAATAAGAGTTCTTAAATACTCTTATTTACTTTATACTAATCTTTATATTAATTTATAATAGGCTATTTACTTAATATACCTTTAAAAAAATAAAAAGTAGAAGATACCTTATTAATAAATATAAATATAAAGAAAGCGCGCGATTATATTACTAAGATAACCGATAATAAGAAAGTCTTTAAAAAGGCTAAGAATATAATATATTAAGCTATTATATAATTAAGAAAGAAAGTCTAGTCTTCTATAACCTAGATAAATATAAGTAAAGAAGAAAAAGCTATTATAATTACTAAAGACTCTCGCGAAATTAAAAGTAAATAGTAAGTACTAAGTAGTAACTATAGGAAATAAATTAATCTTTATACTAATTAAAAATAGTTTAGTTTTCTACTTAGCCGATATTTAAACTAAGTTAAAGAAATACTTTACCTACTAATATTATAGGGCGATATAATCCTTAATAAGGACGCTCTTACTAATAAAGATACTAACTAAGAAGATATCGACGCTAAGATAAAGAATAAGGCTTAATAAATTAATAAGATTATATTTCTTTTTAATAAAGGCAATAAGTTACTTAAGTTTAGCGCTTAGTTTAGTAATAAGTAACCTTTTTAAGGAATTAAAGAAGCACTTAAGTAAGACTAAAAGGTATTTTAATCTTCTTAACCTTAACTACTTTTATATACTAATTATTATCGAACTAAGAAGTATTAGTATTTCGGTGCTTTTAAAGATACTTTAATATAGCTATTTAGTTAATATTTTCTAAGCTATAAGTACTTAAAGTATACTTAACCTTAGTAGTTTAAGTAGTAAAAAGCGTTCTTTAAGAGTAGTAAGAAGAGTAAGTCTTACTTTATTTTCTTCTTTA